TTTTGGCTGTGCATAATGTAATAGGAATGAGCAGGAACTCTGCAAGTTGCTGCACACACTTGTGGTACACTATTGCAGCCTGCTGACCAACAATGTCTCCAGAAACAGCCACTTTACAATTGTCAGGTATGGACACTGGGTCATCGTGGGGTGCTTCAGGGAGGACAATATCATAAAGTGTATCCTCCTCACTTATGTCCTGGAGATTTTGAAGTTCTATTACTTCTCTCATAGTGGCCCCGGTCCTGTGAACAGTGTGACAAGTGTATTATGTACTCTGTTTTACATGTTCAGTTTACATACACATACAATGAAGTCAACCTTATGCGATATGGAGGTATGTATTCTTCATCATTGCTGTCCTCAGACTCTTCCATTTCAATTGTCCAGTCTTCTTCTGAAGACGAAACATCTTCAGTCTCTTGGCTTGGTGACCATGTTTGGTCATCGTCTGATTCAAGGCTGTATCACAAAAGTAACAACGACTTAGTATGTGATATGTGTAAACTTGCTTTTGTAAGCAAAAGCTCAAATCCTCACATGGAATTTTCTATTCTGTTGTACTCCTCCTCGTTGATCTCTACAGGAATACCACTTGATGGCAAACTAAACAAAACAAAGAACAACATTATTCTAATTTATATCCAAATTGACCATAGTGGCAATCATACGGCAACTAAAAAGGTTCACTTACTGTCCAGTTACAGAGATTGAGACTTCACCTTGCCCCAGGACCTCCACCCCCTCTTCAAATGCAAAATCTCTAAAGAAATAAAAAGAAAATGTTAGTTTTAGTTTTTTCTCTTGCCACTCAAACATTTTATTGTGGTTATGTGGTGTTTAGGTATCTATTTTCCCATGGTTAGTGAAAGGGATGCTTTGGTATTACACTGTATTTGCATTTGTAAGGTCAACACTCATGGCCCTTACTGATAGAGCACTCAAGTAGTGTATTGTTAACAGACATCCCCACCCCACCACTGGCTAATCTAATTTAAAAATATTCTCACCTCTCAGACAAGTCTCCGTGGATACTAGACAGTGCTGGAAAAGCAAATAGCTGTTTTTTGAAAGGTGTAGAGGTTGAAACTTGAGATCCGGTTTGGTAACTGGAAACACAAATATTATAATTACACCAATCGTAACTGCATTTAAATTCTCACATAAAAAGATATCATTTGACTCATATGTAAGGATGGCACAGAATCTGAACTAGCTTCCTGACTCATTCTTTGCTTACACCCTACAGAATATGAATGCCATGTCTATGAGATATGTCTATCTGACAAACAATAGTAAGCACCATAACGTGAAATACAGATAATTATAAACACATAGTTATAAACACTCACACAACTGACTCACTGAGCTAAAGTCACCAGCTGGTTATACAACTTTATAACTACTGTCGAGAACGAACCAGACAGGGACAGATCGTGGTGCATAGCAATAAACACGTTAATCTTTGGCTTTCCAAAAATGGAACTCGCGTGATCCAAAATTTGTACAGTTTTATGGCGCAACAAGTACAAGTAAAACTACTTCAACTAATACTACTACTGTGGATAGCCCTATCTGCAGGTTAGGTTGTGAAAAACATCTGCGTTGGCCAGTCACTGTATTGTACTGTTGAACATTGAATACCCACTGTATTCAATGTTTCACTTGTATACTAGCTTTAGGCTACAAGCTAACGCGAGACAAACAGCTCATACCGCTATTTAGACCGCGTAGTAACGCGGAGAATATGTAAAATACATTACAATGAGGCACCCACTAAATAACATATTCATTCGGGATGAACACTTGTGTCATGCATTTACCTGTCCAAGAGAAACTTTGCCAAGTCTTCGTCCGTTTTGAATGCCTTGAACTCACGAAGGTGTCTCCATCTGTTGAAAACGTCTCCGATATTGATTCTACTTCTGTCTCGCATTCGTTTTTCAGCTAATTTAGTAGCAGGACTTTTGAACTTTTTAAATTTCCTTTGAGAAGTAGAAGGGACACGTGAAATGGGTATCTTCTGCTCTTTAGCTAAGTGTTGATCCATGGCTGCGCACGGGACTTGCTTGTTTCAGAAGCTCAGCGAAAACAAACAACTGAGCATGCGCGCAGCTACGAGCACGAGCGCCGATGATTGACAGCCCTTGGCTTCACTTCATTGGTTCACTTCGACGGCATCGTGGATTCTGAGATATAGCTAAGAGAAGGGAAGGCGGGACTTACTTGTAATATTGGAAATTATAAAATGACTTATTTTATATCAACATATAAGGCCAGGAGGTCAATTTAACACAATTCTTAAAAAATGTAACTCATTCAGAGTTGCATACTATCACTTTAAAGGGTTTGAATCAGGCATGCGGTGTGGTTTTCGTCCCAGTCGCGGAACACTGGACCAGCTCTATACTCTCCATCGGATACTCGAGGGTTCATGGGAGTTCACCCAACCTGTCCACATGTGCTTTGTGGATTTGGGGAAGGCGTTCGACTGTTTTCCCCGGGGTGTCCTTTGGGGGGTTCTCCGGGAGTACGGGGTCGGAGGTCCTCTGCTGAGGGCCATCCGATCCCTGTATGACCGGAGCCAGAGCTGTGTTCGCATTGCCGGCAGTAAGTCAGACCTGTTCCCGGTGAATGTTGGCCTCCGACAGGACTGCCCTTTGTCACCGGTTCTGTTCACTGTATTTATGGACAGAATTTCTAGGCGCAGCCAGGGGTCGGAGGGGGTCCGGTTCGGAGACCACAGGATTTCATCTTTCATCCACAGGATCAGCATCTTCTGCTGTTTGCGGAAGATGTTGTCCTGTTGGCTCCAACGAACCAGGACCTGCAGCATGCACTGGGGCGGTTTGCAGCCGAGTGTGAAGCGGCTGGGATGAGAATCAGCACCTCCAAATCCGAGGCCATGGTGCTCGACCGGAAAAAGGTGCCTTGCCCTCTCCAGGTGGGTGGAGAGGTCCTTCCTCAAGTGGAGGAGTTCAAGTATCTCGGGGTCTTGTTCACGAGTGAGGGAAGAATGGAGCGTGAGATTGACAGGCGGATCGGTGCAGCGTGCGCAGTGATGCGGTCGCTGTATCGGACCGTTGTGGTAAAGAGGGAGCTGAGCCGAAAGGCAAAGCTCTCGATTTACCGGTCAATCTTCGTTCCCTCCCTCACCTATGGTCATGAGCTTTGGGTAATGACCGAAAGAACGAGATCGCGTTTACAAGCGGTCGAAATGAGCTTCCTCCGCAGAGTGGCTGGGCGCTCCCTTAGAGATAGGGTGAGGAGCTCAGTCACACGGAAGGAGCTCGGAGTAGAGCCGCTGCTTCTCCACGTCGAGAGGAACCAGTTGAGGTGGCTCGGGCATCTGTTCCGGATACCTCCTGGACGCCTCCCTGGGGAGGTGTTCCGGGCACGTCCCACCGGGAGGAGGCCCCGGGGAAGACCCAGGACACGCTGGAGGGACTATGTCTCTCAGCTGGCCTGGGAACGCCTTGGGGTCCCCCCGGACGAGCTGGAGGAAGTGTGTGTGGATAGGGAAGTCTGGGCGTCTCTGCTTAGACTGCTGCCCCCGCGACCCGGCAACGGATAAAGCGGAAGAAAATGGATGGATGGATGGATGAATCAGGCATGCTTGTTATGTGTGCAAGTCGATGTGATATGAGGGGAAGTGTTTAATGGTTAAGTAAAAAAAATTTACAAGAATGACAAATTTTTTTTTTAACACAACGATAACAAACAACAAGAAGAAGAAGAAAGTCCTTTAATTTTCCCACTGTACACGGTGGAGAAGGTATTGAGGTGGGCTCGAACCCACGACGTTCAAGCTCTAAGGCCAATGCTCTAAAACTGAACCACTGTCGCCCCAGCAGCGTATACGTACATGGCTTGTACTGGGGCCGGGCCATTGCTTGTACCTAAGTCAGGCATTCCTACAAAAATTACACAAATAGGTTTGTGAATTGAGTATATTTCTTAGTCACCTCTGAGTCCCCACAACAACAACAACACCCCTTTCACTGAACGTTATTTATTCATAACGGGACATGGTACACATTCTATTCTTTACACTGCAACTGTGAAATGTTGCACTGCAGACAGGACAATGAGGTGCTATTATTAGTCCAACCCAAATGCTCCTGATCCAGGCTGCTGTACAATGTGTCTGCAGATGACTCATCGCTGGTAGGAGAACGTGGGTAGCCAGTGGTGTTCAAAATATTCACATTGCCATCTATATACTGCGCTCTCCAATCTAATAGGAGAACCCTTCTCAAGCAATTGCTATGCACTTCTATCAGCCTCAGCCCTGATGCCTGATTGGTGGAGCCATAATGAACCAGCATCAGTGCCTGTTGGAATGATCTGGTCTTGCTGGTTTAACATGTGGCCCGGAGCACTCTATTTCCACATCCATTTGTCTATGTGACAGTATGGCATGGTGGTGCAGTGGCTATGGTAACGAAATGCCTTTAGGGCTTTGAAACAGTCAATGGTGGAAGGGAGGGGGACAAGTCAAAATTCAAGGGGCTTAATTTATTTCCTTCATTTTCCTAATCCATAACAGTAAGGACAGCGGAAAAACAAAGAAACATTGTTATAGTTATAGTTATACTGTAGGGCATGATTTGTGTCTGAAGTGAAGAATGGCATCAACAAAATATCCCTGGTTGTAATAATGTTTATTGTAAAAATGTGCAGCATTTAAGTCGTGTAAACAAGTGTCATGTCATTGTCAACACTTACTGTAAATAAAAAAGGAAACTATGAACACAAGTAAAAATTAAAACAAAGATCACGATCAACCTTCTCAATGTTTCAGATAGCATTAATTGTTGCTTTAAAAGTATGTTTCTTGTGTTTTTAATTTTGGAGGAAAATGAGCCGAAAGAGCGTTGGCGATAAACACTTGTTCTTGTTGGCTGAAATAAAAACGATAGAACTTGAATTGGCCAATCAGCTGCATCTTAGAAAAAAATCACATGGCTGCTCTGTGGTTTAGTTTACATAGTTTGAGATCAGTAGAGACTGGGTCCTCTGAGGTGCAGGTGCCCAACCTTAAACCCAGGCAGTGGCACAGATAATATTCAATTCTCAAGAAAAGTAAGTTAGTCATTTACATTTCTACAATTATAACATAAGTCTTTCTGGGCGGTTTACTTCTCCGCACAAAGGTTAATCATAGCTTCAAGCAAAACCTCAACAATGCCAATTATAATTATCCTGAACCCCATCCCTATCTAACAGTTTGGGGATAGGGACACGGACAACATCTTGCACCGTGAAAATGCACCGCTATGAGCAACACGACTTACTCGAAGAGGCTCTGATCTCTGCCTGTGAATACTGATGCTGGGGTAATCAGCCAGTCAGCGACGAGAGAGATACGGAGAGAGGCAGACCACAGAGAAGTCATTAGCCAACCAGGGTCTCCAGAGAACCAGGGAACAAGAGGCGGAGTGAGAGAGAAAGATGGATTGAGATGAGATAAAATACAGAGAGGAGGCCAAGGAGAAGATTTAGGATGCAAAAAAATGCTTGTGACAAGGTATGATTAAACGCAAGTAGAAAATTAACCATCTACTGTACATGGCGTGATCCTGTGGTTTAAATAACTCAAAACCACGGAGGCAACATGGTGGAGCAGCGGTTAGAGGGTCCTGGGTTTGAGTCTTTCACCAGACAGGGCCTTTCTGTGTGGAGATCGCATGTTATCCCCATCACTGGGGTCCTTCAGATGCTTTGGTTTCCTCCGTCAAAAAAGATATACATGTTCAATAGTTATGAATCTATGTGTGGGTGAAAGAGTCAGTGAATGGTTGGTTACTGGAGCAACCGGCATGCGTCCTGTGTCATAGACATTGTCCACAACAATAAAGTGTTTTTTGACTGTGTTATAAATAAAGATTGCTTACTACTTACTATGTGTTGTGTGAGCATGCTAGACACACACAAATTAAGGTTTGCAATAACCTTGAAATACGTTTTTCACAAACTACAGAAAAAAAAGACACCGTACCAAGTAATGAGCAGTTTTCAAATTGTTATCGATCATGATGAATAATATAAATATTATGTACTGTGTTTTCCAACACCTTAAACATTTAAATGAAAGACACATGTTTTTCCCATGCTTTTTGTCGCATTGCATTCTTGTATCTGTTGCCGGATACATCACATGGAAACCAATGGCGTAAACAAACAGCGATTGAAGGCATTACTCATCATTGAGCCATAAACGACACGCTTGGCAACACAGGAGTGATTAGATGTCATTGGCCGTGCAGAACCGCCAAAGTCATTACAGGCTAAATGAATGGAAGTGTGTCAGATAACGCAGCCTTATCTCACATAAGTGCTTCTCCTTAAATGCAATCGGACCTCAGGTCTGCAGTATAACCTTACAGAGTGAGCGTGTGTGTGGTTCACAGTGTGTTAGCCTGTGCTGTTAGCTAAAAACTGTAATATGGAATATAAAAGTGCACAATATTTTCTAATAGGATGTGAATGTATTCATGTTGTCATATCATCCCCTTTGCAGTGTCATTTTCCATCTGAATTTAGAGATCCACTCTATTACCTCTTATCTGGCAGCAATACAAAATGTATGCATTATTCTTATCAATTACCATTGATCGTGAGACTATATAATTTGTGATGTAATGTGAAATGATTTATTATGTAGAAATGATATGGTGAAACAAGTACTAACTGTAACTGTAATCTCCCGTCACTCCCGATGCTACCACCAGAGGGAGGAGTTGAAGTTTTATTTTATTTTATTTTTTCAATTTGAAAATTCCCAGATGCCAATGCAGCATTATGATTGTAAATAACGCCTTGTTACCTGAGAAATTAACAACACTAAAATAGGAGAAATATGTTTCTCACAGAACTCAAGACAATGATGACCAGTGTTAGGAAGGTTAAACATCATTTCTAGACTCTTTGATTTTCACTTTGAAAACCCACCTGGGATTGTATTTACCACACTTTATGATCTGGTCTAAAGTCCTTTTTCCCTCATAGAGCTAAGAATGAATCTGACCCAAAAGTCTGTTTAACAGCAGAGTGTTATGGGAACAGGGCCAGAATACTGAGCCTCAGAGGTGCTTAAAGAAAACTGTCTCCCTTCCAAATACTGAACCAGTGGATAACACAGAGATGGAGAGAAATTAGACTATCAGAGATAGAGAGATAACAAGATAAGACGATAGATAGATCCAAGATAGAGAGATAGATAATCAATCAGATAGATGATCAGATATGTTACAGATATAGAGAATATACTGTAGATAGATCATAGATAGAGATAAGAGATCGTCGATAGAGATAGATAGATCAGAGAATACGAGAATCAGAGAGAAGAGAATAGATAATCAAGAATAGAAGTTTATATTTATTTTTTATTTATAAAGCAGCATGAGTGCAACAGTATTTTAAGTACTACAAGAGAGAGGTATTTCACCCAGACCATTGGAAACTCTAGAAATAACTCCCATGCCCTTTTTGCAACCGTGAACAGATGAACACACCCCCCATCACAGTTGCCTTTTGAGTTCATTTCCACATTTAAGTGCAATGAGTTTGCAGTATTTTTCAATGAAAAGGTTCAATCCATTAAAAGAGCAATAAATCCCACATCACAAATTTCTACACAAACAACTGAAGTTTCTGAGCTGTCCTTTTGTTCACCTGTCACTGAAAAATTGGTCAAAGAAATTGTTTAAAAATTGAAATCGTGCACTTGCTGCCTTGACGTGTTGCCCACTAGATTTTTAAAACTTGTTCTTAACAGTTTGTTGCCTTCACTCACTGCAATAGTGAACGTATCTCTTCAGTCAGGAACCTTCCCTGGTCCTCTGAAAACTGCAGTGATCAGGCCTCTCTTAAAAAAGAGCAGTCTTGATCCTGCAGTGCTCAGCAATTACAGACCCATTTCAAATTTGCCTTTCTTAGAGAAGGTGTTAGAAAAGGCCGTTTACCTGCAGCTAAACAATTTCCTCCTGCTGAATAATGTTTTTGACCTGTTTCAATCAGGTTTCAGGCCCCACCACAGCACAGAGACTGCCCTGATAAAAGTTTCCAACGACATCCGCGTCAACAGTGACTTAGGCAAAGCCACAGTGTTGGTCCTGTTGGATCTCAGTGCAGCCTTTGACACTGTTGAGGGATGGGTTGGCATCACTGGCACTGCCTTAAGTTGGTGCAAGTCCTACTTAGAGGACAGACAGTACTTTGTTGAGATTGGGGACTGTGTCTCAGACCAGGTGGCCTTAACAAGTGGAGTGCACCAAGGTTCAATTCTGGGCCCCCTTCTTTTTAATATTTATATGTTGCCACTAGGTCAATTGATTCGAGGCCAAAATGTATCCCATCACAATTATGCAGATGATACGCAGATTTATGTCTCACTGGCTGCGGGTGAACTTGGGCCAATTGAGTCACTCTGTCACGGCATCAAACAGATTGACTCATTTCATTTCATTTCATTTCATTTAATTTCATTTCATTTTCAAGCCCTTTATTGTCAGGGGGGTGGCAATGAGAGCTGCCACCCAATGCTCATAGCACCAGTCCCTCGCTGATCCTCTGCGAGGGACTGGTGGGACTGGTGAAGTGAAAATCACTTTAATGATTTGCACTTGTTTTGAAACTGTTTTAGTCGATCGATTTCACAGTGACATTTGTTTACAGTTTTATTTGTTTTATTTCTGTCTTTTAATGTTGTTTTATGTCTGTATTTGTCTGTGCACACTGGTGACTTTTGCTAATGTATTCCTATGTGGTGTTTTTACTGCAAATGGCAAATAAACTGAATCTGAATCTGAATCTGCAGGGGGTGAGTCCACAGGAAGATGGCTGCTCTGTCAGTGGTGAAACAGCCTTGGTCTTTCAGCGGGGGCTTCAGGCGAAGTGGGGTTAAGTGTCTTACCAAAGGACACAACGACAGTAGACATCAGTGGGAGCAGTTGGAGTAGGTCCCATGGTGGGAATCAAACTCACAACCTCCTGGATGCATAATAACTTTCTTCAGTTAAATTCAAACAAAACTGAAGTTATTGTGTTTGGCCCACAAAAACTCAGAGGAAGTGTGTGTAGCCTTCTCCAATCCTTTTCTCTGTCTCCAAATTACAAAAATCAGGTTAGAAATCTAGGAGTAATCATGGACTCGGACCTCAATTTCAATAGTCACATTAAATCTGTAACATCAGCGGCTTTCTACCATCTAAAGAACATTGCTAGAATTAAGGGCATAATGTCTAAGGCAGACTTAGAGATTGTCATTCATGCTTTGTTTCTAGTAGGTTAGACTACTGCAACGGCCTTCTCTCTGGTCTGTCCAAAGGAGCTGTAAAGCAGCTACAGTATATTCAAAATGCTGCAGCTCGAGTCCTGACAGGAACCAGGAAGTACGACCACATTAGTCCAGTCCTCAGGTCTCTGCACTGGCTTCCTGTGGCTCAGAGAATAGATTTTAAATCAGCTCTCCTTGTATATAAGTCTATATAAGTGGTCTCGCACCAAAATACATATGCAACATTCTGGTGCCGTACGAGCCCGCTCGAACTCTGAGGAGCGCGGGGGACTGGCCTCCTGTTGGTGCCCAGAGTCGGGACTAGACATGGGGAGGCAGCGTTCCAGACCTATGCACCTAGAATCTGGAACAGTCTTCCCGAAGGTGTGAGACAGCTCCTACTTTAGCTATGTTCAAGTCCAGGCTGAAAACGGTTCTTTTCAGCCGTGCCTACGACTGATCATCAAGAAATCGGATCATAAATTTATTTTTTATGTATATATGTATTCATTTTCTAAACTGTCTTTTGTATTTGTTTTTACAGTGTGTTTCTAAATTGTTTTTAAATTGCTTTTAAATGTTGCCGATGTGAAGCACTTTGGGTTGCATTCTTTATGAACTGTGCTATAGAAATAAACATTTATTTGATTGATTGATTTATTTTTCTTAACTAGGGGCTAAAATGGTCTACTTTTAATCACTGTGCCGGGTCCTTTTGACCCAAGGGTAGCACAAGTGGTTTTTTATAATTGGAGGTTGGATAAATAGCCAAAAGCAGCGAGTACCTGCACAGTGATGGTGTATATGTATCTGTGTGTATGTACCTGCGCAGTGATGGTGTATATGTATCTGTGTGTATGTACAGTGCCTTGCGAAAGTATTCGGCCCCCTTGAACCTTTCAACATTTCGCCACATTTCAAGCTTCAAACATAAAGATATAAAATTTAATTTTTTTGTCATGAATCAACAACAAGTGGGACACAATCGTGAAGTGGAATGAAATTTGTTGGATAATTTCAACTTTTTTAACAAATAAAAAACTGAAAAGTGGGGCGTGCAATATTATTCGGCCCCTTTACTTTCAGTGCAGCAAACTCACTCCAGAAGTTCAGTGAGGATCTTTGAATGATCCAATGTTGTCCTAAATGACTGATGATGATAAATAGAATGCACCTGTGTGTAATCAAGTCTCCGTATAAATGCACCTGCTCTTTGATAGTCTCAGGGTTCTGTTTAAAGCGCAGAGAGAACCATGAAGACAAAGGAACACACCAGGCAGGTCCGAGATACTGTTGTGGAGAAGTTTAAAGCCGGATTTGGATACAAAAAGATTTCCCAAGCTTTAAACATCTCAAGGAGCACTGTGCAAGCAATCTGCAGTTCATCCAGAGTGATCATGGGCCTCTTGGCTACATCTCTGATCAGTCTTCTCCTTGTTTGAGATGAAAGTTTGGAGGGACGGCCGGGTCTTGGTAGATTTGCAGTGGTCTGATACTCCTTCCATTTCAATATAATTGCTTGCACAGTGCTCCTTGAGATGTTTAAAGCTTGGGAAATCTTTTTGTATCCAAATGAAAGTAAAGGGGCCGAATAATATTGCACGCCCCACTTTTCAGTTTTTTTTTTTTTTTAAAAGTTTAAATTATCCAATAAATTTTGTTCCACTTCACGATTGTGTCCCACTTGTTGTTGATTCATGACAAAACATTTAAATTTTATATCTTTATGTTTGAAGCCTGAAATGTGGCAAAATGTTGAAAGGTTCAAGGGGGCCGAATACTTTCGCAAGGCACTGTACCTGCACAGTGATGGTGGTGTAGACTCCGTGGTAGAAGTACAGGTCGGTGGACGGGTCGTTGGGACGGTGAGCGATGCGGAGGTCTAAGTAGCGGATCCCACAGTCCAGCTGCGTCTTGATGTCGTATTCCTGAAGAAAAGGACACATTCAGGCTTTACCATCTACATTATCATGTTATAGTGTGTCTATGTATGTACTGTATGTGTATGTGTATTTGTGTGAAATTGTATGTGTCTATGTATGTGTGTATGTATGTATGCGTGTGTATCTGCGTGTGTGTGTCTATGTATGTGTGTATACGTGTGTATGTGAGTATGAATGACAGGGACTAAAGTAGTATTAGAAAGTGCCAGACTCGCTGCAGCCGCTGATTTGTTTAACTTTGTTTGTTGTGTTTTTATGTAAATGTCTTTGGCATGAACTTCTAGAAACTGGTGCATGAGCAGATTCACTGATTGTAATGTAGTGTTTTCTCTGTTCTTTCGGTTTTACTTAGTCCAAACTTTTAACAAAGAGGCCCTCTTAAAGAGGGTCACTTTAGTTTCCCAGACTTGTCCGTATGCCAACAACACAGATTGTAAAACTATTTTGACTAGAATTGGTCTATTTTGAGATGCTAAATGAGGTAAAATATGACTGAGGTTATTTGAATAGCCATAATGAAAAACTTACAGTGCTTACAAATCAATGGATTCAAAAAGGACTGAGCTTTACAATGAGGTATAACATGCATGTATTGGGGAAGCGGAAGTTGGCTGGATAACACTATGAAATTGTGGTTATAATCTCAATGGTATTTGGTTAGCAAGGAATAGGGCCACATAGAATGACACTGCCATACATGTACAAACTGTGATCTCATGAACCTAAGGAAAGCTGATGAAGGATTCTGTCTGTAGTGTTCTCGACCTTAAACGAATCAACTCAATTCTTCACAATCAGTCAGCACTACTTTTAAACCAGTTTTAAGTTTTAAAGTTTTAAACCAGGCGTGTCCAAACTACGGCTTATGGGCTAAATGCAGCCTGCTCTGTCAGTTTGTATGGTCTTCAGCCACTAACACAAAGAAGTCTTTGTACTCAAGTACTAGTTTTGCGTTTTGAGTGATTTGCAGACATAAAGAGTGCAGTAAAAACAAGTCTGGTTTACTAAAGTGGCCCTCTTACTAAAAGGTTCTTCACAATCACTCCGTTCTAGACTATTCCAGCTCATTTATGTAACCCTACATTTCAGCCTGAAAATATAATATCAATATAAATCTATCAAAACTAATTCTTAGCTTGTAAACTGTTAGGTTCTAGCACTGTAGTTTTCACATACTTGTATTTTTGTACGTTCTCACATCTTTAATTCAGCTGTTACTTTTTAATTTGGAAAAACAGATGTCTCCATTTTGAAAAAATCTCCAGTTACAAACTTCATTGTGTTTTGTTCTTGGCAGTAAAATAGAAAGAAATAGCTAAAGAAAGAATTAACTCAAGAAGTTGATAAACTTCAATTTTTGTGGCACTAAAATAGATCTGGCTTTACAAAAATTACTTGTCAAAAAAAAAAAGCTCTTTACCATTATTCTAACAGCACTTATCTATTTTTGCAAATTAATTTACAAGATGAAGATGACGATGAAGAGATCCTATATCCGTCCCACAGTGGGGAAAAGTCAGTGTTGCATCATCAGTTACAGAACAGTAGGAATGAGGATCACACAGCACAAGATAAATGACTCTATACTAAAATAAAATCTCTGACTTTAGTAAAATAAAGAAGCAAGTATAAAATCCTGTATATTATAGTGCAGTAAATATATGGTACATGTTAGCAGCATGAGGGTCTGGGAACCGGGTTATACAGCAGAATATAGATATAGTGTATATATTATATATATTTTTGTATTATTATTATCGTTTTATTTTATTTGTTTACCTTTCCCTTGGTGGGACCACAGGCTACTAGTCTGTGGGGTATAAGAGTGTGAGCCTACTGACCCAACCTACGGAACAGAAGGTGGCGGTAATGCACTAACAATTGGTCGCCAACCGCCGACAAAAAACCCAAAAAGAAGAAGATGAGGGTCTGGGACACAGTGACATGTGGTTCTATATTGCACATTCTGACATTATTTCAGATGTTTAAGGGACAATAGAGTGTCCTTGTTGTCTTCGTACCTGTGCCACTGCCCACTTATAAACAAAGGGCCTGACCAGGGGCTTCATGTACTTGTCCAGTCTCTGGAGCATGTCCGGCTGCAGCATGTCCATGGGCGAGCGGTCGTTCATGTCCAGGCAGTAGGTGATGGCGTTGTGGCTGCCTGAACAACACACACACACACACACACACACACAGGTCTTTTTATACAGGTATCTGTAACAATGACTAGAAATACAGGAGATGGAGAGAATGGAGTAAATGTAATGACACAATAGATATAGTTCATTATAGACAGAAATTGAGGGACTGGATCATTGATCTTCTGAGCCTCTGCCTCCTCTCTGGTCTTGTTCTTGTGAATTACTTGCACATTAGTGTCGTTACTGAAGCTTATTGCTACAGTGTTAATTCATTGTTGTGACACAGTTATTACAAGGCATAAAATAGAAGCAAATGGATGGATGGAAGTGAACACTGGTTAACTCTATAATCTATCTCTCTCTGTGTGTTTCTGTTTCTCTGTGTCTCTATCTAGCTTTCAACCCCCCCTCCTCTCTTTCTCCCATCTCTCTCCTTTCTTTCTCTATCCTCTGTCTCTCAGTCAGCCTATCTATCACTCTATCCTCACTTCTTGACTTTCACCTTTCTCTCTTCTCTCTCTTTCTGTCTGTGTCTGTCTGTCTACATACCAACCACTTTTATTTATTTGTACGCTACACAATATACACAAGTCGTTCATATTTCCAGTGATCCTAAATGAGGCCAGAGCACCTGGGATGGCGAGGTGATACAGTGGGACATCCCAGAGAGGGGGGGGTAGGTGGGACATCCATCTGTCCATCGGCAGCTCGGCCAGACTCCGCTCACTCATGACTCGCCTCGACGACATCAGCCTGAGTCACAGTTTCAACAATTTCAACAGTCAGTGTGGAACATCCCTCTCTATTCTTCTTTTACTATAATGTTTAATGGGTTTTCTGTATGAGAAGGACAGAAGTGACACACAAGCTAAGATCAGAGAGAGAGCAGAGAGAAACCAGAGAGAGGGAGCAGGAAGAGAGACCAGAGAGAGAGAGAGGCCAGAGCGAGAGATCAAAAAGAGCGACCAGAGAGAGAGATCAGATAAAGAGATACAGAAAGAGAGAGACCAGAGAGAGAGAGAACAGAGAGAGAGAGACCCAGAGAAAGTAAGTAAGTAAGGTTTATTCATATAGCGCATTTTACAGACCAAGGTCACCCAAAGCGCTTTACAATTGTTACAATAGTTCAGATATTGTTCCAATCACTCCACACACTGATGATAGAAGCGAGACGGACAAATTCAGCACTGGGAAGACCTGCATGCCGCAGTTCTCACCTCACACAGCTCTGCCAGCCTCTAGCCTCAGCCAATCGCACAGCTCGGCCAGCCCCCCTGCCAACCACTGACAGCAAAGCCGGCAGTTCGAAAGCAGCCACTTCCTACTAACCAGCCCTTCCTGAAGCTCTTGATACCCACCGCCTCCCCAGCGCCTCCTCGTGCTCCTGTTCTGGCTCCTGCTCCGCATGTGCCCCATTCACACCATGCTTCTAGCCACCACCAGTGCTTGACCCCGGGGATCTGAGATAATCTCAGCAGCAGTGATCTACCCTCTGCAAGTGTCACTGCTGGGGTCAATGCGCCAAACAATAAATCTTTCTAAATGCATTAACGTGTCTGTCTTGGTCTCTCCAGATTGAAATTACATTCAGACCTATTGTGCATGGTTTTAGTGGTAGGGGAAACTGGAGCACCCAGAGGAAACCTACGCAGACATGGGGAAAACATACAAACTCCACTCAGAAAAGCCCTGTTCCGACCGGGATTAGAGCCCAGGACCTTCTTGCTGAGAAGCGAGAGTGTTATCCACTCAGCCACGTGCTGCCCAAAAAAGAGACCCAGAGAGAGACCAGAGAAAGAGGCCCAGAAAGAGAGAGGCCAGAGAGAGACCAGAGAAAGAGGCCCAGAAAGAGAGAGACCAGAGAGAGAACAGAGAAAGACCAGAGAAAGACCAGAGACAGACCAGAGAGAGACCAGAGAGAGACCAGAGAAAGACCAGAGAGAGACCAGAGAGAGATCAGAGAAAGGCCAGAGAGAGACCAGAGAAAGACCAGAAAGAGACCAGAGAGAGACCAGGGAAAGAGGCCCAGAAAGAGAGAGACCGGAGAGAGACCAGAGAGAGACCAGAGAGAGACCAGAGAGAGACCAGAGACAGACCAGAGAGAAGGAGCAGAGACAGAGCTATCAGATAGAAAGACCATACACGTGCATACAAATGAAGGATTGTATTTTCACTCTTTTTAATGTTTTAATGCACTGTGATTATTCATGATTTTATTGAGTGAATGTTTCTATCTTTAAACAACTTTTGTCACTACATTTGTTGAATGATAAATGTATAGATCATAGTGTTGTCACCATACTAGCATTTGAAACTTGATTTTAAATACAGTTTATGTACAAGTTTATTTTTACATCACATTTCATTGCACTTTGAATCACAAGGCAACTCAAAGTGCCATAGAGTTAAAAGAAACAAAATAGAAACAATCACAAAAGGCATTAAACTTAACCCTCTCTCACTCTGGCCTCTCTCACTCTGGCCTCTCTCACTCTGGCCTCTCTCACTCTGGCCTCTCTCACTCTGGCCTCTCTCACTCTGGTCTCCCTCATTCTGGTCTCCCTCTATTGTCTATATCTGGTCTCGCTACCTCCTATAGAATAGAATAGAGAATAGAATAGAATAGAAAAAGAAAAGAAAATAGTTTTAATACTTGTTTTAAACACGTAATATAGTAGTAATAGTAGACAATACACTTCCTGTAATGTAAAGTCAAAATTGTCTAGCTATAAAAGGTCTAAAGTGTTGTGAATCTACATATGTACAATACTGCAGAAATAAATAGTACTAATACTACAGTTACTAACAGCCATGAGAACCAATAATCACTGTACTGCACGTGTTCTGAACTATTTCAAAGCTGCCATGTTTCACTTCCAGATGCTAAGACTGTGGTATAAATAGATATTTATTGACAGAAACGCGCTGTCTTGGTGTTTGTCAGAGTAAAAAGTCAGTGCAGGTGTCTGTGCTGGTGTCTGTGCTGGTGCCTGATGGACCGTGTGTGTGTGTGTGTTTCACTTACAGCTGTGTCTGCGGGGAATGTGATGATGTCTACACAAACCACCCCGGTCTGCTCCATCCCTCACCGCGGCTCTCTGAAGCAGCTCTGCCCGGCACCGGCGCCTCCAGCCCCGGGCTTATCTCCTCCGCATGTGTCCGTGGGTGAGCAGGAAGCACAGACCGGTGAATTTCCGCATCTTTCTCCCCAAAAAACCGAAGGTGATCGGAGCTGGTGGTGGCTGCGGTGAAAGCTCTGGTTCTGTCCCCGGGTTTGATGCAGATTTTACAGGAGGGAAAAGGCGGAACTGGAGCAGGCGCGTCTCTTAAAGGACCCACGGCACGCGCTGACAGAACCACGCACCAGGGGGCGACGCAACTTTAATCATCCACACACACTAAAGCTGGGGAACCTGATTCTTAAACTTAACAGTGCAAACGATGCGAACTAGTTTATGTTCATGACAAACCCTTAAAAAGTAGCTGTAGTTGTTTTTTTCACTATCTCAGCTTTGGGCAACGATAATCAACTCCGAGCCCAAAGCGTCAAATAGTGACCCACGTGGACTGGCTGTTCCTTCTGCCTCAGTCCTGGATCTACAGCCTCATCAAAAAGCTGTGCCAGGGCTCAAAAAGTTTTGGGAACACTGGTTTAGGATCATTATAGACAAACACACGCACGCATGCACGCAGGTTCTGTGGTAATAGAAGGTTTTTCGTTTGAAAAAAAACCAGGCCTAATTGTGTCTAGTGGATATTGATTAAAGCCTCATTTAGTCTTACTTGGCTTCTTCAGCAGTTCAATACAGCCTGAGCCAGCACAAAGACTACAGAGACCTCAGAGCAGAGACCATAGTGCAACAGAGACCACAGAGCAGAGACCATGGTGCAACAGAGACCACAGAGCAGAGACCATAGTGCAACAGAGACCACAGAGCAGAGACCACAGAGCAGAGACCATGGTGCAACAGAGACCACAGAGCAGAGACCATGGTGCAACAGAGACCACAGAGCAGAGACCATGGTGCAACAGAGACCACAGAGCAGAGACCATAGTGCAACAGAGACCACAGAGCAGAGACCATAGTGCAACAGAGACCACAGAGCAGAGACCATGGTGCAACAGAGACCACAGAGCAGACACCATAGTGCAACAGAGACCACAGAGCAGAGACCATAGTGCAACAGAGACCACAGAGCAGACACCATAGTGCAACAGAGACCACAGAGCAGACACCATAGTGCACAGAGCAGAGACCATAGTGCAACAGAGACCACAGAGCAGAGACCACAGAGCGGACACCTCACCAGCTACACTTAAACATGAGGAGGATGCAGGGCTCTCTCTGATAAACAATTGTGATATACTGATAATAGCATGTGTATTATCTGTCTATAAGTTATACCGGAGTTCACCCTTAGACGGCGCAATCGCAATGTTCAGAGATGTTTCCGTCATTATTACTGGCCACGATGTAACAAAATTAAAACTAAATATATCATCTGAATAAGAGAAGATCACTTTTTGTCAATGTCAGTGTTGCAACACACAGACAGGGCACAAGATAAATGCTTCTCTATCCATCTATCTCTCGCTCTCAACTTGGCGGAATAGTAGTATAAAGAACCAAAAAAAATTGTCAATGTTTTTAATCCAACTAAACTCATTGAGTTTTATTGGTGAAATGTAATCGAGTATTTAATTAACTTTAATTAACTTTTGGTTGCTATAACTTTAGCTGTGATTGTGGAGAAGTGCTGCCCTCTACTGGCTCATAAGAGCTATAGCAATAAGTGTTTTCTCTGATCTTCTGCACTGACTTGAAGTCTGTTTTAGACAGGGAGGTTTAGTAGTTGTAATATATCTTATACAAATAAAGGTAAGGAGAAAAGTGACGGCAGTAAAGGGTCAGAACCAGAGACAGGAGATGTTACTTGGTGTTATAAGTTATACCATATAATAATAATAATTACAAAAAAAGTTACAAAAGTTACAAAGCAATAAGGTCAAATAGGTGCAAGTGCTCTTTAGGAAAGGACCAGAAACAAAGAGAAGGACCAGAGACCAGCGGGAAGACCCAGTGAGAAGGACCACAGACCAGCGGGAAGACCCAGTGAGAAGGACCAGAGACCAGAGGGAAGACCCAGTGAGAAGGACCAGAGACCAGAGGGAAGACCCAGTGAGAAGGACCACAGACCAGAGGGAAGACCCAGTGAGAAGGACCAGAGACCAGCGGGAAGACCCAGTGAGAAGGACCAGAGACCAGAGGGAAGACCCAGTGAGAAGGACCAGAGACCAGAGGGAAGACCCAGTGAGAAGGACCAGAGACCAGCGGGAAGACCCAGTGAGAAGGACCAGAGACCAGAGGGAAGACCCAGTGAGAAGGACCAGAGACCAGCGGGAAGACCCAGTGAGAAGGACCAGAGACCGGAAACCAGAGAGGACCAGACCAGAACAATCTATGGACTACATTTGTCTTGTGCCCCATAGTTTGGTTATCCCTGCCGGTTGAGCTATATTTTTCAATAAAACTTCTAAGAACACATTCATCCACATTTATCCAACAACAATACAGACAAAGCACAGTAATGATTTGAACTGATTTTATTTTAAAAACGTCCAAATTGAGAACTATAACATGGCTTTATGGAGTCGTAAACTGGAAAAGCATCATTCATCAGACATCTTACCTCCAACGCTCAAACAACAATAACAATATGAACAACAGAAGAACCTGCATGAATTATAAAGGATCCAGCTGATTACCAACAGGAGAGATTGGATTGAAAGAGAAAAAGGACTAGTGTTTTCATACTTCTGCTTCAAAATGTCAATGGCCTTTAGTACAATCAAAACCAGGATTTGTTTAAGTTCAGGTAGAATTAGGTAGAATTAACCTATTCAAAAGCTGATGTAAACTTTAAATCAGATAAAAACAGACTGTTTATTAGCAGTGGACTAACCCAGTGCTTAGATTTAGCAGAATATGGAAGAAGCCTGGATGTGTCATAGTTTGTGTTACTGCTAAAACCTGTTTCCACAAGAACTAGAGGCACCCGCTGTACTGCAGCTTAAATCCATACAGGCTGAAGGAGATTTTAACCATGGACCCAAATGTTCACTGAAATGGCTCGTCCTCAGCTGACAGGGGATTTTTAGAGTCCTGTCTCCTAAACTTTGTTCACTATAGTTCCACAATCTCTGCTCACTCTTCTGCTCAAATTGGTCAGAACGCTCACATGTCCCCCTCTAGCCTCGGTCTCGATCTCTGGTTCTCCAGGTCTTGTGCAGTAAGTGTGCAGTGGTTCTACTTCCACAGGACTAGAGTAACATGTGAGCGTTCTGACCAATCAGAGCTCTGAGAGACCAGAGAGAGCGATCAACGAGAGAGACCTGAGAGTGATGAAAGAGACCAGAGCAGGCCAGGTGCAAGCATGAGCCAATGAGACCAGGAGACTGATCTAAATAGGCATCTCGGAGACCCTTGGGTTGGGGAAGAAGCTGATGTGAACGTTCTAGCCAATTTCCTTATATGGGCATTTGTTCTGACAAGATTTACCCTTATTACAGCGCAAAGCTAACTGTTGCCAAGTCATCTGATTGTAAAACTAGCTATGATCCATGAAAATTCACCAAAAACAATATAAAATAAATATATAAAACATAAACACCAGGATCATAGAGAGCTAGTGGAGTTTACTTTTACATATGAGTAAATAAGAGTCAGAGCGAGTTGGAGCAAAGTACGTGTCCACAAGTACTTCCCTATTGGGCTTCACTGAGCTAGCCGGTTAGCATTATCCATTTATATAGTCTATGATTGAAAATATTTGAAATGATTTGGATTTCATCATTTTCATCTTTCTTTGACCCAGTTCATAGCTTGGTTGTGGTTTATGAGGTCTGCAAAATAGCACATGTATCTCACACAGTCTAAACACCATCTGAACAACGCTTAGAGACAGATTAATTTATGTTTAATCCACTTGGCTCATGGAACTCTGAATTAAACAATGGTCTGAATGGTGCAAATTAAAAAAAGGCATTTGTGTTTGGAATCCATCTAAAAAAATGGAAACGAACATCATTCAACACCAGTAGAAAATTGTGTACAAAAATCTTTTAGGCGATTGACTTGTAAAAATACTTTGAAACATCAAGATTCGTTCCACACTTTATATACAGCAGTAAGTCGTAAGGCAGAGTCACCGACGAGAACAAAAAAAGGTACAGGAGAAGGTGGGCGGCCAATTTGTCACATTATGAGCGTGTCCATACTTGGTCCAATTGGAGATGATCCATTTCAGATTTTTTTGCTTATAATGTGTATATGTGAAACCGAACAACAAAAAAACTTTAGCTTTGCCCTCACAAATTAACAGCCAATAAAGTGCTAATTAGAGTATAATTGATGGTTATTTATCTAATTATTAGTCCTTATACTACATGGCCTCATTCAACATGTAGCTGACACTTTTCCATGTGGCTTAGCACTTAATTATCTGTTCATTAGTGAGGGCTAAAGTGTTACCCAAAAACCCAGCCTGGTCCACTTGTCATCTCAACTGGTTCTTTTAGGGTGCATACACACTGGTCCAACTAAAGTTGCATTCATAATTTATCTGTGGAGAAAGCAGTGTAACGTGTGGTTTGAAATGTGTGTGTGTTTTTTAACCGTCAGTTCTACATTTGCAGGACTGTCAAAACCAGTTCTCAAAGTGCTAGTCTGGCTGCAGGTTTTACTTCCAACTTTTCCCTCCGAGGTTTTCTTTGAGTTGTTCATTGCCGATGAAGGGGTTGATGACCCAGGACATTTATGGACATTGGTCATCCGCCCCTTATGGACCAATGGCTCTCGTGTTATTTTCATTGCAAATCCTGTGTTCAAACTGTTCTCTGATCTGTGTTGGCGAATCAACAGCTTTGTAAAGTCCTCTGAGATAACTGCTGTTGTGATTTAGGGCTAAACAAAAAGAAATTGAATTGGACTGAGACTCCACCCATTTCCTCAAGTCTCCAGCTCAAGAATGGACTAATGAAGGAATGGGTGGAGTCTGCTGTGCTCCTGCTTGTTTGGAAGTAAAACCTGCAGGTGTGGCTTCCAGCTCTTTTGGGAAACACTTTGACGTCCCTAAAAATGACCATGCAAAAAAAAAAAAAATTAACAGCTAATGCTGATACTCCTAAAGACCCAAGTGTGAACGCTTAAAGTCCCCTCTGGTTTTGAAAGGCCACAAAGAGTACTATAACTCTATGACAACAATATTCAACTGCAAATCTTGTGGTCAAACCTCGAAACCCCAGTTCAGAGCCGAGGGAAAGACTGAATTACCAGGACCAGACATTTATGTTGGAATGATTGTGGCCAAATTTGGCATTTGCTGGAAAAAACCCTAATGGAAGACCGAGCAAGAGTTACCCCAGTAGTCACCTCTGTCTGGGTTGTCTGGGGGCGAAGGCCTGCTTTCCTCTGCTTAAACCTTTCCTACTAGAGTCAAGTTTGGGGCTTTCTCTCGACAGTAGCCTCTGCTTGTGTCTCCCCTTCGCCTCTGTCTCCGAGTCGCTGAGCTCCAAGTCAGGACAGTAGCCGTCGCTGTCTCTCGCTGCTTTGATTGTGTTGTGTCCGGTGATTGCCTTGAGTCTGTCTTTAGCTGCGCCTTTTCCTTTCATTCCCAGTTTCTCGACGTTAATGTCCTCGGTCGCTCGCACCAAACTGATCGTGGCCTCTTTGAAGGACTTCCCGAAATGCTCGAGGGCGACTTTCCGGAAGCTAGCCTTCTCCATCGCTTTACTAACCTCGGCCTCTGTCTTAGTCTGGCATGAGTTGTCTGTCTGCGTGACGTACTTGTCCAATACTCCGTTCAAACTCGGTTTGTTGCGACTTTTCCCGTCCTTGTGGCGCTTCCCGTTGGACGAATGGCCCTGCAGAGCGGCGTGCAGAGCTAAAGGCTTGCCTGACGGTTTCTTCTTGAGCATTGAGGGCGAGAGGTGTCCGTTGGAGAGGTCCTCTTTGCAGTTGTGAGTGTGGAGCAGAGGTTTTCCCTGTCCCAGTCCCTCTCCCGGTCCTCCCTGGTCGCTCACGTTCAGACGGTTGTCCAGACTCAGAGGACCGTTGGCAGATTTGTTCACAGAGTTCCCATTTTGGCCGTTAGTGGGTTTGGACTTGGGCATCTTGAGCTTCAGTGTGATCCGAGGAGGAGGAGGGCGGAAGAGGGTATTCTCCACAGGGAATGAAGATGGAAGACCTAATGAAAAAGAAACAAAGACACACCTTTATTCATCCCTCAAAGGAGATTTCAGCATCTATAGAACTCAACTAATTCTAAAAATCCTTATAGATGAAGTGTTGCATCATAGAACAGAAGGAATGAGGAGCACACAACACAAAGAATATTTATAGCTCAATAAAGAAACTTATAAGTACAGACATGCAATATATACCTGTAAACTCTATATTTGTACGGTACATCTGCAATACAGTGGAGTGCTAGTACATCGGAGTAATAAGTCGCTCATCATAATACAGTGTCCTCACCGGCCATGAACTCCTGGTCCAAGAGTTTGATGTGAAGACTGAACATCTGCTCCTGAGCTTTACTCTGCAGCAGCTTCAGCTTCTCGCGGCGACTCACCATGTAGCACAGGTTCCTCACCTACAAACATAAAGGCTATTTATAGTGCTGGCAGTTAAACAAATTAATAACAGCAGTAACGCAAAACAGTTTTATTTTTTTTTATCGTGTGATGAACGCAAAAAGTTCCTGTCGGATAGAAAAGGAACATCCTCAGGAGAAAGAACGGGAAGGGTCCATGAGCGCACGGTCACAGGAGACAGGAGACTTCACTGATTTCCTCACGCGAGGCCAGTCTTAACTTGGAGACTGGAGACACGTGAGCATGTAGCAAGGAGGATAAACCAGTTTTTGCTATAGGGCCCCTTGGCTGAAAGCCAACGGGTCAGTCAGGGTCATTACACCGCCGTGGTGGCACTGGGGGCAGTACTGCTGCAGGGTCTCTGTGTGAATGGGCTATAGATGGACAGAGAATGAGAATTACTGTATTCTTATAGTCAGACACATACACGATTGTAGTGAGATGTATTAGATTCTTACAGTTAAGACACATGTATGAGCGCCGTGTCAGATTAGACCAGGGGTGTCAAACCGATCCTCAAGGGGCCCAGTGGCTGCAAGTTTTAGTTCCAACCTGAGCAAGAGCACAACCGACTCCACCCATTTCCTCTGCTGAGTCCAGTTTTAAACCTGAAGATTTCCTCAAATCTTCAGATTCTGAAAACTGCCACAACAGCCCTTTCAGAAACCGGTTGGACACCCAGGCAGGATACAAGTGAATGTTGGTGTGTTTTGGCGACAAAATAAACTCTTGAGCGTCTAAAGTGTTATTGCAATAGCACCACACTGTGACAGCACGGCTCAAAACAGAAGGGAGTTATCCTCATAGGAAACGCTTCCCTTTAGCCTTGGAGCGGCAGATCTCAGTATGCAACTGAAGGTAGAGATGTGTGAAAACGCAAGTCTCAAGAGGGCGCAGCAGGACGACGTAATGTGATGCCCAAAATCACGTCCCCACCACACCTCATCCCCCCACTCCCCACATCGACCCCCCTCATCTGGGTTGCAGCAACCTACATGTATGAGAGTAGTGAGAGTAAAACAAAGCTGTATGTAGCTCACCCTCTCCAGATCCTGCCGCAGGTGCATGAACATCCTCATGCGTGTGTGCACACTGTCCTCCTGCGGCTGCAGTGCCAGGTTCTGCTCCTCCTCAGCAGGGGACAGCAGAGCTTTGTTGAAGTTGTTTTTCCGCTTGAGTTTCCAGTATTGATAGATGAAGTCGACCCTGCGCTCTGACAGCTGGAGGCCTCTGATCAGGTCGTCTGGTTGGATCAGAGTGTAGAAGTCCTCCTCCAGCTCGCGCAGCCTCTGAGCGCGCGGCCCGCACTTCACCGCCTCCACAGAGGGTTTGGCTCGGACCGGACTCAGGCCTGGCTCCCCAGACTTGGGCTTGCTGTGTTTGAGGCAGAAGGACTTGAACTTGACCTCGTCCCCTTCGTCCAGAATGGTCTTCATCTCCAGACTGTGCTCAAAGGCACAGGTCACATGGAAGGGGATGGTGCAGTTCTTCACCGAGCACTGAGGGCAAACGGAACACAGAACACGTTTCACATTCAGCTCCAACAAGTATAAAAACATACAAATTCCATCCATCCATTTTCTTCCCCTTAATCCATTTCTGGGTCGGGGGGGTGGCCAGAGCTGCACCCAGTCCACAGAGCACCAGCCCCTCACTGATCCTCCTGCAGGTGGTGAGTCCACAGGAGCTGAGATCTTTCAGTGGGGGCTTCAGGCAAAGTAGGGTTAAGTGTCTTGCCCAAGGACACAACGACAGCAGTCATCAGTGGGAGTTGTGAAGTAGGTCTTGAGGTGGGCTCGAACCCACGACCTTCAGGCTCAAAGGCCAAATTCTTTATTACAAATTCTTTATTAATAAATAATAATATTAATAACTGTTAATTTGCTTGAGCCAGTGAATGGTACTGTGAAGCACAAGCGCTAACCACTACGCCACCCTCTGAAGTAAACTAAGAATAAATTATTTAACAAATCTAGAATCATAGACCCACCTGTATACAGGCTCCAGTCTTTATCTTACACAAACTGCAGATCAGAGACCAGCGACTCGGAGGAATGTGGGACACTTTGGTTATGGGCTCCATTCTCTCAGGACACGCAATGCTGACCTGTGAGGAGGAGAGGAGAGAGGAGGAGCATGGGAGGAGAGAAGAACCCAGAGGTGCAGAGAGGAGGAGAGGGGGTTGAAGCAGTGAAGGCAACACCAGCACAGAAAGTTCCATAATGATCTGACCTCAGGGATCCACAGGGCACAGCTCACATGGCCCCACCTTGTCCCGGCCCGTGTGGCCTTCATGGCGCCTCCTTTGTTGGGGCAGAGCAGACACTGGGGGTCGATGCCCAGGACACAGGTTCGACACAACCAGTTCCCGACCGGAACTTTGACAATCCCATAACAAGCCTGGAGAAGACGCGGAAATAAGAGAAAGCACAAACATTAGTGAGATTATTAGAAGTGATTTAGAAACACCACGTTTTGATTACAATAAAAAACATAAGATGTTAAGATACAGGGCTTGTGTAGGTTTCCCTTGTATCTTGAGTCCATAAACACTGCCACAATAAAAACATATTAGCCGCAGGGTCCAAAAAACTAGACAATAGGTCTGGTATGCACTATCACTGTGTGGAGTGAGACGCAACATGCCCAAAATATTGTAAATATGCGCTGTATAATAATAAACAGAACTTAAAAGCAAGTAATCTTTATTTTGTAAGAAATAAGTGGGTTGTCAGCATTTCTCGGCTCAACCTGACATTTATTTCAATGGTCATTTAGTGAAGTAAGTAAGTAATCTGTACTTATTCACTAAATTACCACGGGGATACACCCCCTCCCCACCTAGGAGCTGCTTCAGTCCTGCACCGCACCAGTCTTCATTCTACAGCCCAAGTCCTGAGCCACGTGGCCTTGGTATTCATTCTACAGTCTGTAGCTTGAGTCCTGGATCTACTTCATGGGAGCAGATCCCTCTATCAAGGTGGATCTCCTAAAGGTTTCTCACTTTTTCCCACTGGTTTTTAGAGTTTTTCCTTGCCGGTGCAGGAGGGTCTGTTAGACTGTTAGAGGGTCTAACAAAAAGGACTGTGGTGATGATCTAGGACACTCACATTCAACAATATTTATGGACATTTATAAACACTCATGGATATAGGTGTTGGTCCATAGGGGGGAATCCTCTGAGATAACCACTTTTGTGAATTAGGGCTATACAAGAATAAATTGAATTGAATCGTATCTATATAGGGCAGACAGAGTCACAAAGCGCATTACAATTGTTGCATGCATTTGTCTCTCACTCCAGCAGGGTCTTGTACACAATTTTAGTGGAAGGGGAAACTGGAGCACCCAGAGAAACCCAGAGCAGACAAGGGGAGAACATGCCGACCCCACAGAGGAAGGCCTGGAGGTTCATTTGTAAGTTTATTTGTGTTTTGTATATACTATATAGTAAACATCATCAAAATTAGAGGAGAATAATGACCTGATGCACACAGATGTTGCACTTGTCGCAGAAGACCATGTCGTTGCCCTCCTCGCTGTCCGGTGAGCGGCACACGTCACAGATCACGTCCTCGTCGTACTCGATGCCCAGACCCTCCACCGTCTCAATGGCGTGCTTCATGTTGTCGTGACACTGACGCTCCAAGGCCTCTAGGGTGCGCTCCATTGTCAGCTCGTCCATCGGCTCCTCCCCTGAAACACCACCATATTCACAACAGATCAGATAAATGCTCCTAAATATCTTAAAAGTAAATGTTCCAGTTAGAGCAGGGGTGTCCAAACTATTGTATGTGGCACTCTGTCGACGATACAAAGCCAACTTCAGTACCTCCTTCTCAAGCTCAGGACCTTTGGAATCCATCTGCTAACTGCATTTGGATATACCAACAATTCCATACATGCCGCTAATGTGGCTTTGGAGCAAACAAAGCTGCTCACACTGACACTGGGACGGGCCAATGTGTGCCCCACACTGGAAAATATGTTCGATGTTATAAGTGTGAGATTATGTTACTGTGGACTTTAGAGTGAAATAGGGGTGAGCGATATGGGCAAAAAAATATATAAATATTTTTTCCCCATATCTTGATAACAATGTTGTCACAATATAATTTAAAATAAGGCTGTCAAAATTAGCGTGTCAACTCACGTTTATTACATGTTTCATCAACGTGTTACATTTTTTTTGACGCATTAACGCATGTCCGAATGTATGGAAGCCGTTTCCGGCATGTAAAAAAAAAAAAAAAAGCCTACAGAAAGTCAAAATTACGACTTTAAAAGTCAAAATTTCTGGTTGTCTGGAACGGTCTCTGGTCATCCCTGTTATAGATCCATGACCATGGGTCATCCTCTACCTGCAGATTATGTGAAGATTTTGCCTACAGACAGTGACCACATCCATGAAGTAGCAGCAATAATGTTGTGGTAGTAATCGCGTTAAAATGCAAACGGTCTCTCCGTTTATGATTAGAATCCGCTTCAGAAGCCTCTATTTAGTTTATCCTAAATGGACTGTGGAAGATTAATAATAAAACACATGTGGCTGTTCAAAGTCATTGAGCATCAACTGGTGACATCTGGTCAGTATCACGGCTATCGGTGGATGCACCAGAAATGCAGTGAATATTATTGTGACTGACAGAGAGACCGTTCGCAATTACTGGACAGTGAGGGAGGTCCGCAGACAGAGGCAGGAGAACCACAGACACGGGCACTGACAATAATACCCTTTTGGAATTGCGATCAGTGCATTGAAGAGTATGTGACGTGTTTGCGTGCACGCGGGGGTGAGCTGATGGAGCGAGCGTGCGGGTAAAGTTGTTGGCGTATGAGCAAGAACACAGAGACATACAGGGAATAAGTACCTTGTCTGATTATTTTATTGTGACAAAATAAAGCCCACGACTCTTTTTTAACCGGAGAAATAACTCCGCAGATAACAGTGAGGGTCTTTGAAAAGGGTTAGAAATAGATAAACCCATTATAGATGCATGAATAAAACCCCGTACACAACACGTAGAAAGCACATCATTTCAGCCGTGGAAATACTCGCTCCGTGTGGACCCCTCTCAGCGTCATCGTCTGGTCAGAGTGGTCTATAGCAGATTGGATTGGAATGTCTCGATGGCTCATTTTCCTTTGATTTATTATAAAAACATATTGCTCACATTATTTGTTACTATGTCAAAATAAGAAGTCGTTTGATTTAAATGTTGTATATATGTAAATTGAATTTAACATAAATAAATAAAAAGACAGCTCCCCCCTGCGTCCTACGACCGCGGTCTGGGGCTTAAACAGGAAAGTTTTACAGAATCAATCAAACAACATTATTTCTGGCTACTTCAAGGATGCAGTGGTCGCTGTCGGCAATATCTTCACATAATCTGCAGGTGAAGGATGTCCAGAGACCGTTCCAGACAACAACACATACAAGTTTTCAACTGCACATGCGCAGTTGAAAACTCGTAATTTTGACTTTTAAAGACGAAATTTTGACTTTTAAAAGTCTTAATTTTGAGTTTTAAACTCAAAATTTTGACTTTCTGTATGCTTTTTTTTTTTTTTACATGGCGGCAACGGGCTTCCATACGAATGACCCGCCCAGTTATCCATATTATCACTCAGAATGCAGCACACATGCCTGTGTGCGATGGCAACAGAGCAGGTCTCTGGGAATTCAAGTTTTAAAAGAATACGCGAGTAACCGCGGGGCTACAGTCTATGGTATGAACTGAAGTCCGCCTTCCCGGGCACACCGGGGCAGCTGCGGCCGCTCACAACAACACGGAGAACGACGCTGCGGTAATGTACCTGCAACCTGTGCGTAACCTGTGCACGCAAATACCGTGTCTCCTCCTGAAAACTAAACTCGCTAAATTAAAGCTGGGGTACGTAAATTTTCCCCTTTCATTAACAGCTAATTTTGGTTGTGCCCAAAAGTAAAAGGTTGTGAGCAAATCAGATAGATTTGAGTAAAGTGCTTTGCAACTCTTGCACAAACTTATATTAACAGTAAAAATCTAATTCAAGTAACACGGGAAGAACACATGTCTGCTGTCGTTGTGTCCTTGGGCAAGACACTTAACCCCACTTTGCCCGAAACCCCCACTGAAAGATCTCAGCTCCTGTGGACTCACCACCTGCAGGAGGATCAGTGAGGGGCTGGTGCTATGTGTACTGGGTGTAGCTCTGACTGCCACCCCCCCGACCCAGAAATGGATTAAGGGGAACAAAATGGATGGATGGATGGAAAGAACACATCAAAAAAAGCTTGCTCAATGTTCAATATAATTTTTTTTCCTTTATTAACGACAACAAGACAGACACATCAACATTCAACAAGAACAACAAACAAACAAAAACGTATATAAATATATGCATTTGAATGTCATTTGTCATTTATCTCCTGCTTTTCAATGCAGATTGTAATTTTAGGTGAAAGACAAAAATATAGTTATCAAAATACTAAACACTCATATCAAATATTTCTCTAAATTCCAATATTGTGCAGCCCTAATTAGAGTTTTTTTTTATTTTAAATTGTCGATAATGCAAATAATAATTTCTTCAAATTCACTTCCATATTCCAATATTATCGTCTACAACAGGGGTCTCCAACCTGTGGCTTGGGAGCCAGCTCCTTTCAGGTTCTTGCCAAAGCATTTAGAATTTAAAAAATGATCTTTAATACAGTGTTTTTCAACCTTTTTTGAGCCAAGGCACACTTTTTTCACTGAAAAAATCTTGCGGCACACCTCCAGGAGAAAATGTAAAAATGTATACAGTACTAATGTAAAAAAATATATACTGTGCATACTCTGTGTGATATATAAAGTATATCTTATCTTATAATGTATACAGTATACTCTGTAGCCTATATTCACAATATACAGTTATTCTCATCAAAATGCTTAAGTCCAGGCCTTGAAATTAAGCTTTATTTAATATTTCTCGATACAATTAACAAGAGTTTGGGAATAAAGTGGCACTAACTGTGTGGAAAAAAACTAAGAAAATCCACTCTCTGCCCAAATAGTCAAATAATAACTCACACAAAGAACATGCATTGTTAGTGCATGGGAAACATTTTGGTATCCGAGCTTTAAATTCAGGAGTTTTGGATGAGGGACACGGGAGGTCCTGAACGCGAGTCCATGGTTCTGTCCGGTCCGCATGTCTGTGGTTCTGTCCACTCGACTACGGTCTGCGCTCGGTACCCAGTTCAGAAGTGCGTTCGCGAGAGCTGTTGTACAAAAATCGTACATTTCATAGTTAAACCACTACAACGCGGCCACAGCTGCCCCGGGGCAGAGCGGAGGATGTTAATCCTGTTCAGAAACGGCATAATTCATTTTCAAAAACGTCTCTATCACTTTCACTTCTCACTCGCCACAAAGCTCTTGTCTCGCTCCCTCACACATTTGTTGGTCGCATCCAATTTTACCTTTCTCGCCACAATGCTGACCTGTTACAGCCAGTGGTCGCATCCAATTTTTCAGTTTCAAAGTACTTAGCTATCTGCTGCCATCTACTGATTTGAAAAAGTATTACAGGTTACTCACAGTTCAAAACAAGTCACCGCTCGTCAACAGCGAATGCAGCTATTTTTAGACAAAGTAGACGAATTTCTCACGGCACACCAGACAATATCATACGGCACACTAGTGTGCCGCGGCACAGTGGTTGAAAAACACTGCTTTAATAAATACATTGAGTCATTACATATTATAAGTATAGATATAGGGTAATACAGTAATGTGTTATATTTACATGTGTTCTCTATGTTTTGTTGTAATTATTAGATAGATTTTTATTACGACTGCAAAAAGGAGTAGCTCTCTGAATATTCTTTTGTACAAAAGTAGCTCTCCGAAAAGGTTGGAGACCCCTGGTCTACGATATACATCGCCCACCCCGAGTGTGAAATGCATGTATTGATTTCATGGTTTGTAAGTTCATATGATCTGAAGGAGAGATGCTTTGTATGTGAGATATATCTTTAATGTTTTGTTCGGAATGTTTTTGATCTTTTGTTATGTGTATAGTATTTTTGCTTAGTGTAATAAGCTTGTTAAAGTTATGTAATTGGGTTGCAAAAGTGTAATAATTGTAGGTTTTAAATGTTGATCTTCTTCGTGTTTTGTAGCACTTTGTTTTTGTGTGTGCTCTGCAGTCACACACATAGGCTTCAGTTGTCATGCAGTTTCTTTTTGATTTAGTACATGCGTGTCGGTCCTTCTCAGTCGCTTGACCCCAGTCATATGAGAGTGCTCACTGATTTTGGCCTTTTTAAATCAAGGCTCAAAAGTAATTTATTCAGAATGGCTTTTAAAACTTAACACTCATTTGCGAGGTGGCACTTTTGAATGCGTTTTAACTTTTTTTGATTGCATTCATGTTTTAAATGGATTTTATGTGCACACTTTGGTCGTCTCGAGTGTCGTAATGAGCTTTATAAATAACATTTGATTGACTAAGAAGCACATCTACACATCGTTTTCAATCAGAGATCTGGACTCACCCATGTGGGACAGCTCCATGTTGAGGTTGTACAGCCAGTGCAGGTCAACCTCGTCTAGGTCGTAGCGACACATGGACTCCGCCAGCTCCCGAATGTTCACGTACCCCGGCTCCGTCAGGTCTGGTTTTGAACACTGTATGTACTTCTTCTTGTGGCTGTAGAGCTGTTCCCTGGATCTGTCTGCAACCACTCTGTAGTAAAGACAATATAGACGATTCCCATCTGATATTAGATACTAACAAACACTGTTGACCTGACCTCACAGAACCGTGCAATATGAAAGCAGAAAATAAAAGAAGAAAAATTAGCTTCGCTCTATTTGCATGAGTTATAAAAAGCTTACCTGGCAGAGGGCCGGGGGATTGTGTCTGGACTGGCCAGGACCTGGACGCCCTTCTCCCACTCCTGCTTCCATGTGTCGGCCAGAAGGTAGAAGTCCTCAGGGTTAATGTGGTACGAGTCCGGCAGCTTCATGGCACTGATCAAGTCTTTTCTGAACACCTAAAACAAAGAGAATAACAGTTAAATTATGTGTATTTATATAGTGCATTTTACAGACCAAGGTCACCCAAAGCACTTTACAATATTCAGAGTTCATATATTGTTCCAGTCACTCCACACGGTGATGACGGAAGCGAGACACCGAACACACTGGCGCATCAAAGCCCCCAACACCATCCATTCACTCACTCATTACATGTTTTTAGTGGTAGAAGAAAACCGGAGCACATGGAGGAAAATCCTACTCGGACACGGGGAGGTGGAATCGAACCCAGGACCCTCTTGCCACCCAAGTAAGTAATGGCATCCCAACGGAAATGTACAGTTCATAATTTGTTCTACCCATAAATATACAAGAATATACTACTATAGCCCCAGTTGCCCTGGGGTAGAATGATTTCTAACTTGCCAATGTGGAACCTGGTCTTTACAGAAGTCTCCCATCAAAGAAATAACCAGACTGCACACTGCTGCTAAGGAACAACTCGCCTTCAAACCTCCTGTGAGAACTTTTTCACACACAAAAAACTATAGATGAAAAATAACTAACTTCTCTCGTCCTTTCCCTTAATATGATCCAAATCCTGAATATTTTTATACTTAAAAACATGTCAAGGGAATTAAATATCTAACAACATCTGTTTGGTTTAGGAGATGCTAATAATCCATTCTTACTTCAGCCGGTTTCTTCTGGCTAGAAGCGGGGGTTCCCGGTTTACTGCCATATTTGTTTGAGGAGCAGAAGGAAGTGGAAGGACCTGGGACAGGAAATACAAGATTTAAGTTTTAATATAAAATAAATATAATATGTTATGAGCACAGTGGACTTACTTTCATTGTCAGAACTGTCACTGCTGCTGGAGGACCTGATGCGTTTCATCCTGTATCACCCTACAGAAAGAAAACATCACCATTGATGAAAAAATCTGAAGAAAAGACTTGTCTGGTGCACTAATTTTGCACCTGTATTCCATTTTGGTTTTACTGAAAATGGCAAATAAACTGAATATAGTTAAATTATATAAACTGAACACAGTACAGACCAAAAGTTTGGACACACCTTCTCAAAGAGTTTTTTTATTTTCATGATTATGAAAATTGTAGATTCACACTGAAGGCATCAAAACTATGAATTAACTCATGAGGAATTATGTATGTACTTATAAAGACGTACAGGTTCTAGGTTCTTCAAAGTAGCACCTCTTGCTCTGATTACTGCTTCACACACTCTTGTCATTCTCTTGGTGCGCTTCAAGAGGTAGTGACATGAAATGGTCTTTCAACAGTCTTGAAGGAGTTCGCAGAGGTGCTTAGCACTTGTTGGCACTTTCGCCTTCACTCTGTGGTCCAGCTCACCCCAAAACCATCTGGACTGGGTTCAGGTCCGGTGACTGTGGAGGCCAGGTCATCTGGCCCAGCACCCACCACTCTCCTTATTGGTCAAATAGCCCTTACACAGCCTGGGTGTGGATCTACAGTCAATAGTCATGAAAAGAAGGGACACTCACTGAATGAGAAAGTGTGTCCAAACTTTTGGTCTGTACTGTATATATAATTTAAATATAGAGATAATATCATATCCCATTTTAAAGAACATCCCAAATTTTTAACTTTTAAAATCCTGGTTGTCGGGTTTCCTAAAGTGGCCTCTTAACTAAAAGGTTTGTGTAGCCCTGAACTAAAGCTTTGACCACAGTTCTCTACAGTCAAGTCTCTGGTTTGCTGCTTGTATCGGTGTTGATCTCTGATGGTCAAAAGTGTTTGAATCCTTACGTCTCTGCCTGTCACTCGATCACAGACAGAGATAGCGAGGACACGCTTTATATTTGCAGGGGGAACGACCGGACAGCACCACACAGCTGACCAGAAGATGACCTGCACCGTGTGTGGCATGGGTGGAGTTTTAAAACTTAAAACCTTATTACGGGACTCATGTGTAAGCTACGGGTGTTTACACTGAACACAATGCTGCATTCTGCTTGTGGATAAATATATTCTTTCTAAAAAAAAAAAGATTGCAGCAAAAGCTTCCCAAACATCTCACATTTGTTTCTTAGATATTCTAACTTTTTGAAATGGTTTTAGTGGTGTTTCATCATCTCCACTGAATAGTAAATTAAGAGCAACAAAAGTAAAATGTTAATGTAAAAAGTTCAATTGTTTTTATGTTTAAGGCTTAGAAAGTAAAGAAGTAAAGAAGCTAGTCCTGCTTTATCACCACATGTTTCTGAGGCAGACTTCCGCCTTTGACACGGTTCAGGAATAATTTATCACTTTAAAATATTGCACGTTCCCGTAAAGGATACAGAAAGCTAGCAAGTTAGCACCTTCCATTGCTACTGTAGGGTCTATGTCCATGGTCCAAACACTTGGTTGTTTAGTCCAGTCACAAACTCACCATAAATTTCAAAGGGAGGTGCATGCTAGTAGAGTTTTCTGTCAGTTTTCACCTACACTGTTTAATTCCTGCAAACACACAAGAAAGCATATGTGCAAGTTCTGCGACAGAGTCTCTTTAAAACCAACATGTCTGAACATCTAGTCTGATTGGTCAAACCTAAAACCACTGGGTCAAACTTGGCGTTCTGGCCACAGAATACAGAGCCCCGCTTCAGAGAGACAGGACGTGCCTCACATTCCCTGTGAGGAGAGAGGGCACGAGGGGGAGAAACCTGCTCCATGTTGGAGCACCACAGGCAAAAATATATGAATTCAAGTCTGATCTATAGAAGCAAAGCAACTACGATTATTTTTAAACCAATCAAAATCTACATGAAATATGAATCTTGCTGGAGTAAAATTGTGACTTAAAAATAATTGTAAAATTGATTAAACCTATTTTATCAGTCTACAATTACAAGTCTTTTTTACTTTTGTTTCACTCCAAATAAACTCTGCCAGAGAATAACATAGAAACTAATGTTTCATACTGTAAATAAATCAATACAACTCCACTAATGCAAAGAGACTAGAAATTGTATTTTAAATTCGATCCAGGCCAAAATGAGTTTGAACCTTGCCTTAACATAAAAAGGGGAAATAAGATCTTTTTAAGCTTATGGTGATTTGCTTCCTGTGTCCACAAGATTGCAGACAAGACATTGGAAAATCACATATTATACAGAAAACTTTAACATTAGTTTGTGACACTTGCTTAAGCTGTGCAATAATTCAACTGTAATTATAGCTATTAGGACGTAACAGACGACAAGACCAGCCTTGTCCACACGCTTCCTGTTTGACGTTTGAGCTGCATAATGTGACCCCGTGCAAAACGACGCCATAATAACAGAAAGGTGCCAGATTATCCACTATTTACAGTAACAACATCATTTAACACTTTAAGATTAGTTTTTTTTAAATGTTTGTTGAAAGACTAACAAATGCAGTGTGTTGCTATGGAAACTAGTACTGGCTATTTTCCCATTCAAATCAATGGAATTCTGAAAATGTCACTAGGTATATATTGAACTGTACTTAAATTTAATAAAATCAAACTAAATACCAACTGATGCAAGTAAACCAGCACATGCTCCAAGATGAGTTCTCTCTGAACCAGTGCAAGTTTGAGATAATTAATATTTTTCCATATATAAATATATATACAGAACAAGTCAAAGTGTTTAAGTCTAACATTTTACATATGCTGAGTAATCACACTTCCACAATGAAAAGACGTCAAATTTACTGCCCTGAGAGCTCCAGTGTTAAAAGAAAGGTCACCTTAAATAAAATATTATTTATTTTTTTAATAATAAAATTATTACATATAGATACAATAATGTCAAAGAAATGAGGACCGAAAAAAGTACATATGCCAAGTAATTTCACTAAAATACGACAAATTGACCCCTCTGGGAATTCGAGTCAGACAGCGGCAAGACAAAACATTATGGGGGCTGGGCGGCGAACCGGAAGTGACGCAAGATTACAATGTGGAAGCACATAGGGAAAAACGACTATAAAACCACTGTACATCGCGCTCCGGTGTCGCAATATGTACGTTTTGACACGCGTTGATTCGCACAAGCACAGTCTGTCCAAATGCCATTAGGAAAACTGGAGGAATTAGCAGCAGAACCCGAGAAAGAGCAATGTATTGGCGCCAAATCCCACGTTTACTGTGACTACGCTGTGTGGAGGAATCAAACATGGACGCCAGCTTTCAGAATTGCACTTTCGACATGAGTTTTTTTGGGTTTAGACAAAAACGTTGATTATGTGAAGCAGGTGCTAGCCCAAATAAATGCATTGAACATGGAAATTAATCTAAATCTGTTGACACATTCTGGCATACGAACCCGTGGCCTAGCTCTTCCTCCATTACTAGCAAAGACAGTCAACACGAGCAGATACCTTTGCGACTGCGCTCCATGCCAGGAGACCGCAATGAAGAATTCGTGTGCAAAGTAGGATGACGCACTCCAAATGGCGCTGTTGTTGTGGTTTCGTGGGTGTTTCTGGTGCTGTTTGTGTAAATTCTGCAGAGGGACGCTTCAGAAGCCGCTAGCCCGCTATCAGAGCAAAAGCACAACAGCGCTATTGAGTGAGTAAAAGCTACACGGCCGGAGCTGCACTCTCAGCGCTGCGTTCACATGGCTCCACCCACATGACCCGCTTCCTTGTTTCTTTTATGTACAGTGTGTTCATATTGGGGCGCTAACTCCCAGAGCAGTCAAATTTGACGGCTTTTAGCTTTGGAGGCGTTATAACTCAAGTTGATGTACATCTTTTTCCTAACTTTGTTACTTTTTTCTGAATCTATATAGTTTATTTCTATGCAATTATTTTTATGAAATTATCTTATAGCCTTTGAGTAATAAGAAATCACTGGCTTCCTGTGGCTCAGACAATAGACTTCAAAGCAGCTCTGCCTGTGAACAAGTCTCTCCATGGCTTCATACCAAAGTACATCTGTGACATGTTAGTGCCATATGAACCAGCTGGGACTCAGGATAACAGGGACTGGCCTCCTAATGGGACTCTGAGGAGAAGGGTCATATGAACCAGGTTTCTACTCATTGTTCAAATCCATTGTAAGAAACAGTTTAGCTGTGCAAACATCTGAAGGATTGCATCTTCACTCAATTTAATATACTGTGATTATTTGTGAGTTTAATGCCTTGTCTGAAGTTATATAAATGAACTTGCCTTTCCATAATTAGGTTCTCATATATTTGATTATTTGAAGATATATGGATGTCTATTGGCACCTGGGGAAAACTGTGAATATTGTTATTCATAGTTAAATCGCCCATAGTCTTTTGGGCGTTCATGATATATGGCCTAGTAGTAGTTTGAGGGATGAAAGTCAGTAATCTAAATAGACAAATGTCTTGCGTTATTAATATTAAGAAATACAGAAGAAAGGACTTGTGAGCGCAGCCTCCAGAATGCGGCTCCGCGTCTACTGTATATTTCACTGTTAGCATCTTTTGTATCGCGCCTCCCACTGGGTCCTAAACTCCGCCATCAGGTGGCTCATAGACTGTAATTTTCTCAACTTTCTCAACCATGGCTGACTACACATTTTTTTTATTATCATTAAGATACATATACAACAATAACACTCATCACTGGTGTGAAATCTAAGTTCACATTCTTATAACGTTAGACCAACGTTTTGAAGACCTGCTCTGAGGCCACCTGGTGGGTACTAAGCGTAAATTCAAGGATTTAAAAATGACCTAATCTGTATAGTGTAACCATCTCTGAATTATTGATTGGATAAATTGTCGTAAAGCTTGGTTATGAAAGAATATATATAGAAGTATCTGGGTGTTCATCTGAACCACAAACTGGACTGGACTGACTGGACGTACAACACAGCGCCCTCTTCAAGAAGGGCCAGAGCCGACTCTACCTGCTGAGGAGGCTCAGGTCTTTTGGAGTGCAGGGGCCACTCCTGAAGACCTTCTATGACTGTGGTGGCATCAGCCTCTTTTACGGTGTGGTCTGCTGGAGTCTTTCTTTTGCATTCTAATTATTTCCTTGTTATGTTGAGAAATTAAGATTTTTTAACCAATAAAGGCGACAAACGCGTATAGACACAACATGTTTTACTAAAAAGTTTTGTATCTGTATAAAACAGATGTAAAAACGTTACATATTTACTACAGCATTAGAAAACTGTGCACATCTACATTTCACCTTCAGCTTTGGCCTAAAACAGAATACAGCTTATATACAGACTTCACATTAACACAAAGCCACATGTACAAACAACATACGGTAAAAAATATGACTCAAGAAAATAAATTCATATAAAATAAATATTACAGCACTTTTTGTGGATAAGTGGTCTTTGATCTCATTAAAGCGGTCTCTTCGTCCGCCATAACACAGACATTATAAGCATTTATGTACAAATATATACACACACAGGCACGTGCGCACACGCACACACACACACACACGCACGCAGACACACACACGCACACTCTGGTATATTATTTTCTCCTAGTGCCTTCGAAATAGTCCTCTGTATGCTTCATATGAATAAAGATGGTGAAGTTGTTGTTGCCTTTTCACTGGTGTTGCCGCGGCTCACAATCCCATCTGCATGTCGGCAAAGTTAAAGAAGTTGTCTACGTCTCTGGAGGAGGTGTTTTTGTTATCGGAGACAAAAACCTGCAGAAGAAACGGTGGGAAAAGTGAGATACAGATTAAATTTATTCTTGTATAGACCTCAATCACGGCAGTATTTTACACGACCATTGAATTTGCCAACAACAGATCAGAAAATCAGCTCTGTGTCTGCCTGGAACGGGATGGAGTCTGGACCTGGATCAACCACCTACACACCTGCAGCCTGTATAAACCCTAATATACAACTACTATAATAGTTTAGTCCCCTCTGTGTTGGGAGTAACTAGTTTCTGTAAAATATTCCATTTAATGCATTAGTGTGGTTTGTGGCAGCTATTTAAATTGGTAATACATATTAATAGCTACATTCATTTATTTCAAAATCTCCACTGAATGTCACTTTATCTACTTATCCCGCCCTATATGTATAAAACTTTACACTACATAGATAGAGATATTACGAAAGAATGATATTGAAGCATTTACAGCTAGCTAAGAAACATAGCAGCTACTTATTTTTGTGTGCTCCCTGTGTGCTTTTACTATTGTCCTGTATGTGCGCTGCAACATTGAAATTTCCCCACATTGGGACAAATAAAGGTGCTTATTTTATCCAAAGCAGCTCAAACGTTCGATGTTTATTTGCATTGAAAATATAAATACCTTGGTTCCACTGAAGACTTCGGTGGCGATGCGGTTACAGGCTTCAACGACGCCGTCTCCGTTCAGCTCCATCCCGATAACTGCTCCTGAGACACATTCAAATAGGGTCAGAGTCAGGAATTCTACATTCACCTAGGGCTGGGCGATATGGCAAAAAAAAAAACTCTCAGATTTTTTCACACCAAATCCGATTTTCGATTTTAATCGATTTATTTTTTTCTATTTAAAAACAAACTACAACTGACAAAGAAATAGATTTTCCTTTATGCAGTTCAATCTAAATCCCCATGCAGCATAAGTGTAACAGGAATTAAGCCTTAAAACATGCTTGTAAACGAGATGGCTCTGCCATTGTAAACAGTGAAAATGTAGCTTAACAGTTTTATAATAACTTCACTTACAATGACACTATGCACCTTCAAAATAACTTAAATCACACAAACAAGGCCCATCGCAAATATATCAATCCTATTAAACACATGCATTATTTACATGAAATATCACATTTTTAAAACTGATTACTCAAAATAGAAATGTTGTAACAGACAGTCTTTTCCAAAAGCCTCCTCGGGTTTTCATGCTTGTTCTTTCAGCTGTGCCTGAGTAACTGTGCTGTAGTACAACGCTCGGTCCAGCTGGTGGCGCTAATACTAACTTCAGTGACTCCCGCATTGTACGAGCTTCCTGTTTACATTCTGATGCTGTAGCTAACAGCTACTGTAGCAGCTACTGTAGCTAACAGCTACTGTAGCAGCTACTGTAGCTAACAGCTACTGTAGCAGCTACTGTAGCTAACAGCTACTGTAGCAGCTACTGTAGCTAACAGCTACTGTAGCTAACAGCTACTGTAGCTAACAGACAGCGGGGAACACGTTGTTTGTATCAGAGCAATGAGAGCAATGTGTGATGGGCTCGACACACGGGAGGCGACATCGCATCGCCTCCATTCATTTTCAATGGGACGTGCGCGACATAGCGTCAATCGCTAGCAAGCCTCCTGCTCAGCGACGGGCGAAAAACGTGCGTGTGAAATCCTCCCGCTCGTGCATGTATCGTGCACGCGCAGGTCAGCGACGCGATCCCAGAAAGTTGAAATCGGCTCAACTTTTCGACGCTGTCGTCGAGCCGCATCGCGCCCCGTCTGTCATGTTCAAGGGCTCGACACACGGGAGGCGACAAATGAGAGCGATCAGCGAAACTCAACGCTGTCGCTCAGATAACATGACAGACGGGGCGCGATGCGGCTTGACGACAGCGTCGAAAAGTTGAGCCGATTTCAACTTTCTGGGATCGCGTCGCTGACCTGCGCGTGCACGATACATGCACGAGCGGGAGGATTTCACACGCACGTTTTTCGCCCGTCGCTGAGCAGGAGGCTCGCTAGCGATTGACGCTATGTCGCGCACGTTCCATTGAAAATGAATGGAGGCGATGCGATGTCGCCTCCCGTGTGTCGAGCCCTTTATCTGAGCGACAGCGTTGAGTTTCGCTGATCGCTCTCATTTGTCGCCTCCCGTGTGTCGAGCCCTTCAGAGAGCGTGAAAGATGTGGCGTACGAACATGGCGTACGAACATGGCGTACGAACATAGCGACCGGGGCTTGCGTGCGTGTGTGTGTGTTCTGGCGATTTAAATAAAGTCTGATTCTTGAACGTTTGAAGTGTTATTGCAACAGCACCAACTGTGAGAGCGAGCATCAGGCCAGAGGGAGACTGTTAGCATTAGGTTAGCTTCAAAATGACTGCTCAACACCATAGACCCGCGGTTAGCGCGTTAGCGCTGTAGTTCTGCGATGGAGAAAATAAAAATCGAATTTTTAAAAAAAGAAATCGCCCTAAATGTAAAACTCGAATTAATGATTAAAATCGATTAATCGCCCAGCCCTACATTCACCTCAGAGGAAATAACGTTTATTTGTTTCCTTTGTGTTAATAATTATTCATTTGAAAACAACTTCATAGTTTTAAAAGGGGCTTTATGTCAGACTTTAGAATATATCAAATTAAAACAAAAAAAACAACAGAGGAATAGCAATGACTTTGAGTGTTTTTGTTACTTTATTCATTTATTTAGAACCTGCACAATATCAATATAACAGACAAATACACTTAAGTGGTTCACTGTGTGTGTGTGTTTCTGTATTTAAGTTTTAGCTTATCTTTTGTTTGTACATGATTTTTTTTGTCAATTTTCATGTGACATTGATTAACACCTGGAAGAATAGCTACGTTTCAGAATTTAATAAAAAAACAAAACAATAAACACTCACAAGCACATTGTAGCAGCAGCAGCACATGTTTCCATGACAACAAGACAACAACAGGAAGCGCCAGCATGTGTTCACAACCCCCGAATAAAACTTTGGCGGGGGGGCAGGTTTAAGTGACTGTTTGCAACTATATATATAAGCCCTGTGTATTCCTTAAAAATCGACAACTTACATTAATGCTGATGAGAACTCAATAGTGTACGAGAACGGGAAAACAGCCTTCTAACTGTTGCATGAAACAGGAAGTGAATAAAACAGCTCGTGTCTGTCCCATGGTCACGGTTGTCATATTTAGTTCCTGTTTTATTTTGTATTATCTGTTCTCCTGTGTCATTTTTTTGAGTTTTACTTCCCGTTCTGTGATTGCCTGTCCTGCCCTCATGTGCTAAATTCCATGTTTTTGGATTCTTGTTCATTATTAAATTATATTATTTTTGCAGTTACATATTTTGGGTCTTTCCTCTTTTTTTATTTTTGGATCATGACACAAGACATCACCAAACAGACGAGGGTGCAGTACCTTTTGTGATCCACTCCACCAGCTCCTCTGCGTTGCTCTGGAAGACCCTGGTCACATCTTCCGGCCGCATAGACACCTCTTTGGTCTGAACGAGCACAAAACCTTTCCCCGTGACCTGAACAGGAAGCAAATGTTTGAACACAGACTACAGTTATGGACAGGCAAGGCAAGGCAAGGCAAGGCAAGTTTATTTATATAGCACAATTCATACACAAGGCAATTCAAAGTGCTGAACAGAACAAGAAAGCATTAAAATCATAAATAATCACAGTACATTAAAAAAAAGATAAAAATATAAAATCCCTCAGTTGTATGCACAGCTAAACAGAACTGTTTTCAACCTTGTCTTAAACATTGTCAGAGAGGAGGCCTGTCTCACATCTTCAGGAAGACTGTTCCAGATTTTAGCAGCATGAATCTGAAAAGCAGCCTCCCCATGTTTAGTTCTGAATCTGGGCACTAACAGGAGTCCAGTCCCTGTGCTCCTCAGAGTCCGGGCTGGTTCATATGGTACTAACATGTCACTAATATAGTTTGGTGCGAGGCCATGGAGAGATTTGTACACAAGCAGAGCTGTTTTAAAGTCTATTCTCTGAGCCACAGGAAGCCAGTGCAGGGACCTGAGGACCGGACTAATGTGGTCGTACTTCCTGGTTCTAGTCAGGACTCGAGCTACTGCATTTTGAATGTACTGCAGCTGTTTTACAGCCTGTTTGGACAGACCTGTGAGCAGGCCATTGCAGTAGTCTAACCTACTGGAGACAAATGCATGGATAAGAATCTCCAAGTCTGCTTTAGACACTATGTTTTTGATCCTGGCAATGTTTTTTAGATGGTAAAAAGCTGCTGATGTTACTGATTTGATGTGGCTATTAAAATTTAAGTCTGAGTCCAGTATTACCCCTAGATTTCTGACCTTGTTTGAAGGTTTTAGGGAGAGAGACTGTAGGTGACAGATGACGCTCTCTCTTTGTTTCTGGGGACCAAAGACAATCATTTCAGTTTTGTCTGCGTTTAGCTGAAGGAAGTTGTTTTGCATCCACTCACTGATCTGTTGGATACAGTGAAGGAGTGAGTCCACTGGTCCATGTTCTCCTGCAGTCAGTGAGACATAGATCTGAGTGTCGTCGCATAGTTGTGATAGGACACTTTGTTTCTGCGTATTAACTGACCTAACGGCAGCATGTAGAGATTGAACAGAAGAGAGGTCCCAGGATCGACCCCTGTGGTACTCCACAGGTCAGGGCCATATGATCTGAGACACAGTCTCCAATCTCCACAAAGTACTTCCTGTCTTCAAGGTAAGACCTAAACCAACTTAGGGCGGTGCCAGCGACTCCAACCCAGTCCTCTAATCTCTGTAAGAGGATCTCATGGTCGACGGTGTCAAAGGCAGCACTCAGATCTAACAAGATTAACAAAGACGCAGACTTTGCCTGCGTCAGTGTTCAGCCGGATATCGTTTGTAACCTTGACAAGAGCAGTCTCAGTGCTGTGGTGGGGTCTAAAGCCGGACTGAAACATATCAAATGAGTTGTTAATTATAAGAAATCTAGTAAGCTGTAGGTAGACAACTTTTTCAAGGACTTTCCCCATAAATGGCAGATTTGAGATGGGACGATAGTTGTTAAGTACCGTAGCATCCAGGCTGCTCTTTTTTAGCAGGGGCCTGATGACTGCAGTTTTCAGGGCCTTTGGGAATATTCCAGAATGAAGGGACATGTTTACTATCTGTGTGAGTGAAGGTAACAGACTGCTCAGAACAGACTTCAGAAATCTAGTGGGTACTACATCCAGGCTGCATGTGGAGGAGCTCAAACTGGAGATTATTTCTTGGACATTTTTATCATCTACAGGTGCAAAGTAAGTTAGCTCAGAGAGCCTTTCTGGCTGTTGGATGGTTATCTGTGGATTGGAGACAATGGCGTTTTTGATGCCTTGAACCTTCCATCCATCCATCCATTTTCTACCCTTTAATCCATTTCTGGGTCAGGGGGGTGGCAATCAGAGATGCCACCCAAGTCTCATAGCAGCAGCCCCTCACTGACCCTCTGCAGGTGGTGAGTCCACAGGAGGACGGCTGCTCTCTGAGTGTGAGCATAGCCTTGATCTTTCAGCGGGGGCTTTGGGCAAAGTGGGGTTAAGTGTCTTGCCCAAGGACACAACGACAGCAGTCATCAGTGGGATGACTGCATCAGTAGCTCAGTTGGCCTTGAACCTTGTCATTGAAAAAGTGTGCAAACTCATTGCATTTACGTTTGGAAGTTAGCTCTAATGGCATCTGAACAGGGGGGTTTGTTAATCTATTAACTGTTGAAAACAGAACACGCAGATTGTTACTGCAGCCTTCAATCATTTCAGAAAAATACCTTTCTCTCGTACTACGTAGCACCCGGTTAAACTCGCACAACTTATCTTTGAAGATCTCGTAATCTACCTGGAGGTTGGACTTGCGCCACTTCCGCTCGGCCCTCCGGCACTTTCTCTTTTGTGCCCTGACCGAGTCTGCTTTAGCCCACGGCGCCTTCTGCTTATTTTTCACTATTTTAACCTTCACAGGGGCAACGGTATCCAGAACATTCAAAACACTAGAGGTGACAGAGTTAAACAGTTCATCTACAGTAGAATACGATGCATTTCAAAGTTTATCATTCCCATAAATAGTTCACTTGTATTTTCATTTATGTGTCTTCTTCGAACAGTTGCAGAGTCCACTGGTGGTTTGTTAGTGAAACACATGTCAAAAAATACACAGAAATGATCCGAAAGAGCAACATCGACCACGCTTATATTTGAAATATTCACCCCCTTTGTAACTAACAGGTCTAGAGTGTGCCCTCTGCTGTGGGTGGGGCCACTCACATGCTGAGTGAGACCAAAGGTATCAAGTAAAGAACTCAGCTCTTTTGCATTTCTGTCATCAACATTATCCACATGAATATTAAAATCACCTGTAATAACTAAACTATCAAAATCTGTGCATACAACTGAAAGCAACTCGGTAAAATTATCAATAAAACTGTGACATGACTGCGGTGGCTTGTATAGGACTATGAAGAGTATTGGAGGAGATTGTTTTTGTTGTATTTTAAAAGACACATATTCAAAAGACGGAAACTTCCCAAGAGACATTCTATGGGAGACAAAGTGGTCTCTAAAAATGGCAGCTAAGCCTCCTCCTTTTTTGTTTTCCCGTATTTCAGATTCAAATTTGAAATTTGGTGGTGATGCTTCTATTAAAACTGCATTTTCTGTATTTTGGTCAAGCCATGTTTCAGCCATGAACATAAGATCAAGATTATAAGAACAAATAAAATTATTGATTAAAAAAGACTTGTTAGAAAGAGATCTGACATTTAGCATAGCAAGTTTCAAAGTTTCAGTATCAGCGGTTGTGGTCGGCTGATTCTTACACGGAACAAGAATTAGATTTTCCAGATTAGACTGATTAACTCCAGATGTCTTTCTGTAATGTATTCTTTGTGTTATCACTAAGGGAATGGCACAGGTGGCTTCATGACAGGGCCCCAGCCGGGTCTCTCCTCTAACTAGACTGCCAGTGGCTGCGAAGCAGAGACCCTGTGCATCCTAGGGAGAGGAGGGAGGAGGATGGAGAGGTGGGTGGTTCTTGGGTGTTGGACGAGGGGGGGTTGGAGGTGGATGGGTGTTAGGGGAGGGGCAGGAGTTGGGAGATTAGACGAGGGGGGAGTGGAGGTGGAGGGGTTCTTGGGTGATGGGAAACGAGGGGGGGGGGTGGGGGTGGGGCTGGAATGGTTTTGGGGTTAGGGGAGGGACCTGTGGATTTTGCGGGTGAATTCGAGTTAGAATTTGAGGGACGGGTGGATTTTGTGGGAGAATTTGAGTTGGACGCCCTAGGTGGCTTTGGAGGTACGTATGGGGAGAAGTTATGAATGTTAGATAGGACCCTTGATCTGGCTACAGTGGGTGTGAGAGGAATATTCTTCATCGCCGATCTTATCATGCCTGCAGAGTGTTCCGGTAAATCCAATAGTGATGGAAAACACAGGGAAAGGTCGTCCTCATGTTCCTTAGATGGAGTGGATGTAGCGGGGGGGACCCAAACCGGGTCCATGGAAGGTGATGAGGGAGTCTTTGGTGGAGACGGAGGTGGTTGAGAGGCCCCCAGTGCAGGCCTGACTGTAGCCTGTAGCAATGGGGGGGGCTTCACGGGAGCTGTAGGTGGGGAAGGTGCTGCTGAAGATGATGCAGCAGCCACAGCTGGTGCTGGTGGTGCTGATGCTGAAGGCGCTGATGATGCTGTGGCAGCCACTGCTGCTGCTGGTGCTGGATCCTTTGCTGATGATGATGCTGGTGGACGTGTTGAGTTCTTTTGAGGCGGTGGAGGTGCCGAGACCTCTGGGTTCCGTGAGGGTCTCGCCCTTTGTATCCTCCTCTCTTTCAACGGCTGAACGCGCTGCGCAGGCTGAGGTCTTAAGGCAGATGCAAAGTTATCCATCAACACTTTTACTCCGTATTTGTTCAGATGTGGGCCTTTCCCTTCAAAGAGCTCGAGCCTATTCCAGAACAGATTGAAGTTTTCAATGAATCCAAGTCCTCTGCGTGAACACTCATTGTGTAGAAATGAATTTAACTGGTACAGACGGCTAAACTTCTCAGTAGTCCTTAAAAGGTTACACTCCCTGGCAGAAAGCGCATTGATCACCTGTTGGAGCTATTTGTCCATTTTTAGATTTTTGTTCAGAGAATCTAATTCTTATATTTTGCTCAGTTCATTTGTTTGAGATAATTGTGCATACATGGACTGTAGATGCTGTTTGCCGTTTGCTTGGACCATTAACATACCAAAGATATATTTCTTGTTTTTTACATTTTGCTGTCTCTTCACTGCCTAAAGCCAACCTGAAAAACAACTTTTGATTTGTTGGTTAAGGTTTAAGTTAAGGACAAAATGCCACAACATTATCCTTCTGTCTGTTCCATGAAGGCACTGATGGGACTCTGAACCCGAACATTTTGGACCTGAGGACTAGACGCCTGTCTGAAACCCTGGCCTCTCTGGACCTGAGGACTTGTCCCCAGTCTGCCGTTGGGATTTGGTCAGTCCAAGGGGCATGTGTGGTTGCAGGTTTTCATTCAAACCAAGCAGGAGCACAGCAGACTCCACCCATTTCCTCAAATAAATCCAGCCTTAACCTGGAGACTTGAGGAAATGGGTGTAGCCTGCTGTTCTTCTGCTTGGTTGGAATGAAAACCTGCAGCCATACTGGCCCTTTCTGGGACAAGCTTGACAGCCCTGTTTGAGTCAATGTTTTGGAAATTCTTAAGAACACTTCCCCGCTTATTGTTAGTGGTTCTGTGTAGCTTTCTATTGTGTAATTATGTTTTCTATTCTAAATTATAACATCATTGAGCCGCTCTGTAGAGAGGTCACATGAGGAGGCAATGGATATTTACATGTACAGAAACGTGGATGAGGTCCTTCTTCTCCAAACTACCACAGAGGACTCCACACTGTCATAGATGCTGATGGGTAAGTACAGGCTACTGAGAACGGGGGTATAGAGACTTCTGATCAGGGTAATTTGGGTAGTTTCTGTTCCCATTATAATTTGAAAATTGACAACAATAAATTACTTCAACAACCACTCACACTGCACACTAGGGTAGTCTTGCACAGTTCTTCCAAGGTGGCAACTGCAAATGAGAAATAAACTGAATCTGAATCTAGCGATGTATGAACTGCATTATCATTCATCAACACTGAAACCTAGCAACAACAACAAAAATGCATGTAAACTTTCAAGCGCAGCAAGAGCTAAGGGGGAAATAGAACTCATGCTTTAGTGATGGAGTCATGCTTATTTGGCAACATTGCAAACACTCTGCAATGTTTAAACTACAGAGAGGGATAGAGTTCCTCCATCAATACCTGGAACTGCACCAGAGCTCAACTGGTTAGATTGGGTTAGCATTGGGAGAAATAAGTGTTAAATTTCAACCTAAACAATTTCGGTCATTCCATGTTTCGGTATATACTATTGCTCAAATTCTTGTTGTTGTTGCCAGAAGAAAAAATAATAATAATGATTAAAAAAAATATTTAACAGTTTTGGTTTTTTCACAATAATTATCAACAGACACTTGCTCTCATTATGATCTCTCCAAAGATAGTATGAACCTTTGCTTGTTTCCTGGTGATGCAACACACTCTGCAGCTTGAGTGCTTTCGGCTGAAGTAGGTTAAAGGGAAGTGATGCCCACACAAAACTACAATACTGTTTCATACGAGTTTCCTTCTTTTGGCTTTGCATAAAAATAATTAACACAACATCAGCGGCAACTAAACCATGTATATATCTGGTTTGTATTCTCGTTGCAAATAAACTTGCACAAATGGTTACATAATTTAATTTGTCCCATTTTCACCTACTGTACATATAGTACTAGAACACAAATACACCTGTTTAGATACATAAGAAATATTTAATACTTCACCATGTACTTATATAGTTATTAATATATTTACATGTTTAACTATGTATAAGCTTGAAATAGAGTGGGTAGAAGAAAAACTGCCAGCCCATGTAAATCTGTGAATATATTTAACATATTGAAATTTACAATTACATCTGTGAATTAAATCTGTGAATATATAAAAATTGTAATTTGCAATTTCAATATATTGACAGTTTTACATGGGCTGGGAGTTTTTCAAATATATCACCACATGGAGAAACTCTGCTTGTGTGTATTTACTGTATGTGCAATAGGCAAAACTAAGTAAATGTATTGGTATCTCCATGAACAAAGGATTGCAAATACTGTACATTACTTTTGAACGGAACCTTTTCTGCTAAAATTAATTTAATCCAAACTCAATGCTCAAATTTGAAACGTTGTTGTAATGGTTGTATGTTATCTTGTATTGGCAATATTTTACTCAAAACGTTTAATACTGATTTTATAACAATAGTAGAGTATAGTGGACCAATAAAGTTGATTTAAGAGTTGCATTCCCCAAATAGACCATGGTTTGAACTTGAAGACCCCATTACTTCAAGTTTTTATACTTTATTCTTGTTCTTTGACTCTTGTGGCTTATGCAGCTATTAACTGCATCACTAGCTTAGATGAGTTCATGGACGTTTGACTCAATCATGTTATAGTAACTACGGTGAAGGTGAATGTGGCATGGAAGCTAACGATGAATGTTGTGACCAGGCGCGGCTTATATACAGGTGCGCTTTATAGTCCAGAATGTACTTATGAACATGTTTACTTATTGCTTTTACCTCGTCAATGAGTTTGCGAGCGTTTGGAGTCGTGTATTCTCCGGCGAAGAACACAAACAAACAGGATTCGTCGCTCTCTTTCCTCCTGCCTCCTCTGGTCAGAGGCACGATGCTGCGTTCCGGTTCGCACAAGATCCGCATCGACTTGAACTCTGATTCTGGATCCGGCAGAGGAACGTAGTCCAAGACCGCCGCGGACTCCGGCAACAGGCTCCAGTTGTTCTCCCCGGACACGGGCGTGAAGTCGTGGATGTTGCTCCAGTTGTTGTTGAAGATGCTGAGTCCCGCATCCTGGAAGTGGTATGCTAGCTCTGGGTAGTAGTACTGGAAGCAGCTAAACTTCATGCCAGTGGACGACTCGATGATGGGCTGAGTGGCGCAGCAGAGAAATACCTCCATCTTTTTACAGTCTCTGGTTCTGAACTGTTGACAGGCCACCACACACTTGACGTCTTTGCAGTCCCTGAAGAACACGCTGCCTTTGACGGGGCCCAGGAAGATGCAGCAGTTGACACAGTCGTCGATGGTGACGGTGGCCGAGTGGTCAAACACGTAGATGTTGCAGTTCTCACAGTCCTGGATGACAAACTGTTGCCCGTTCAGTTTCCCCGGCAGCCTCCCCGCTGTGGCATCTTTGAGCCCCGTGAGCATGAAATCCTTAGGGTCGACCTGTACACAGCAAAACAAGATTGTGTTTTGAGTAAACGGGGAAGTGACTAACGCCTGGAGCACAAACACCTCCTTAAGCAAGAATAGTGACACACACACACATGGTATATTTAGCGTGTTCACATTATAGACATTGCAATACATAACATAGTGATAGGAACACAGTGACAATAATTACAAAACATTTTTAGGAAGGTTAAACTATATAACACTATAACTCCCTTAGCAATCAATTTGAGGGCTTTTTGTTTTAGTACTGTATTACTGTATTACTCCGCATTATGTACTTTATTAACAGTGAATAAAGGTTAAAAAAAACCTTGTGGAAAACTAATACCGAGAGCGAGGCCAGAGAGAGACCAGAGAGAGAGACCAGTGAGAGAGACCAGAGAAAGAGACCAGAGAGAGAGGCCAGAGAGAGAAACCATAGAGAGACACCAGAAAGAGAGGCCAGAGAGAGAGACCACAGAGAGAGACCACAGAGAGAGACCACAGAGAGAGACCAGAGAGAGAGAGAGACCACAGAGAGAGACCAGAGAGAGAGACCACAGAGAGAGAGAGACCACAGAGAGAGACCAGAGAGAGAGACCACAGAGAGAGACCAGAGAGAGAGACCACAGAGAGAGACCAGAGAGAGACCAGAGAGAGAGAGACCAAAAGAGGGACCAAAAGAGAGACCAGAGAGACACCAGAAGTTTACATCACAACCTGCTTTAGTTGAGTAAGCTCTTCCCCTCGTACGCTCAGCCTTGGGTCCGTATGTTTCGCAGCGCTGTGTAATAATCCGATAATACGCTAAAGGTTGGGAACGTGGAGAGACTTAAATCTAAAGGCAGCAGTTTAAAACACGAGAGTAACACACTGAGGCAACACCAGAGATGAATGCATGAATAATATACATACATAAATGTCCGTAGATGTAATACATTGAACCAAAGGTCGACCTCAGTATTCAACGTTTATGAATATCTAGAAACATTGGTTATATCCCCCTTATGTGGACCACTGGCTCTATGTGGTTTTCACAGTTTCATTACCTATGTTTGTGCTATTTCATTCTCTGATCTGTGGCTATACTATACTAATGATTAGCCGCATGGATTTCTCACTTTAACCACATGTATTTTAATATTGTCTTCTGCGCGACATGTAAAACCACAGCTCATTGCAGTGGTTGAGCTTGCAATAAAAGCAGGTAGGTACACAGCTTGTATATGTGCGTTATAAATGGTATGATGTGTAACTACAGCCTGTATAAATGTATAATCTTGCACCTTCTCACGCTTGTCCCAGCTGTACTGCTTCTGCGGCTCCTCCGTGTTGTTGCCCAGGGGAACCGCGTTGCTTGTGGCGGTGCTATCCACAGTAGTAGTCGTTGGTTCCTCCTTTTCTTCCGACTTTCGTTTGGATTTTTTGGAAAAGAAGCACCCCATGTTGACACCTCAGTGGTCCTCGTTTAAGGCAGATACTCGGGGTTGTCGCAAAGCCTTTGGAGATCGTTCTGTGTCGTGAATGAGCAGCTTAAGTGGCCGTGGGGCTCTGTACTCTGAGCGTGAGTGACAACGTTTAAAGCTTCCTGTTTGTCGGCCAATCAGAGCAGCAGCAGCGCAGGACTCAGCCAATCAGAGTGCTCCAAACCCATACGTGCTCACGCTCACGAGGGGCGCTTCCGAGGCGTGGGTGTGTGATTTTAAAATAAATAAATAAAATAAATCAAAATGTTAAAGCTAGAAGTCCCAAAGCAGTCAGTTTGACGGCTTTTAGTTTGAGACTCTGCGCATGTACATGTTAGCTCTCCATGACTTTGTGACTTTTTCAGTTTCTATATGGAGTTTGTTTATGCAAGTCCACCTTTATGAAATGATCTTTAAGTTTTGAAATACGAGAAGTGATTTTACCGGTTTTGTTAAGTTCTCTGGAAAAACTACTGATGTGATTTAGGTATATGCAAGAAAACTATACAAGTGCTTCTGTGACATTAGTAGATCAATGGTGCTTCTCTCCAAGGTTCCTGAACTGGTCCTGGTCCTTGTCTGGTCCTGGTTCTGAGCCGAGTCAGTTTGTTTTGTTTTCATCAGAGAAGAGCGAGTGCTAGTTACCATAGCAACTGTTTACCAGCAACAGTTAGCCTTTCACCAACTTTTTTTGCTGTGTTGTGACGTTCACGTTTTGGATCTTATTAAAAATGAGTATAAATAAATATATATAAATTACTTACTTTTAATTAAGTAATCCAATTCCAAGTTCAAAACAGCCTGATTTGATCAAAACTGTGCTCCTGTCTGGTAAACTAAATGGGCCATCTAAGTAAAAAGTTTGGACACTTCTGGACAGATAAATTATTAATGTGAGTAATATTTCCGGGTATAAGCTAAAAAAAAAATCATAAAAACTGAAAAAAAATGTAGAGTAACAAATACTGTATTTAGAAACTCAAAGCAACAATTTAACCGTCAAATCTGTGATATTTATCAATCAATCAATCAATCAAATTTTATTTATAAAGCGCTTTTCATACAAAAGATGCAACACAAAGTGCTTTACAGTTTGGTTAAAAACAATCCCGCCGACCCAAGACCCCTCCCCCAGACCACCCAACAGACCCATCCCAAACCACAGACAAACACACACACACGCGCTCATGAACACTCATACACACACACACACACACACACACACACACACACACACACACACCAGTAAAACAATAAAACCATGATGAGAGACTTGGCAGGGTTCAGATGCAACCAGCTGAAAAAGCGTCATCCAAGGAGCCGTCTGCACCCGGAGCAGAGAGCCGCCCGTAGCCACAGGGGACGACACAGGACCCAGAGGAGACATGAAACCGAGGCCCCAGGCCCCCACCAGGCCCAAGAGTCAGACCCCCGCAGCCACACCGACCACTGCTCCCAGTGCAGAGGGCTCCTCCAGAGGAAACACTGGGTACACTAAAAACAATACAATAAGTAAAACACTAAAATGTGAGACTAAAAGGAACACACAATACATGAATAATAGCAATAGCAATATAATAAATAATAAAAGATAAATAGAATGGAATAATAAAAACTAATCAAAAGCTAATCTAAAAAAGTGTGTCTTGAGCCTACTTTTAAAAATATGAACGTTCTCTGCGGCCCTGAGCTCCTCCGGCAGACTGTTCCAGAGACCTTTATGTCAAACATCAGGATCTCCCTGAGAACAGAATCTGACCGTCTCACTCCCAGTGGGAAGTGTTTTGTCTCTTTATTCAAAATGCAATGCAATGATCAAATTGTCTCTTTATCCGTTTTAAAAATGTATTTGTTATTGGACCATAGATTATATAGGTTTTACTGAATACCTGAATTGAAATATATTTTAGGCTTCTCAATCAGAGCAGTCTGCTGTAGTCATATGTTGAATATTTAAATTTCTAATGCATATTATTATAATGTAAAAATACTAAAGCGACAACAATTTGCACATTTTGTGGATAAAACAGGTTTGCATTCACCAGTGGAGGCTGCACACAGGAGATGATGCACTGACCACAAGAATCACAACAACCAGAACACTGAGTTTCACTTTACTCTCTTTCCACTTGTTGCCAACATGACCAGCAGGTGAACACGAGAGACTCACCGTACTCATATTCTTAGAGGACTGTTTAGTGACTGCATGTCAGGAGGGATTTATTTGCACATGGGCCAGGCCAGGCAAAGTGGGTTTATTGTCGTCCCAAAACCAGGCCAGCTCTCCCAGCGGAACAGTAGTATAGTGTGCTAAGTGTGCTGCTAACTAGTCTAGTGAGTCTGTGGAAAATACTGTAATAAACTACAGCATGAGCAGAGGTGAGGAAAGTCTAGCTCATATCTCAAACAAAGTAAGACAAATTTGCAGAAAATGTATACTAAAAATCAAGGGATCAGAGCATAAACTTTATTTCATCACGTGTGGGCTTTAACATATGATGTCAATGTATGACACACAACACTAACTATTACTACTAAACTTTTCAGACAGAGACTGTGAAGATTAGCCAGAATAACCTGTTGGGGCCAATCAAATCAGACAAACTGGTGAAACCACTCCCATCTCTTTTTTGGAGTGAACCAAACACTCAAGAATGCTCAAAGGAAACCAGAGTAATATATTATAAACTGTTTGGGGTTTCCTGCAGGTAATAAATAAACTGAACAGGTAATATTTATATTTGTTATATTTGTGAGTTCACTGGTAAAGCAATTTTATGTTTTTGTAAATCAAAATAATTGCTTTCTGGCACTATTAATGTAATGTTATGTAAATACAACACTGGAGTGAAAAAAACTTCAAATACAACATTTCTAACTGTCCTAAGTTTGAGTCAATTATTGTTTGTTTGTCTCTATAGAGCAGGGGTGTCAAACTTATGTTGGTTGAGGGCCGAAGGGTCAGGGGCCGAAAAAATAAGTGGGTTTAATTTATTACATTATTTTCTGATTAGAATTTGTTCAGTTTCTGTGGACTTATTTTTTACTATTGGGTGAATCATCAAGACTATTGAGACTATTGGTCCTCCCAATTGTCCATCATTATGGTGTTCGTCAAATATACCCAGAGGGTTTTGTTTAAAAAGTGGAGAGGGCGGTTCTTTGCTAAGAAAATTGGGAAATCCTCCTTCATATCTTTAAGAAGAAATGTGCTTGAAGACTGGAATTAAATGTTATTGTTGTTTTTTTAGTAATGGATAACATGCCATTGTCGCCTATTACTATTAATAGTGCTGTTTAATATAATAATTCAAATAATCTCAAAGGCCACTGGAAATGGTCTCGCGGGCTGGATCTGGCCCCCGGGCCTTGACTTTGACACCTGTGCTATAGAGTGTGAAAAAAAAGGAATATAGTGATTTCAGGTGGTGTGTTGTTCACATTCCCACTTCTGCCACAGCTGCCCTGAGTGTGAAGTCCACCGTGTCGCCTGTTACGATGAAACTGCATAAATTGTGATCTTGCAGCTTATATTTCTTTCATGTCTCACAACCATAACATTCATTCAAACTGTAATGTGCTTCAGGCTCAGAAGTGTCTGTTGCCTTAAACAGTCATTTTGTCCGTATATTCATTGTCAGCCTACAATAACCTTAAAGATGAAGTTCCCTCATATTTTCCCTTAAGAAACTGTGTAGAAATGAACTGACAGCTGCACACTGTTTAATTGAACTTGTAAATAAAAATATATTTTTTTAGTCTTGCATGTAACCTGTGTTGCTACATGTCTATAAAAGACAGATATAGTGAGGCAGACATAAAGCGACGAAGTATAACATCATTCATAAAGAATAAGACACACACACACGCACACACACACACTGTTGTATTATAATTTACAGTAAATATTATTGGAGAAGACACATAGATATATTTAGGTCCGTAACCCAGGAGACAACCGAAGGATGTTAGCTTTTTAATGCACGGTGACTATTTATTATTTTAATTCCTTGTGTTGTTTCTATGTTGCACTTTGTGTTGCCTTGTGTATGCGATAAACAGTACAGACCGAAAGTTTGGACACACTTTCTCGTTCAGTGAGTGTCCTTTCTTTTCATGACTATTGACCAATAGATTCACATCCAGGCTGTGTAAGGGCTATTTGTCCAATAAGGAGAGTGGTGGGTGCTGGGCAGATGACCTGGCCTCCACAGTCACTGGACCTGGACCCAATCCAGATGGTTTTGGGGTGAGCTGGACCACAGAGAGAAGGTGAAAGGGCCAGCAAGTGGCAAGCATCTCTGGGAACTCCATTTCAGGTCCACTTGAGGCTCATCAAGAGAATGCCAAGAGTGTGCAAAGCAGTAATCAGAGCAAAAGGTGCTACTTTGAAGAACCGAGAGTATAAGACATATTTTTTAGGGCGACAGAGAGCCAGAGGGTCATGGGTTCGAGCCCGACTTTCACCACGGACTCCGACTGTCTGATGTCATTGTGTCCTTGGCAAGACACCTCTGGGAGCCAAAGTGGGGCGGCTGCGGCTGTAAAGTGCAAAACTGCCGTTGTGTCCTTAGGCAAGACACTTAACCCCCATTGCCTAGAATTAGTCTGGTGTGTGTGTGTGTGTGTGTGTGTGTGTGTGTGTGTGTGTGTGAATGGTGGTGGTTGGGGGGGCCTATGGCACATACTGGTTTCCTCGCTTCTGTCAGTGCACCACCGTGTATGAAGTGAATGAAGGATGACATGTAAAGCGTCTTTGAGTGTCCAAAAAAGCGCTATATAAAACCATCCTTTTTTCTTTTTTAGTACATACATAATTCCACACGAGTTAATTCATATGTTTTGATGCCTTCAGTGTGAATCTACAATTTTCATAATCATGAAAATAAAAAACCCCAAACTTTTGGTCTGTGCTGTACAAATAAACTTCCCTTGCCTTGTAGTCAAACTATTCTGAATTACTCCTCAACAGGATGACTTTCTCAATTTATGCTGACTCCCCATCCCCGACATGACTCGCGCTCTTCCTGTTCTTGTTTTTCTATTTTTCTCCCGTTTTTAGTTTTACACCCATTTCTGGATTTATACGAGCTGACAAGACATATAAGACCATATACTGTAGATATTACAGCAGGAGCATAGACTGTAGTTATTAAGGCAGCTGCAGAGAGAGTGAAGGGGATACGCGCACGAGCGACCCGGAGCGCGCATACTCCCTCTTCTGCCTCTTCCCTCTCTCTCTGTCTCTCTGAATCCAGCCTTGCGCGACGACGTAGTGTATCTTTAAGAGGTTGAACTGCGGTTTATCAGCGCCGCAGACTCGTTCGTCCAGTCGCGCAGCGTTGTGAATATAGTGACATGGCACTTTGGGGTTGAACCTTCGTGCGCGATCTTTATAACATCCAGCATCCATCCATCCATCTACCGCGGCGCGCCATGGAGCCTCTGCGGGGGATGCTGCTCCCATTCGTCTCGATGATTCTGGGGTTATCCCGGGTGAGAGCCAGCGATGTCATGGAGGAGCTGGCCACGGAGAAGGAGGCAGAGGAAAGTCATCGCCAGGACAGCGTTAACTTGCTCACATTCATCTTGCTTCTGACGCTGACGATCCTCACCATTTGGTTGTTCAAGCACAGGCGCGTGCGTTTCCTCCACGAGACCGGGTTAGCGATGATTTACGGTAAGGCTTACGAGTCACGTGGGGGATCAAACACACACGCACACACACGCACCGGCTTCTTTATCAGGCTTTCAACATGCAGAGATATAATATTTGTTTATGCAGATATCTTGTCCACGCTCCGGGCGCCACTGCTTCAAATGTTATTATATGTGCCTCATTCCAAGCAATAGCATTTAAATAACCACCATTAGCTGCTCTTCAAACGATTACTCGCCTTCAGCCTGCTCTCAATTCTCTGGATATACGCATGAAGTGATACAGTTTCGACTTTCAATAATGATTTTATTCAATTCAATTCAATTATCTTTATTTACAAAACACATTCATGCATATTCTATCATGTTTGTAGGTGTTCTGTAAAAGATGATCACAAATACTGTAGATTTATGCCTTTAAACATCATATAGACAAGGAAGGTATATCTGTATGTATAAGATAGAAACAAAATCATACAAGGCATTCAAATTATGAATTATCTTAAGTAGTACATTAAAAAAAGAGAAGATATAATCCTTCAGTTGTTGCTGCGAGACTGAACTGTGTTTCACATGGATTTCTCACTCACGTTTTCAGGAAGACTGTTCCAGGTTTTAGCTGCATGAAGGTGAAATCCTGCCTCCCCTTGATTAATTCTTACTCTAGGCACAAGCTGGAGGCCAGTCCCTGTGCTACTCAGAGTCCCAGTTGGTTCATATGGCACTAACATGTCACAGATGTACTCTGGTGTGAGGCCATGGAGAGACAGGAAGCAGAGACCTGAGACCAGGACTAATGTGATGGTACTTCCTGGTTCCAGTCCGGACTCGAGCTGCAGTGTTTTGAATATACTGCAGCAGTTTTATGGCTTGACTATTAACTTTCAGACTTTGATTTGCTGCTGTTTATTCCCCTTTATTCAATCAAGCTCACTCTGCCAAACAACCTTTTGTAACCTGTCATGGCCAGATTCCCGGCACAAGATATTCTAATCATTTAGGTCGATACATGCGTCTTCTTTCCCAGCGTCTGAAACCCGCTTCCCATCACTGTTTGAAACATTAAGACAAAGGCTGCTTGTCCACGGTCCTCTTTCCCATAACCTTCGCCACCACCTGCATGGGCCTATCTCAAATGTTCTTACAGCGTGTTCCTTGTTATCAAATTCGAAGGTCCTTTTCTGCGCTTAATGTATCTCTCTCAAACTTTCCCGTCTGCAGCTGCGTATGACTCATCTCTCTTGTGACGATTGTCCATTGTTCTGTCTGACACACCTCCAGTATAAGATCATAAGACATGTTGGTTGGGGGGAACAGACAGACACGGCATCGCTCCAGGTCCCGCTTCTGTTTGACTCCTTTCTGCGCAGAAATGTCATTTTGTACTCATCACTTCTGTGAATAAAACTGCACCAAAGGACAAGTTTGTTTCCTCTCGGTTTCATTCATTTGAGGCAATAGAATTTCCATAACAAACCCCAACATTGCTTTGATAAGAAGAATAGATAGATACTTCATTGATCCCTCGTAGTAGAAATTCTGGTGTCCAGCAGCAGAAAACTCATACAGGTTGTACAGTCTGACGAAGATCCCTTAAAATGTTCCATTCGGCAGCACAGTGATATAATGTACAGTATGTATTCAAGCTTATTTTGTCTTATTGATTTAGAATTTAGAAGTGCACCATGCTGTGTGTGTGTGTGTGTGTGTGTGTGTGTGTGTGTGTGTGTGTGTGTGTGTGTGTAAAAGTCCCTTTGAGATTTAAAATACAAGTTAAAGGAGCATATATCCAAGGATGCCTCCATCATGTAATAAATCCATGTCAATATGATTTTAAAATGATAATCCAATTATACAGAGCAAAAATCTGAAATCTTACATTGGGTCAGCTCGACTCTCCACAGATAAACCTGAAGTCAAATAATGAGAACAAATCAGACCACAACTATTCTTTTTTTCTTTTGAATACTTGAGAAAGGGCCCTGTGAGTCACTATTTGATGCTTTGGGATAAGAGCTGATTGGCTGAGTGGTGGCGTTCCTCTCTTTTTCACATTTCTGCCTGAAAATGCTGATCCACAGTGACAGTAGCCAACAATTACATTTATGGACATTAGTAATCTGCCCATTATGGATTAATGACTATGTGTTTGTTATTGTTGCATTTCCTGTGTTTGAACGGTTTGATTCTCTGATCTGACTACTGTTGTCATTTTGGGCCATACAAAAAATTAAATTAAATTGAATTATAAAACTAGTGACTGAACCAAATTGTTTCATTTTGATACGATTCTTGAAGAAGCAGATGCTCCTCCAGGAAAGTTGCACCTTTTATTTTGGTTGAAAATGAAAAAACAAGTGGAGGTTTTCTGCAGTTTAATCACAATCAGAACTGGAATAGGACCCATAGTGAAATCCTCAAAAAAGAAAACACATCTATTCAGAGTCAGACTGGCCTTGCACTGTGACCCCGACATTTCACGACACACTTTTAACTAATTGTTTTTGCTTTTAACTTTAACTTATGTAAGGTGATCTTGAGTGCCCAGAAAGGCACTATATGAATTAAATGTATTGGACAGTTAGTCCAGTCCACTCAGTCCAGTCTCAGTCTTCCCTAGTCTCCCTCTGCTTCTGTTGTGGGTGAGTACACAGACTACGATGACGTCTGTCTGATAAACTGTGCCCTAAAGCTTAATGTCCTTGTGCTGCGTTTCAACTCTGGTGAAGGAGCAACACCATCAACAAACCAACAAACACACGTCACAGAGAGAGAGATGGAGCTCCAATGTTCCGCAGTGCAGTATTGAAGAACCAATATTATACATTACTTGTGGACTTTTAGCACTAAAACACCTAATAAGGAGAACAAATTAGAGGGCCTGTACGTTCTGTATTTATTTGTAATTTATTTCTATGTTATTATTTAGCATTTGGTTGTTAGCATTAGCTTTTGAACAAAATGTTTTTTGTTGTTGTTGTTGCTGTATTTCTAGTAATATTTAACAGTTTTAGGACTTATTAAAAGTGAGTAAAGATTAAAACCTTATAAATACCTTAATAATAACAGAATAACTGTTTAAAAAGTAAATATTTATCTGTCTAATTAAATCCAGCATGTTGTGGTCTAGACTAAGATAAGAAGCAACATAATTTGGAAGCAAAATGTTTATGCAAATTGCTTGTTAGCAGTGTTTCAAAATGTTTGCCTCATGGTGGAAAAAACAGTGAAGAGCTAGTGCTGGTTACCATAGCAACACACTGTTATCATTTGGTTGTTAGATAAAAACTTTTCATTTCTTACTTTTAATAAATCTGGTGAAAAATTGCTAATGTAAACAGTGTGTGGCTATGGTAAAATAATGACATAGAAAGTATATAAAGAATAGATTCAGAAAAATTCACAACATTATGAAGACCAACAATAACACTTTCAAAACTAAAAGCCACCAAAGTGACTGCTCTGGGAGTGTTATTGTTCAACTAACATTTGGTGCTGTACTGTAGCATGGTGCCAGCAGATCAGTAGATTTATGTTGTCTAACCAGCTGCCTCTTGTTCAGGATTTAACTCCTCTGTCCCTGCATCTCTACTCTCCCCATTTTCATCCCAGCTCCTTCACTCCTGCCCCTGATAGTGTGGCCTTCGACAACAAATGAGATTTCGATTAAATCCATCAATCTTACACATCTGTAATAAACACACAGACTGCATTAAGTCTCTAATATTTTCTCTAATAAAAACACTGGGACGTTACAGAAAAAAGCCAAAGTCCAATACATTGCACATTGAAACTAGAGTGAATATTTATGTGTCCTGGCAGTAGCACTGGCATGAAGGCAAGAAGGTTAGCAAAAAGGCTGTGTGTTTGCATGTGCGTTTGCATCTCTCTCTCTGTGTCTGAAAAGGTTGCTCCAAATCCACTGCACTGTAGCAACTGTTGAAGAACATGTCAAAACCAAAGTTCTAGATCAGTGTCCAAACCTATAGTTAAAAGGCCACTTTAGTTACACCTACCCAGATAATTAAACTCTTCACTCACTGGGTTGTTCTAAGTTATGCTTTAATTTCTGGTACTTCCAATACCACTAGGGCCTCTGTCAGAAGCAGTGGTTGCTATGGTGACCATGTCCAGATGTTGATGCTCTTAGTGTTAGTCAGCTGGAGGATTTTACAGATTGTGCATGTTTTTAATGTTAGGGTAAACCTATGCAGACAAGGGGAGAACACACAAACTCCACACTTGGTCCTGTGCTAGCCCCCAGGAATCAATTATTAGTGAAGCTGAAGCGGAAGTTCAGCTGGAAGACAGGAGAACTAAGCTCACATTCGTGCAGCAACCCTCCTCCTCCCCATCACAGCCCCTTTCGCCCTTCTCCTCGCTCCCACCACCAGGGTCTAGGTCCTGGGGGATTTCACCTCATAATCTCTATTTCCATTTTCCCCTCTGCATCATCTTGCAGTGCCCTGCCAGGGTCTAAGCGTTTTTGAGATTGAAATATACTAATACATTTTGGTTCATCCATCCATCCATTTTCTTCCCCTTAATCCATTTCTGGGTCGGGGGGGGTGGCAGTCAGAGCTGCACCCAGTACACAGAGCACCAGCCCCTCACTGATCCTCCTGCAGGTGGTGAGTCCACAGGAGCTGAGATCTTTCAGTTGGGGCTTTGGGCAAAGTAGGGTTAAGTGTCTTGCCCAAGGACACAACGACAGCAGTCGTCAGTGGGAGTCGTGAAGTAGGTCTTAAGGTGGGCTCGAACCCACGACCTTCAGGCCCAAAGGCCAATGCTCTACCAACTGAGCTACTGTCATTTTGGTTCAGTCAAATAAAAAGTCAAACTGAAGTTGGCTGGATGACATTGTGAACTTGTAGAGTATATAAACAGCTGCTGTTGTTTAGTGCTTATGCTCTGGAGCTGCTGTTTCCCCAGGTCTTCTGGTCGGAGTGATTCTACGATACGGCATCCCGGCCACGAGTTACCACAACCAGACCCCTCTGAGCTGCTCCCTGAAGGAGGGTCCCGCCAGCACCCTCCTGCTCAACGTCAGCGGCAAGTTCTTTGAGTACAGCCTCAAAGGAGAGATCAACCTGAGAGAGATTCACAATGTGGAGCAGAATGACATGCTCCGGAAGGTGGGGACCTACTGCAGGGTTTGGTGTTGTGTGGGTCAGTGTGATCGTAATTAGAGACAATATAGATGCACCAAACTGAAAAATAGCAATTGCTCAACTGTATCTATTCATTTTCCATTTAATCTATTATTCTCAAAGTAATTTTCTATCAGTTTTCTGATAGAACCAGTTGGTGGATGTTATTTTTATCAGAATAGTAAGTAACAGGAAGTCAGAAACTATGAATTTGCTTTAGTAAATGGTGCAAACAAGTAATACAAATGGAAAAATCTATTATTATTACACCATCCCCAGGTACAGTGCCTTGCGAAAGTATTCGTCCCCCTTGAACCTTTCAACATTTCGCCACATTTCAGGCTTCAAACATAAAGATATAAAAATTTAATTTGTTGTCAAGAATCAACAACAAGTGGGACACAATCGTGAAGTGGAACAACATTTATTGGATAATTTAGACTTTTTTAACAAATTGTGTCCCACTTGTTGTTGATTCATGACAAAAAAATTAAATTTTATATCTTTATGTTTGAAGCCTGAAATGTGGCGAAATGTTGAAAGGGTCAAGGGGGCCAAATACTATCGCAAGGCACTGTATGTCTAAACTTGTAAAATAAATAGATTTTTGAGTGATAATCCTTATTTGTATTCATTTTCTATTTTTCACCTTCTCTAATAAAAATAATTCCAATGTCTTTTTCCTGCAGGTGACATTTGATCCAGAGGTTTTCTTCAACATCCTGCTGCCTCCAATCATCTTCCACGCAGGATACAGCCTTAAAAAGGTGAATGTTGTTACCCTCTAGGCATCATGGGTCTAACTCAACTAGGGGTGGGAACCTTAAGGGTACCTCACGATACGATACGATACACGATACAAAGCTCATGATAACGATTTTATCACGATATGACAATTATCGATATATTGGTCAGAAATATACCATATGCCAATTTATGGCATAAATAAAAGAAAAATGTTAAGTGCAAAAATACACTTTATTTCATGATAAATGGAATGGAGATGCGTAATGTAGCCATACATTAAGTATTGATACTAATAAAAAAAATAGATTAAAACAGTCTATATCGATACTTGGCAAATGCATATCAATAATCGAATCGCGAGAGAAAGTATCGCGATATATTGATATATTGATCACACCCCTAAACTCAACTATGAGACAAAGTGAGAAAAAAGTATTTATTTGCATATTACAACAAGCAAGATTTCTGCTTCTGGTCTTGGTGGCGCTGATGGCTCTGTCTGTATCTGTGTGTCTTGTTCTTGGGTGGACATGAGTGGACTGAATAGAGAAAAGACGAGGAATACTGTCCAAACGCAAACCATGCCTTTTTTTTTCTTGTTAAGATCAAATGATTGCATGATTGAGGCCTGATTATTACTGGTGCACACACAGACCAGCATTTCTTGTGTAGAGTAAAGAGGAACTGAAAGACATCTGCTCTGGACTTCCTCTTGAAGGAGCCACTTCACACTATGAGTCTGTGACCATCAGTCGACCATCAGGTGGTGGCAGCACACACTATAGACAGATATATATATATACACCACTGAGAAATACCAATGACCAGAGAGAGACTAGAGAGAAGACCAGAGAGAGACCAAAGAGAGACCAGAGAGAGAGAAGAGAGAGACTAGAGAGAGACCAGAGAGAGACTAGAGAAAAGACCAGAGAGAGACCAGAGAGAGGGACTAGAGAGAGGCCAGAGAGAGACTAGTGAGAAGACCAGAGAGAGACCAGAGAGACCAGAGAGAGGGACTTGAGAGAGGCCAGAGAGAGACTAGTGAGAAGACCAGAGAGAGACCAGAGAGACCAGAGAGAGGGACTAGAGAGCTATACCAGAGAGGGACCAGAGTCAGACCAGAGAGAAAAGCCTGAAAGACAGAGATTGGACCTATACTGGACCTGGGCTTTTTTAGCAGCATATTTATAAGCGACAGTCAGAGAGAGGATCCAGGAAGAAGGACCAGAGAGAGACACATGGAAGAAATACCTGAGAGAGACCAGGGAGAGAGACCAGAGAGAGAGATAGACCAGAAAGAGAGAGAGACTAGACTAGAGAGAGAGATCAGAGAGAGAGAGAGACTAGAAAGAGAGATCAGAGAGAGAAAGACTTGAAAAAGAAACCAGAGAGAGAGAGAAACCAGAGAGAGAGACCCTCCCATCTGAGCAGATTCATTTTCACACAGTCTGTGCATTGTGTCTCCTTACCCCTCTAGTTTCCCATTAATATCAACGTCAAACAAACCCACACACAGCGACTTTCTGTTGCTTGTAACCACTACCACAGAGACGGAGAGCAGTACGTAAAGTTTGGACAGTTTGTTTTCGGCCTCTGAGGTCGCACACTGACTTCCTCCAGATCACTAAGTCAGCACTTCCCTCCTCATGGTTGAATGTTGGCCTTGGAAGAGATTTCATAGCTCCGGCTGTTTGATTTGTTACTGGTTAAACAAGGACAGTGTTGACATTACAGCTTCAGTTCAACAGGCACCTGATGCAGCCGATAATACCAAGGCCTAAAATAAAATACAGCACCATGTATTTGTCAATTATAAGTAACAATATTCATTTTATAACATGTGTGGAATGGTGGCTGGGTGGTTTGGGCGCTCACTTCTGTTCCATGGAGTCCTAGTTATTGCTCACTATCTCTGACTTTGGGAACAGCAGGAGGCCAGGACAGTCCCTGTGCTCCAGTCCTCAGAGTCCGAGTAGGTTCTTATGGCGCTAATATGTCACAGATGTACTTTGGTGCGAGGCCATGGAGTGACTTATAACAAACAGATCTGCTTTAAAGTCTATTCTCTGAGTCACAGGAAGCAGAGACCTGAGAACTGGACTAATCTGATGGTACTTCCTGGTTCTAGACAGGACTCGAACCGCAGTGTTTTGAATGTAATGCAGAATGGTGCAGTAGTCTAACCTCCTGGAGACAAATGCAAGATAAGAATCTGCTTTAGACTCTATATTGTACTGCTGTCACCCTACGTTGTGTGCACCATGTGCACTTGTATATTGTAAATAGTATCTGTAACCCTATTTTAAATTTTAATTTATTCCTTAGAAGTGTTTTTTATTCTTTATTTTTTTATTATCTCTTTCTGACTGTTGCACTGAGCCAAAGCAATTTCCAAGTCTGTGACTTCCTGTTACTTACGTGGCAATAAAAATTATTCTGATTCGGATATTTTTGGATTTTGCTCATGTTTTATACGACCTTCTGCAGAACCGATTCATTATTATGAATCAGTGAAGAGACATTTTACACTATGACATACCTTATAACCAAATATCACTCTTTTTTTCCTTTACCCCAGAGACACTTTTTCAGAAATCTGGGTTCCATTCTAACATACGCCTTCATTGGAACAGCTGTGTCCTGTTTTGTTATTGGGTAAGTCAAAACAAAAAGCTTTATGATATCATAGACACAACTTAAAAAAGAATTTCTACTATTTGCTTTTTTTGTTGTTGCAGGAATCTTATGTACGGAGTGGTGAAGCTGATGCAGGTCACAGGACAGCTCATGGAGAAGTTCTACTACACCGACTGCTTGTTCTTTGGTGCCATTGTTTCAGCGACGGACCCAGGTATCAGCACAACGTTTACAATTCGTAGAGTGAGGAAGTAGGAAATTCGCGTGACAGACAGTAGGAATAGAAGAGGAGAGAATAAACACGCTGCGGATATTGAAAAATGGCACAAATCGTTAAAAAAAAGTCCAGACTATTAAACTATAACTGCGCTTAGGAAAAGGAGTTGAGCAGATAAATCAACTTGTATCTATGTATTATAAGTCTGGTACCCAAAAAAATACATGTTGTTTGTCCCAATGAAAACAGTATTGTAGAAGTAAAATGCAGTGAGCTATTTAGACCTATGGAAAAAGACACTATAAACTATATTCAACTTTTAACTTAAAAACATGTATTTGTATGGCAGCTCTGAAGCCGAAACATGTAAATTAGGTCATACGTCTATCTTGATTAGTTAGATGGTTTCTAGAGGTAATTTTTCTTTTTGTTTGAAATATAGGCACCCTAGCTTTAATGGCAGGCTTTAATGTACTTTAGTCTAATGATATTAATTGAATAATAGTTTTATATAGCACTTTTTGGACGCTTCACATGTCATAATTCTTTCACTTCATACTCGTTGGTGATAAACCACTTCCGTAGTCACTGACAGAAGGGAGGCAACCAATCTGTGCCATCACCACCACCAACCATTCACACACACACCAGACTCATTCTAGTGTGGGAGAAGTGTCTTGCCTAAGGACAGGACTACAGTTTGGGGCACTTTACAGTCCCATTGTGGCACCTGGTGTTCCCAGAGGTCTCCCATCACAGTACTACTTGTGTTGCAGTGACCGTGTTGGCCATCTTCAACGACCTTCACGCGGACGGAGACCTCTACGCTCTGCTGTTCGGAGAGAGCGTCATGAACGATGCCGTTGCTATAGTTTTATCATCGTACGTAACATCTGATTAATTACTGTGTGTGTGTGTGTGAGAGTGTGTGCGCGTGTGAGTGTGTCTGTGTGTTTGTGTGTGCGTGTGTGTGTGTGTGTGTCTGTGTGTGTGTGTGTGAGAGTGTCTGTGTGTGAGAGTGTGTGCGTGTACAGTTAAAACGTTTACTTTTTTAACTGTAAACACTAAATGATAAAAGGTTTCAAAATGCAGCAGTATTACAGTATAGTGTTATATTATAGCAGTATTATTATCATCCAGGAGCTAAACTGCGTGTGCAAAGTACAAAAATATGTGCAGTTTCAGTGGTTTGATTCTGTATCTCTGCATCTGTACATTTATCAAACATTTGCTTGCAATGTTCATACAATTTGCAAACACAACCACATGAAAAATCTACCCCTGAGACGCGTGTTCTAAAGTGTGATATATAAATAAATGATCTCTTTCTGCTGCAGGTCTATCGTAGCGTACCAGCCCACTGGCGCCAACTCTCACCAGTTTGATGCGTTCGCCCTCTTTAAGTCGATTGGAGTGTTTCTGGGGATCTTCAGCGGTTCTTTCGTGATGGGAGCTGCCACTGGAGTCGTCACTGCTCTCATATCCTTCCATTGTCCAATCACAATCTGCCTCTGAATAATAACAGCAAAAAGAATTCACCAAACTATAATGTGTCATCATAAGTGTAAATTCAATGAATGGGGACGTAGTCGAGATTGTGACGGGTCAAAAAACAGGAAGTGCAAAAGTACACAAACATTTACCATTTCATGTGGAATTGTTGAATCATTTTCAGGTGTGTATCCAAAGAACAAGATAAAAGTCAGTCATAAACACATAGTGATATTGGAAATTAGTATCAAGTATCAAGTATCAAAGACGTTTCTACATTGTGAGATCAAGAACGTTTTTTCTTATCTTATCTTATCGAGTCCATAGGATGTGTTCATGTGACATCACAACACCAGAGCAAGGGGTGGGCACATTATTTTCTTCAAAGGGCCACGTTGGGATATTTCCCTATTGTCTTTTAAAATTTAGCAAAAAGCTACTTCAAATTATTATGAATAACATTTTGGATTAAATAATGAGAACAGAATAAACATATGACTGGCCATGGCACATATTAAGTTACAAGCCTTTATTGAGTATTGGCTCATTCATTTAAATAAACAACAGACCAATATGAGGTCCTTGTTTCTCTGTATTCCTGGAACAATCCACATGTCAGCACATACAAACTATGGGCTATTCATTTTCTCATAAACGTGTCTAGAAGTGGTGACAATAACATCAAATATGAAATTTACAAATATTAGGTACCTTGTGCAACTTCTCAGTTGTGATATTATAGCTTTGCCGCTTTTGTGACTCAGTATGATATGAAACCTAGTTATTATATATTCACGGCTAAAAAACATGGGATTCTTGGGCAATCCTCTCCGCAGATATCACTTTTTATTTTAATAGTTCACTGCTGCACTGTGGAATATTACCGCTAAAAACAACAACATTTAAATGTAGACAAAAAGCCCAGAACAGTTGCTTTGGCAGACGCTATACGGACAATAACACAACATGGCCACTGGAGGGCAGCAGTACAGCGCAGTGACATGCAGAAAGCCCAAGGATTCTTTATCATTTTGCATCAAAAATGAACTGTTGTATTTTTCTGAATGTGTTTTTCACGTCACGAAGTTCACAAAGCTTCACTACTTCCCTCTTCTGGAGACGGCTCTGTTTTTCCTCATGTCGTGGAGCACCTTCCTGTTGGCCGAGGCCTGTGGATTTACTGGTAAGAAATGCACACTTTTTAAATATGTTTGTCTCTTTTTTTTTTTTTCACAGTTTGTGGAAGAAATTACTCACACTCAAATTTAGTTCAGTTAGTTTAGTTTAGTCTTAAGACATTTATTCTTTTGATCCTGACACCTGGATCTACAGCATCAGTCCGGGATCTACAGCCTCTTTGTTTGTGGGAGCAGATCCCTCTCTCAACATGAGTCTCCCAGACGTTTCTCACTTTTTCCCACCTGGTTTTTTGAGCCGATGCAGGGGCATTATGGCCAATGATGATCCGGAACATGTATGGACGTGGGTCATCTACCCCTTATGGACCTATGGCTCTATGTGTTTGTAATTATTGCATTTATTGTGTTTGAGGTGTTTGATTTTCTGATCTGTGTTGGCGAATCCCCAACTTTGTAAAGTCCTCAAAGATAACCACTCTCTCTAGTCTCTTTGTGGTCTCTTTCCGGTCTCTCTCTGGTCTCTCTCTCTGGTCTCTCTTTGGTCTCTCTCTGATCCCTCTCTGGTCTCTCTCTGATCCCTCTCTGATCCCTCTCTGGTCTCTCTTTGAATTGAATCAAGAAGAAGACTTTTTTGACCAATATCTGAATCCCCCATTTGCTTGTGGTGACTGTTGTTGCTTTACTGCTCGATGTAAAAATAAATTCAATGTGTTTTTGATTCAAAACGTTCCAAGAATTTACATGAATTATCAATCAATCAATTTTTATTTCTATAGCACAGTTCATACAGAATGCAACCCAAAGTGCTTCACATCGGCAACATTTAAAACGAAATTAAAAACACACTTTAAAAAACAAATACAAAAGACAATTTAATAAAATGAATAAATATTTGTATATTCCATTCCATTCCATCTTCTTCCGCTTCATCCGTTGCCGGTTCGCGGGGGCAGCAGTCTAAGCAGAGACGCCCAGACTTCCCTATCCACACGCACTTCCTCCAGCTCGTCTGGGGGGACCCCAAGGCGCTCCCAGGCCAGCTGAGAGACATAGTCTCTCCAGCGTGTTCTGGGTCTTCCCCGGGGCCTCCTCCTGTGGGACGTGCCCGGAACACCTCCCCAGGGAGGCGTCCAGGAGGCATCCGGAACAGATGCCCGAGCCACCTCAACTGGTTCCTCTCGACGTGAAGAAGCAGCGGCTCTACTCCGAGCTCCTCCCGTGTGACCGAGCTCCTCACCCTATCTCTAAGGGAGCACCCAGCCACTCTGCGGAGGAAGCTCATTTCGACCGCTTGTATCCGCAATCTCAATCTTTCGGTCATTACCCAAAGCTCATGACCATAGGTGAGGGAGGGAACGAAGATTGACCGGTAAATCGAGAGCTTTGCCTTTCGGCTCAGCTCCCTCTTTACCACAACGGTCCGATACAGCGACCGCATCACTGCGCACGCTGCACTGATCCGCCTGTCAATCTCACGCTCCATTCTTCCCTCACTCGTGAACAAGACCCCGAGATACTTGAACTCCTCCACTTGAGGAAGGACCTCCCCACCCACCTGAAGAGGGCAAGGCCCCTTTTTCCGGTCGAGCACCATGGCCTCAGATTTGGAGGTGCTGATTCTCATCCCAGCCGCTTCACACATATTTGTATATGTAAATAGTAAAATTATGAATCGTTTTCCTGATGATCATTATTGTCCATGCATCCCTTTTCTATTGAAATCCTCAGCCTATCTCTGGAGGAAACTCATGTGGACTGTTTGTATCCACATTCTCATCCTTTCGGTCTTTGCCCAAAGCTCATGACCTAAGGTGAACAATAGGTTTCTGTTTCATGATGCTTTCTGAGAGTCTTCTAAACCACGGTGTAGCCAAACAAATCTAGATGTCACCACGCTGTAATAAAATCAGGCTCACACATGTTTGTTATGGCTCCCTAAGTTTTTGTGTTAAATTACGTGAAAGTAATGGATTCTACAGGAGGTGAGGACAAAACATAGATATAGTAATTATCTCGGAGGACATTACAAAGTTGTGGATTCACAGACACAGATCAGAGAATCAAACAGTTCAAACACAGAAAATGCAATGATTGAAAAAACACATAGAGCCATTGGTCCATAAGGGGTCCATAAATGTCTCTAAATGGCCAAGCAGGCTCACAGACGTTTTTTTTGGCTCTCTACGGTTTGTGTGTGAAAATAATGGATTCTGCAGCCTTGTAAAGTCCTCCAAGATAGCAACTGCTGTGATTTAAGGCGATGCAAAAATACATTGATTTGGATTGAAATGGATGGTGATGGTCAGGGACTTTGATGTGTACTAAATGGAAATGACTGGAACCACAAAAATAATAACGTTTTGAGTGACCTTATTCTATTTGTTCTGTACTTACTGACTCACTAGAATTACACTAAAAAATGGCTATTTCTCGGTGTGTTTTTCAGGAGTTGTGGCTGTGTTGTTCTGTGGGATCACGCAGGCTCACTACACCTGCAACAACCTCTCAGAGGAGTCCAATAAACGCACCAAACAGGTATCTCTTCAATTTTCTAATTATCCCCTATATGTGTGTGTGTGTAGGTTCCTCCACTTTGAGGCCAGGACTTACTAAGAGAGAAATCCCAGCAGGGCTCTCCCGGTTAATTGAAGCCAATCTATCTGAACTTTGAAAGGTTTTGGATACTTTTTGTTAGGGTTTCTTTGGTCTTTCTCTCTCTTTTTTCTCTGGCTTCTCTCTGGTCTCTCTCTGGTCTCTCTCTCTCTGGTCTCTCTCTGGTATCTCTCTGGTATCTCTCTGGCTTCTCTCTGGTCTCTCTCTGGTCTCTCTCTGGTCTCTCTCTCTCTGGTCTCTCTCTGGTATCTCTCTGGTCTCTCTCTGGTCTCTCTCTGGCTTCTCTCTGGTCTCTCTCTGGTATCTCTCTGGTCTCTCTCTGGTCTCTCTCTGGCTTCTCTCTGGTCTCTCTCTGGTCTCTCTCTGGTATCTCTCTGGTCTCTCTCTGGCTTCTCTCTGGTCTCTCTCTGGTCTCTCTCTGGTCTCTCTCTGGTCTCTCTCTGGCTTCTCTCTGGTCTCTCTCTGGTCTCTCTCTGGTATCTCTCTGGTCTATCTCTGGCTTCTCTCTGGTCTCTCTCTGGTCTCTCTCTGGTCTCTCTCTGGTCTCTCTCTGGTCTCTCTCTCTCTGGTCTCTCTCTGGTATCTCTCTGGTATCTCTCTGGTATCTCTCTGGTCTCTCTCTGGCTTCTCTCTGGTCTCTCTCTGGTCTCTCTCTGGCTTCTCTCTGGTCTCTCTCTGGTCTCTCTCAGGAATCTCTCTGGTCTATCTCTGGCTTCTCTCTGGTCTCTCTCAGGAATCTCTCTGGTCTATCTCTGGCTTCTCTCTGGTCTCTCTCTGGGCTCTCTCTGGTATCTCTGTCTTGTCTCTCTCTGGTTTCTCTCTGGGCTCTCTCTGGTATCTCTGTCTTGTCTCTCTCTGGTTTCTCTCTTGTCTCTTTCTGGTCTCTCCTTCTGGTCTCTAATTGGCCCCTCTCTGGTGTCTCTCTTGACATTGTTTGACATGACAAAGATTAAGCATAATCAAAAACACAGAATCGAAAGCCTTTGTGTGAAACATTGTAAACATAACATAACTATTATGTTATGTTATGGGAGGCACGGTGGCTGAGTGGATAGCACTCTCACCTCTCAGCAAGAAGGTCCTGGGTTCGAATTCCGGTCGGACCAGGGCCTTTCTGAGTGGAGTTTGCATGTTCTCCCCGTGTCTGCGTAGGTTTCCTCCGGGTACTCCGGTTTCCCCTACCACTAAAAATATGTCCAATAGTTCTAGCATGCGCCTCCTGTACTGGCGATCCCACTCCCATCTCTGTGTGGAGTGAGAGACAAATGCCCAAAATTAACAATTGTAAACCGCTTTGAGACTCAGATCTGCAGTGAAAAGGCGGTATATAAATAAAAACTTACTTACTTACTTACTTACTATGAGTGATCTTTCTGTCTCTGTCTGAACTCCTTGACCTCACAGACAGCAGACTGGCCCTGATGCCACATGGATGTAACATTTCACCTGCTGTGACCTTAATCAGGCTCAGGATTTGCTGTTGGCTGTTTCCAAACTCAGAGAGAGAGAGAGAGGTCACAGCGTGAAGACACCTGGATCTGGAGCTCAAACCCTGGAATTTTTTATTAGAACTTCTGTTAATATTAGTAATGTGCAGAACCATTGCAGACCGTCTTTTAGTTGCATCACTAATAAAAAATTAGGGTTAAATAGCAAGTGTAAAATTTTTAATGAGGATTTAGATCACGGCCCCCCAGATGGTCGAGGTGTATTGTTCTCTGGTCTGGTCTCTCTCTGGTCTCTCTAGTCCCTCTTTGATCTCTCTCTGCTCTCTCTGGTCTCTCACTTGATTTATTCCTCTAAACATTAATCATTCTTGTCTCTTTTTTGACCAATGACCATTTGAATTGTTTGATTTATGTGTGCTCTTGGCAATGCAACAACTCTGTGAAGACAAAGGAAGGTTTCTCACCCATCATCTGTACTTCTTAGCAAGTTTTCCCGACGTTTCGTCCTCAACCTAGCGGACTTCTTCAGGGAATGAATTCTCGGACCGCGCGTTGGAGATTTATAACCTATGGGTGTGGTAAGCCACACCCTAATCCTGATACTAACTCGTAAACAATCTCAGGTCTGCTTGATGTAGAAGGGAGCAAGTCTAACGACCCTGCTGAGGCTAACGACCCTAACTCCTTAGCATGTCACAGACCTATTGTCTGCTGGGATGCTCAAGTGGGGTGCAGGTCTCACCCCTCCTAACTCATTAGCATGTCACTGACCTTGTCCCAAGTTAGGGCGTTGTTTTTAGGATGTCGTCATAGATGCGAGGCAAAACAAATCTTAACCCTCCTCCTCTGTTAAGAGAAGGTTTTTGTTTCCTCACAAAAATGGCTTCTTTCACCCCTCTCTCAAACCAATTCTTCTCCCGAGCCAGAATTTTAACCTCTGTGTCATCCACCGTGTGGTTGGAGGCCTTGAGGTGGAGATGAACAGCCGACTGTGGCCCACTAGAGTTTTCTCTACGATGTTGGTAAAGTCGTTTCTGTAGAGTTTGTTTAGTTTCTCCAATATAGTGGTCAGTGCACTCCTCTTCACTACATTTAATTGAATACACCACATTGCTCTGTTTGTGTCTGGGTGTTTTGTCTTTGGGATGCACTAATTTCTGTCTTAACGTGTTGAAAGGTTTGAAATACACAGGGATTTTGTGTTGCCTAAAGATTCTTTGTAGTTTCTCTGAAACTCCCGCCACATACGGTAAGGACACCCCTCTAACATCCCCACGACATCCTAAAAACAACGCCCTAACTTGGGACAAGGTCAGTGACTTGCTAATGAGTTAGGAGGGGTGAGACCTGCACCCCACTTGAGCATCCCAGCAGTAAGTAAGTAAGTAAGTATTTATTTATATACCGCCTTTTCACTGCAGATCTGAGTCTCAAAGCGGTTTACAATTGTTAATTTTTGGGCATTTGTCTCTCACTCCACACAGAGATGGGAGCGGGGCCAGTACAGGAGGCGCATGCTAGAACTATTGGACATATTTTTAGTGGTAGGGGAAACCGGAGTACCCGGAGGAAACCTACGCAGACACGGGGAGAACATGCAAACTCCACTCAGAAAGGCCCTGGTCCGACCGGGATTCGAACCCAGGACCTTCTTGCTGAGAGGCGAGAGTGCTATCCACTCAGCCACCGTGCAGACAATAGGTCTGTGACATGCTAAGGAGTTAGGGCCGTTAGCCTCAGCAGGGTCGTTAGATCTGCTCCCTTCTACATCAAGCAGACCTTAGATTGTTTACGAGTTAGTATCAGGATTAGGGTGTGGCTTACCACACCCATAGGTTATAAATCTCCAACGCGCGGTCCGAGAATTCATTCCCTGAAGAAGTCCCCAGGTTGAGGACGAAACGTCGGGAAAACTTGCTAAGAAGTACAGATGATGGGTGAGAAACCTTCCTTTGCTTTGACTAATCCCTGTACGACTGAGGGCTTACACAAACTCTGTAAAGAGAAAAAAACAGTTTTGATTTTTTTGTTGTACAGAAAGTAATTGATTTGTATTCACAACGTCAAAAATATTTCTCTTTTATATTAAAGGGATCTTATGTAATGGTGTTCACTAACCGCCTGTGCCTTTAGACTGTATACAGATGGTCTATAGTGAAGTGCTCATGGCCAAAGTTTTGCTCTGGCTCCTATTGACTTACATTGAAAAGAAAACTAGGCTAAGTTTCAAGTCATATCTGTGGAAAACTAAATGCCAAAATGCCAAAAAGAAAATTACTTTTAGTCCCCGTTTAAATGGAGACGCAGCGGAGAAACTGGCAAAAACTACCAGACTCCTTTTTCGAACGGCACAGCGTCTACACCACAACAAAAAAACAATGTAGTTCTAGTGCCCGGCCCGTAGTGGGCAGTGGAATGTTACAACACGACAGGTGTGACCCCCAGCAGTACAACCACCTCCTCAACAACATCCTCCTCAGGCCACCGCAAAGACGTGAAAGAATGCACCAACATTATTCTGCAGTTAACAGCAGCTGCGAAAATGGAAACTGAAACTAGAGCTTCCCCTCTTCCCCTCTTCTCCCCCCTGAAACACTGTCTTCATGTAAACAGAAGGCCAAACCGATACCCAACTCTATCGTTTTACTGTCGCAGCGTCTCCATCTGAACGGGGCCTTAGAGAAACTTAAACCAAACCCAGACCCTCCTTACTGTTTTACTTCACTTCCTGTTGTTTGTTTGTCCACAGCTCTTTGAAGTTCTGCACTTTCTGGCTGAAAACTTCATCTTCTCGTACATGGGTCTGGCTCTGTTTACCTTCCAGAACCACATCTTCAACCCCATCTTCATCGTCGGAGCTTTTGTATCTTTGACTCAACTGTTTTTATCTTTAAACTGGTCAAGTTCATTAAGTCTTCTCTGTGTTTAAGGCTTAGAGGGTTCTTTTAAGGAGACAGAGTGTAAAGAAGCTATTACTGCTTTATTCTCAGCCTGTTCCACACCCCCTTAGACTGACCAAGCCCCCTCAGACTGACCACACCCTCTGCTGTGGTCTCTGGAGAAGTGAGTCCCAAGTGTTAGGCGAGGTGAAGGCCCCCTCGTCTCTGTTGATAGTTGGTGCACCCTGGTTCCTGTTCTCTTTTGAAAGCTTCTTTAGACTTTTATCTTAATGAGTAAAACCGTCTGTCACGGATCGACACATGTTACGGATTAGTACTTTGTGAAAGGTTCTTAACCCGATCGTCAGCTCGCCATATTCATCGGCCGGGCCATGAATATATACCCTCTCTCGTTCCTTCTCAACCTTGGACGCCGACATAAAATCACCGGAAATTTCCAACACATGATGATGTTTGCTGGTAAATATCGCAAAAAAAACAGAACTTTATATGAACAGGTTTAACTTCATACATTTTAACAATGAAGAAATATGATGCATTACTTGTTGGCCTAAAAATTATGATATGAATAATGTTTGATGGCAGTATTTACTAGTCTCGTTATCATTTATAATGGCCAAATATAACCATCCATCCGCCTTATCCATTGCCGCGTCACAGGGGGCAGCAGTCTGAACAGAGACACAGACTTCCCTCTCCACACACACTTCCTCCATCTCATCTTGGGGAATCCTGAGGCATTCCCAGGCCAGCTGAGAGACACAGTCCCTCTATGTCCTGGGTCTTCCCATGGTCTCCTCTTCCCAGACCAGGACACCTCCCCAGAGAGACGTCCAGGAGGCATTCCAAACACATGTCTGAGCCGCCACTGGCCAAAAATAATGCATCATATTTCTGTGTAAGTAACAAACCTGACTGTCCACTGTGGCGCAGGTCTACGTGGAGCCATGGCGTTCGCCCTGGCCATCAGAGACACGGCCACCGCGGCACGCCAGATGATGTTCAGTACGACTCTCCTCATTGTCTTCTTCACCGTCTGGGTTTTTGGAGGCGGCACCACGGCCATGCTCTCCTGGCTGCACATCAGGTAACACCTCTTCACACCGACCGATCATCTGGGCTTTAGAGCACCCGTAGTTTTGATATCTCATACTTTTAAAGCTTGAGTACCTTCACTTTTTTGAAGTGGAAGCGAAACTTGGATTTTCTATTTACTTCTCTAATTCAACTACTAGTTAGATATATCAAGCCTTTGTTTATTTGTTATAAATATTGATACAGTAATTGGCTCAACTCTAGCCTGGTCTTACCATACCATCATACTCTTTTCATTTCGTACTATGGTCTGTATTTGCTCAATTGAGATAACAGGTGGGAGGGTTTTTCCTTTTGCAGACTGAAATGATTGGATCTGAGTTTATTGTGACGTAAGAGTGAGGTATGTAGCTTAGCTTTAGCATTTAGCCTAGCTTTAGCCATCTCCTTTGCCACTACCGGAGCCGTGGGGAGTAGAGCCACATCTTTGCCAGCAATGAAATGAGCTAAACCTTCCTCTTGCTTTTCTTTATTTAAACTGAACTATAAGCCATCAGTAAGACATACTATCTACCCATTTGCATGAAATTAGTTTATATCAAATATTAGTGTCATATTTCAATTTCAGAAAACATGAACTTTTTAACATTTTTTTAGAGATTCACCAGCAATGTTGTTATTGGTTTGAGTTTTGAAGTCTCAAGGGAAATGCTGTAAATAAGTAAATGTTTTAATGTGTGTGGATCCTGATTAGACAAACATCAATGAGTTATATGTGACAAAGTTGGAGTCGATTCTTGGTGTCAACTTCAATTTTGTCTTTGGTTTTTGAAGTGAACTTTATTGACTGTTGTTGTAGACTGTAGTTGTCCAGAAGGGGGCGTCAGATTCACATTATTGTTCCTGCTCTCAGATTTACCCCCAAAACAAATGGCTGTTATGTGCTCTCTGGTCTGGTCCAATTTAACAGGGAGAATTTAGGCTTAAGTGTGTATGAGTGTGAGTGTGTGTGTGTGTCTCGCTCTCTTTGTCTGTCTGTGTGTGTGTCTCTCGCTCTCTGTCTGTGTGTGTGTGTAAGTGCGTGTGAGGGAGAGAGAGAGGGACATGGACCATAATGCATTGCTTCCACTTGTAATGATAAAGAGGATTATGTTGTTCCAAAATGTCGGGTTGAGCTGTTTAATACGAGTAATGCTTTTGGTTCCTGAGCAAAAACTATTGTGTATTTTAGGCTTTGTCAAAAAAAAACCTCTATCTGAATTCTGAGTTGACTGAATGCGTTGGAAAACAAACAGGAAAAGGTCCGAGGTACTCTCACTTAAAATTAATTTCTTGCCGTTATTGCAATTTGGTTGCAATAATTAAAGGATTTTGTTTTTTTTTCTGAGTTTTTCACTTTGTTTTCCCACAGATCCTTGAAAAGCCACTGACCCCTTACCTTTATCCTAATTTTTTTAATCCTCTCTCTCTCTCTCTGGTCTCTCTCTCTGGTTTTTCTCTCTGATCGCTCTCTCTCTCTGGTTTCTCTTTGGTCTCTCTCTCACTGGGTTCTCTCTCTCATCCCTCTCTGGTGTCTCTCTCTACACTCTCTCTCTGGTCTCTCTCTTTGGTCTCTCCTTCTCTGGTCTCTCTCTCTCTTGTCTCCCTTTTGCTGGTCTCTCTCTCTGATTTCCCTCTCTGGTCTCTCTCTGGTCTCTCTGGGATACTGAGCTGGTCTTGAATTGCTGGTTTGGATAAAAAGCTGTGAAATTGCATGACAGATGTTGCTAAATAAAGTAGAATAGATAATTGCGTCGCTGTGTAGGAAGGAGACAGTTAGAAAGCAATATAACCTGAAGATATAGCATAATACTGGATAATTTCTCTGCGTGTGGAGCCTGCATTAGTATTTGCAGTGGTAATGTAGGGAGTCCATGGAGAACCCCCTCCTTGAACTCTTTTCATTCAGACCCCTTTTAAACACTTTTGAGGCACATTTTTCTTCCTTAAAAGCCAAAAGTTGTTGTTGAATTTGTGAAGGGCTGTAATGGATGCAGTCACTGAGACTTGACACAGATAACTATTAAATACTAAAGAACAGATCAGTTTTTCAAAAGCCGGAACATTCACATCATGATTAAGCTCAGCTGAGGAGACCACAAATATCACTAATCATAAATGAAATACTGTACTGTATGGATTTTTCCTTAAAAAATATGGTCAGATAGATTAAAATAATAAATAATCTCTCTTTGGTCTCTGTCTCTCTGGTTTCTCTGTCTCATCCCTCTCTAGTCTCCCTCTGGTCCCTCTCTCTGGTCTCTCTTTGGTCTCACTCTGGTCCCTCTCTCTGGTCTCTCTCTGGTCTCTCTGGTTTCTCTCTCTCATCCCTCTCTCATCTCTCTCTCTCTGGTTTCTCTCTCACCCCTCTCTGGTCTCTCTCTGGTCTCTCTCTGGTCTTACTCTCTGGTCTCTCTCTCTCTGGTCCCTCTCTCTGGTCTCTCTCTCTCTCTAGTCTCTCTCTTGTCTCTCTCTCTCCAGTCTCTCTCTAGTCCCCCTCTGCTCTAGTATTTCAATAAAAGTATGGTGTTGTGTATGTGTTAAAATACAGCTGAGTATTCTCTAAGGGACCACATTACAATATATAAATCGTGTATAGTTCACAAATATATCTAATCAAATTGAATTAAAAGTCCCTTGTATCTTAATGTGTTTTGTATCTGCAGTCTTCTAAATTGACCCAGCTCTGGATTTGAACCTATTCCATTTGGTTTGTACCATAAGTCAAAGATCTGTGTTTCGGAAACTATTCAACTTTAACTTTTCCAGGTCAGAAAAGGATCCATTCTCTCTGTAAAATTCTTCACTGAGTCTGAGCGGAAACTAGAAAAGCACACAAGAGATGATACTGAAATAGTTTAGTTTAGAAATAGACGATACTGTCGTAATATAGATTTTAAGGACTCAAGCGACACGTTGTGGAGTAACTTCACTCGTTTATTTTACCTCGCTCCGAACCATTCAACATGTAAAAGTCTCTCTCCAACACTCCCGTACCTCCGGTTTAAGCCTTCACAATAAGACGTAAAGCTTATGTAAACGGAATACACCACAGATACTGTAATTGAAAGTCTGCTTTAACCAGAGCAGATACGTGGGATTGTATGACTCTAAAGCTGATTCTCATACTGTTGTTTATTTGTTTGTAAATCTATAAATTGATAAATACAGAGGAGTTAAGCAGTTTCTCTCAGAGACATCTGTCGAGTCGTGGGATTATCGACGTCCTCAAATAACCCTGGATCATATCTGACCCGCTCTGTTGCCAATTACTGTTTTCTCTGTAATCTGCCTGCAATCCCACTGTACACCCACCCAGCTGCTGTTTGCTCTGGTCTCTCTATCCGGTCTCTCTCTCTGGTCTCTCTCTGTTCTCTCTCTCTGGTCCCTCTCTCTGGTCCCTCTCTCTGGTCCCTCTCTCTGGTCTCTCTCTCTGGTCTCTCTTTGTTCTCTCTCTCTGGTCCCTCTCTCTGGTCCCTCTCTCTGGTCTCTCTCTCTGGTCTCTCTTTGTTCTCTCTCTCTGGTCCCTCTCTCTGGTCTCTCTCTGGTCTCTCTCTCTGATCTCTCTCTCAAGTCCCTCTCTCTGGTCCCTCTCTCTGGTCTCTTTCTGGTCTCTTTCTGGTCTCTCTCTTTGGTCTCTCTCTGGTCTCTTTCTGGTCTCTCTCTCTCTCTCTCTGGTCTCTTTCTGGTCTCTCTCTGGTCAGCTGCTGTTTGGAGAGGTGCCTCAGAGCAGAGGGGGGTCTCTTTCTGCCTCTCTGGCCTTTCTCTCTCTGGTTTCTCTCACGGGTCTCTCTCTAGTCTCTCTCTCTGGTCTCTTTCTGGTCTCGCTCTTGTCAGCTGCTGTTTGGAGAGGCGCCTCACAGCAGGGGGATCTTTCTCTCTCGCTCTCTCTCTCTCTGGTTTCTCTCTCTCATCCCTGTAATACGGCGTCCACTGCTCCTGACAGACGCCCAAGTGGCATCAGGATGGGTCAAACTCAGAGGACAAAGTACCCTACGGGGATAAAAGAAGTGCACATTTACATTAGGCTGGTGCTCTGTGAAATGGACAAAGGGGAAAAAGATGGATGGATGGATTCACATTTACATTTACATTTGATGATTTTTCTGTTGCCTAAAACCTATTTTAAGTCAGTTGTGACGTGTATTGCTATGACTCTTATCCTATTGTAACGTGTATCTACTTTACTATCACTGTTGTGTTCGTCAGATTTAGGCCTCGGCAGAGTGTCTCCGGACAGAAGTGCAGATACTCAAGGTGCTGTGTTTGACAGTAAGTGGTGAAGGGAGTGGGTCTGCTGCTTTCTCCTCTGCTCCTGTGGGTGGAGGCGTTCTTTGGTGGAGGTGTTCCTCTGGTGGAGGCGTTCTCTGGAGGTTCATGCAGGACTGTGGGGAGGACTGTGGGGGGCGCCGCTGTCATAATGAAATACATTAGAGTGCGTGGGAGCATAGTTTTCCCTTCTGTTTGCTTGTCGAATGTGCGATTATTTATGCCGCTGTGGTGTGAGGAGAAAAATCACTGTCTGTTTGTCTCCAGCTGCTGACAGAGATCTGTGACATGATCAGGAATAATAGGAGAATGGAACAAGCCTGGTCCAAACACGGTTATTCATTGTCAATTTTATAAAGCAGTGTGTTGCCTGGAATTGGGTTTGTGGCACTGTCAGAACAATCTGTGTTTTCAGCCCAAGAAGAATACAGTAAATCAAATTATTCTTATTCTACAGTGCTGCAAGTTTCTGGTGAATAGATTTTTATTTATTTGCTTGAAATCCTCCACAGTATGGCATTAACATTACATATGAATGGAAAAAAGGCAATTCAATGTATTTGTGTATAGTCCTAAATCACAACAGCAGTCGTCTCAGAGGACTTTACAAAGCTCTTGATTCACCAACAACAGAACAGAGAATCAAACAGTTTGAACATTGGATTTGCAATAATAACAAACACATTGGTCCATGAGGAAAACATTTGTATAATTGTCCTTGAATGTCCCAGATGATCACTTAATTTTTTTTTTTTTTTAAAGTGGGAAAAAAGTGAGAAAACTTGGGGAGAACCCAAACCCATGTTAAGAGACAGGGATCCGCTCCCATGGATGGACAGGCTGTAGACCCAGGACCGAGGCTGTAGACCCAGGACTGAGGCTGTAGATCCAGGACCGAGGCTGTAGACCCAGGACTGAGGCTGTAGATCCAGGACTGAGGCTGTAGACCCAGGACCGAGGCTGTAGACCCAGGACTGAGGCTGTAGATCCAGGACTGAGGCTGTAGACCCAGGACTGAGGCTGTAGATCCAGGACTGAGGCTGTAGATCCAGGACTGAGGCTGTAGACCCAGGACTGAGGCTGTAGACCCAGGACTGAGGCTGTAGACCCAGGACTGAGGCTGTAGATCCAGGACTGAGGCTGTAGACCCAGGATTGAGACTGAGGCTGTAGATCCAGGAAAGAGGCTGAAGATCCAGGACTGAGGCTGGAGAACAAGGACTGAGGTGGCTCCCAGGCAGAATGGGTGGTGCAGCCCATAAGTCCAGGCTGGGAGAGACCAGTCCTTAGCTGCAGATGAAAAAGCGGGTGAATAGCAATGAACAGACTTTCTTATCAGACAGAACTCCTTCAAAATGTTCAAAGAAGTTTTACATGAATCAAGTGACAGATTGTGACAAAAAAAATACTGGAAGTACTGGTTGTTGTAAAGTGGCTTATCTTCACCAATCTCCAGTGATGTCTATCAGACCTCTGAAGCTAAGCAGGGCAGGACCTGGTTATTACTGTGATGGGAGACCTAGAATGCCTAGAATGACTGATAGTCTTTGTTTCTTTGTTCCTTTTCTGATATGTGAAATTTCCTAAACATGACAGAGAGCTGATCCTGCAAACTGACAGACAGAGCAACAGCTTAGAAGTCACGTCCAGCTCTTGTCTTCGCTCCAGAGATTGATAACCGCTTTCAGCACAGCTTTGAGAGACTGAAACAGATGCACGAGGACGGTGTTGAGTTCGTGGTAATCATGGTTGAGGCCAAGAAAGACTGACACCGCAGAATGAGGCTTTTATAGAGAAAACTCAGGCAAAGGTTTATGAACCAGGAGAGGGAGAAAGAAAAGGGGATTCAATCGTACAAGTCCAAAATCATATCTATATTATCTGTATCATGATGTTTTAAATGAGTATATCAACATGTCAATCAATCAATGTGTGAGGAAAAAAACAAAAACACACAGAGGACACACACACACACACACCAAGAATAGACCGAGAACCATGGAGAGACCAAGGCCCCTTCAGGCTCCTTTGGGCTCCTTTGGGCTCCTTTGGGCTCCTTTGGGCTCCTTCGGGCTCCTTCAGGCTCAGTCTCAGTTATTGCCGGTCAGTTCCTGCCCCTCCCCCTTGTGTCGAGTTTGTCCTTGTTTTTGCAGCTTTCTCTGATCTCCACATGAGGTCACATTCCTCAGATATGAAATGCAGGCCGTGGAGAAGTGAAGTTTAAAGCCGTGGTCCGGGTTTGTTCATCAGACTAATGTGACAAAAGAGTGAAGTATGTTGTTGTTTTTGATTATTTGAAGATTTGCAAAATCATTTTAATACACTTAATATTATGTTTATTTGCCATTTGCAGTAAAACCACATTGGAATACATGTGTCACAGTCCCCAGTGTGCACCAGACAAGCACACAATAAAACAAGTAACCAATAAACAAAAACAGATTCAGTGCAAATGCAAGATCATTAGAGTGCTTTGTTCAGACTGAACAGCTTGTGGAAAGAAGCTGTTAGCATATCCAGATGTCCTGCATCTCAGCAAACAATATCTTCTGCCAGAGGAAAGAAGCTGGAACATGACTTTTCTATGGGCCAGAAGAGTTGTTGATAATTCTATGAGCTGGATTTAAGTCTGGATTCATAAAAACCTCCAGAACAGACAGCTTAAAGTCCTCTTTCATAGCGGAGCATCTCTCTCTGGTAGAGACTAGAGAGAGAGACCAGAGAGAGACCACTGAGAGAGACCAGAGAGAGAGAGAACCACAACCATGAGCATTTCTGTACCATTTTGTTTCACTCAGATCTGCTTCCTTTTGGACCTCGACCGGCTTCTTCCCTCGTCCTCGGCCTTGGCCCTCCTCCAGGCGGATTAGAGGCTGGGGCTTATAAGAATTAAACCCACCCTTTTAAATTGTGCTTGTGTTCTGCTTAATCCTCCTGCTCTGTAACCGACACCAGAGGGATCCACCACAGCACTTTATGGAGTCAAAGTTGAACAGAAGATTAAGTCTAATGAGTTTGTCCTAAAGATGAGTGAACAGCAAACAGCAGACAGTGGGTCGACAAAGTATACCAGCTTTTGTCACAACACAAACATAGATTTTTTGTGTTTTAAAAAAGTTGAATATTAGTCTTTAAATCTTCCAAAACATAAACAACGTCTGAACTTCCTGGTTTGGTCATTCAGTATGACACAGATAAACAATAATTGGAGAACTAACATGTGGAAGTAACAGAGGCAACAATATTTACATTTCCGTAATAACTTGAACTGTTTTAAAGAATCTCTGGTCTCTCTCTCTGCTCTCTCTCTCTCTGCTCTCTCTCTCTGGTCCCTCTCTGATATTTCTCAGGTCTCTCTCTCTCTGCTCTCTCTCTCTGGTCCCTCTCTGATATTTCTCAGGTCTCTCTCTCTCTGCTCTCTCTCTCTGCTCTCTCTCTCTGATATTTCTCAGGTCTCTCTCTCTGGTCTCTCTTTCTGATCTCTCTCAGAATTGTTTTTATTACCATTGTAAGTCACACACTGGGAATTGTCTTTGGCATATGGTGCAAAAATGCATTTAAAGTCATGCATACAAAAATCTTAATACAATTTTCATTTATGAATACACACAATAGACCTTTAACATTGCAGATTAGCGAGAAGTGACAAGAGACATGCAAACATTTAGTATTAGTCACGTTTACAACCACAAACATAAAGATTCTAATAATAATATGCCTTGTTTTGCATGAAGGAACTGAAAGACAAGATATGTTTGTGTTTCAAATTAGACTGAAGTCAAACGAAACATGTTGCCTAGATTTTAAACTAGGGCTGTAACAATTCCATTCAATGTATTTTTGTGTCGCCCTAAATCACAACAGCAGTCGTCTCTGAGGACTTTACAAAGTTGTTGAGTCACCAACAACAGATCAGAGAATCAAACAGTGCAAACATAGAAAATGCCATAATAACAAACACACATAGGAGCCATTAGGGGCTATTTGTTGGGGACGAGATGACCACTGTCCAGAAATGTTAATAAATGTCCTTAGATAATGTTGCATCCAATCAAAACAAGTTACTGACGAATCGCAAACAAGAAATCATTGAAATAGTTGTTTACTAATTCAGTAGTCCTTATATTCTTCTTTTTGGATCCGGGTTGGTTGTTTCTGACCTTTCAGAGGACTTAATCAACCTTATTGGACTAATTTAGAGAACGATTAATTGCCTTTCGAACTTCAAATAGACATGAATCATAAACTGTATACAAATGGTCAATGCTAACTTGCTAGCTAACCTGAAGCCCAAAAGGGAAGTGCTCATAGTTGAACTTTGGCTCCAACTCGCTCTGGCTCCTATTGAGTTACATGTAAAAGTAAACTCCTCTAACGGTTTGTGTGACACTCATCATTTTGGGCTATAAACATTGATAGTTTAGAGCTCTCTGTGATCCTGGTGTTTATGTTTTTATGATATTGTCTTTGTAAACACAAATATGAGCCATGTAAGGATTGACCTCATTCTCTGTTGAAACTCCATCTTGCTTCGATTATCAAAATAGTCGTAGATCACAGCCCTAGTTCAAGCTAAAATGTCTGCTGTGTGTGTGTAATATTTCTTAAACTAACTCCTAACTCCTCTTGCCTACTTTTGTCTTTTTTTCACTGCTTTTTGGGTAATGCTTTTTTGGAGGGTTGTCTCTCCTGCTTTCCTTTTGATGTTTTAGCAAGAACCTCAAAAGTCAACCTCAAAAGAAGTGGAATAATTTGGGTCAAATTGGAGGAAAAATGGGGCAGATTAATGCAAATTGGTGTCATTGTAGTTTTGTGTTTTAATGATGTTTGGTCTTGTATGTGTTGCAGGGTCGGGGTGGATCCGGATCAGGACCCTCAACCCACAGAGGGCAGCTTCCAAGTTCTTCAAGGAGTAAGCAAGACTATGCAATATAATATCTATGGTTGTGTTTATATATATATATACAACAAAGGATTGCATTTTAATGATTAAGAGATCCTTCGTTCACATTTTGAGTTGAAATTTTAATAACATTAGTTTCACCTTATAGTATTTAGTGTGGAGATTACTTGGGAGATTTGATTATATACTACTCTGGTCTCTCTCGGGTCTCTCTCTGGTCTCTCTCTGATCTCTCTCTGGTCTCTCTCTGGTCTCACTCTGGTCTCTCTCTGGTCTCTCTCTCTGATCTCTCTCTGGTCTCTCTCTCTGGTCTCCCTCTGGTCTTGCTCTTATCTCTCTCTGGTCTCTCTCTCTGGTCTCTCTCTCTGGTCTCCCTCTGGTCTTGCTCTTATCTCTCTCTGGTCTCTCTGGTCTTTCTCTCTGATCTCTCTCTAGTCTCTCTCTCTGATCACTCTCTGGTCTCTCTCTCTGGTCTCTCTCTCTGGTCTCTCTCTGATCTCTCCCTGGTCAGAACTAGAACATAAATACAGTGAGTGTCTAAAAGGAGAACAAGTCTGACGCAGGAAGCAGTAAAATTATTTTGGGAAGATGTTGTTCTAAATCAAGCATTCTTTTGGTTTGCTCTCAAAAACGCCACTCCCTTCCTCGGTTTGGGCCCAGGACTCTAATTCTTAAATCTCTCTCACAGGTCTCTCTGGTCTCTCTCTGGTCTTTCTCTCTGGTCTCTCTCTGGTCTCTCTCTCTGATCTCTCTCTGGTCTCTCTCTGGTATTTCTCAGGTCTCTATCTCTGGTCTCTGGTCTCTCATTGGTCTCTCTCTTGGCTCGCTCTCTGGTCTCTTGTCTCTCTCTCTGGTCTCTTTCTGGTCTATCATTGGTCTCTCTCGTCTCTCTCTGGTCTATCTCAGGTCTCTCTTTGCTCTCTCTCTCTTTAACTTTATAATAAAGGTTACAGAAGCTTTGGACAGATTGGCTTCTGCAACACTGGTCAACACAACTTTTCTTTTGTGCATAAAGTACCTGTTTGAAGTTGTACTAACGGCAAAACATACGCAAAGGCTATTTCTCTTTCTGTGCTTAACTATTCGGCAAGTTAATTTGTATAGCAGATTTCACACATAAGGCAACTCAAAGTGCTGAACAACACAATAGAGGAGGCATTTAAACCATGTAGATTGATAGGAAGGAGTTTCTATAAAACTTCCAAAACTACTTCTTCTTCTCACATTTTACAACTTATTTGTGCTTACTGCACAGCTATAAAAAGTCAGCACCGCCGTTATAGCTTGTTAAAAGTTTGGGCGCCCTTCTGTTTTGGCCGTAAAAAGTGAAATACTCGCCCAGCGCTGGTCCGAGGATGAGTCCAGTGGGACAGAGCGAAAGGCCAAAGATCTGTTTCTAAATCACATGTGACAGCGGGAGGTTTCACAGATTTAACGATGAGGTCTGATTTAGGAGCTCTCTGCGCTTTGAAGCCGGTGGATCATCAGAAATATTGGACTGGAAGTTTAGGAAAATAGATTAAAATGGATGATTTTGAGTAGACGCACTTTTGATCCAACAGTAAACAGGGAAGTACTACAGGCTGCATTCTTCAAATATTTATTACGACTAGAAATGTTGGAAACACTTTAATTCATCTCTCACTAATTAACAGCTAATTAAGTGATAATTGTGGCCATACCTGCATGTGAAAGCCAGATCCTGTAAGCTAAGCAGGGCAGGGCATGGTTAGAGTTGTGATGGGAGACCTCTGGGAACACCAGGTGCTACAGTGGGGCGGCTGCAGCTATAAAGTGCCAAACTGTCGTTGTGTCCAAAACACCAACCATTCACAAAAACAAAATGAGTCTAGTGTGTGTGAATGGTTGGTGGTGGTGGAAGTGGAGGGGCCCATGGCACATACCTTGCCTTGCTTCTGTCTCTCTGCCCCAGGGCAGCTGTGGCTACAGTTGTAGTTTATCACCACTGTCTTTGGAGTGAAAGCGCCTTTGAGAGTCCAAAAAAAGTGCTGTATAAAACCAATGCATTATTACTACTCCAACCCTAGCCTGGTCTTACCATACCATCATGCTAATTTCATTTTGTACTAACGTCCGGATTTGCTCCATTGAGTTCCGTTATCAGGTGGGCATTTAGCCTTTAGCCTAGCTTCAGCCATCTCCTTTGTCACTAACGGAGCCCCTGGGGAGTAGAGCCACAACATCTTTGCCAGCAATGAAATTTACTTAACATTCCTTTTGCTCCGGCTTCAATTTTTTGATATTTGGAGCCAACCCACTTTACTATCACATTCACCGCCATTGCCAAACTACAACAAACTTCTACAGCAAATTCGGCGCAAACTCTTGACGTCACCGACACCAGGCTCCACTAATCCCACATGAGAAAGTCAATTTGATGTTGAATTAGGACTAATAAGTGCTTAAATATATGGGCTGTTTGCATAAATTAGCACTTATTTATCTGTTAATTACTGAGGGCTACTCAGTAATGTGACCAAATGTATCGTTGATCTAAATAATGAGAAGAACATTGCGGTTACTTAAAGGACTAACTCAGCCCCCTTCTTTCAAACTGCAAATTATCATAAAACCATTTGTATACGTCTGGCTCCAACAGCTCTTTATTTTTTAAACTTGGCTCCCAACAAAACTCAGTTTGACAGCCCTGGTCTACGGACAGTGATGGTCTGGGACTTTTAAGGACATTTGAGGGAAATGTGGTCAAACACTGACATATTGAGCCTGAATGCTGTGCGTAGCGTGTGACCTGGTTTGTAGAGTGTATTTAATCATCATTATTGTTGTTTGTTTTGCAGGACGGCTCCCGGAACCAGAGTAAGACCAAACAGGAAAGTGCTTGGCTCTTCCGACTCTGGTACACATTCGACCACAAGTATCCTTCCTGTTATTCTTATACCCACAACTAACGACTCTCATTGAATCAAAGTCCCGTAATCACATTCACAAACTCGATTACAGGAGCCTAACCAGGACGTTGCTTTTCCACATCCTGAGAAAGGCCTTGTTGTCTGAACCTGGAGCGAACAATAGGTGAACGTGAAGGACCCACAGTTTTATTTGTACACATTCCAGAGACACTTTTATTGCCACAAAAGGAGGATTATAAAAAGTATATTTCTGTGACGCTTCATATTGAGTGGAAGGTTGATAGAATGAGTGACGGATTTAGAGATTCAGTGACTGATTGGTCCCATTGTTGATTGTCCGGTTCTGATCTTTCAATGTAGAATGTAGAAACCCACCAGTTGTATGTGTTTACAGAATATTTTATATATTTTTCTTTCAAAATCAGTCTTATTAAGTCACAGCACGCCCAGGTCCCCATGGAATCACATTGTAATAGACTACATTAGGCTTATCACTAGAGCAATACTAATTTTATTTTTTTCATTTCTCTCTGGTATTTTGCTCTTCTCTCGCTCTGTTCTTTTTCTCTAGTATCTCTCTCTCTCTGTTTTCTCTCTGGTTTCTTATTGGTCTCTCTCTCTCTCTCTGGTCTCTCCCTCTCTGTTGTCTCTCTCTCTGTGCTCTCTCAGGTCTCTTTCCCAGGACCCCATGGAATCGCATTTACTGTAGATTTAGATTTAGATTTATTAAGGGAAAACCCCTTGAGATGCAGCATCTCATTTTCGAGAGGGTCCCATGAACATAAAACCAACAAACACAATACATATAATACAGTACATACAAACAATTAACATTTATACATTTAACACACACAGGTTTGCTCCCTCAGATCCAACTCCACCTCCTACAATAAGAACACATTCAAAAAACATATACATCATTACTGTATACAATATAGTCAAATACAGGCCATACATACTGCGGGTGATAGAATAATACAACTTAAAATATACATCCAGATATTACAAAATAAAAAAAATATATATAATAATAATAAAAAATAAAAATAAAAAACAGCTAGTAACATGCACAGGGAATGGTAAGATATCTAGATAATTCCAATTTAAATAAGCCAAAGGAGGTTAAGGATCTTATGTATGTGGGTAACTTATTCCAATCAGATGGAGCCTTGTATGAGAAAGCTCTACTTCCAATTTCTTTATGGATTCTTGGAACAGAAAAGGTGAGGGAGTTCGTGCTTCTTAGTGAATAGGTTGGTGAATTGGGGACAAAAAACAATTCTAAATATTGAGGACAGTTAAAATAAATACATTTGAAAATGAACTTCATCCAATGAAAGTGACGTCTGTGGTTAGGTTGCAACCAGTTCAGTTTTTCAAATAAAGTGCAGTGATGTGTTCGATAAGGACATTTAAGGATGAATCTGCAAAGACAGTTGAAGAGCGTGTTTAAAGGTTTGAGGTATGAGTCATATGTGTTTTGGTAGATGGTGTCAGAATAATCTATGATGGGTAGAACTAGTTGTGTTATTATTTTCTTTCTAACTTCCTGGGTGAAACAGTTGGATGAACCAGGGGGCCCATGGTGGCGTATGTTCTTTTAATGATGTAATCAATATGGGGTTTGAAATTAAGCTCTGGGTCCAGCCACAATCCAAGATATTTAATGGATTCAGCTTTATGCATCTTTGACCCATCACTAAACTCTATATGGAGGCATTGACTAAGGCAAGCTTATCACTCAGCTAGAGAATTATGAATTTCACCAAACACATTCTTTTGAAGAGAACCTTGAGCAGCAAGAAACTTTGATGTAAGAGGTGTACTTTTGTTACACGTCTTGTTACACTGTCATGAAGTATCTACACTCATGTGTCTTTTGTGCAGTTTTAAAACCTTCTTCCCCTAACCCACATGGAAGTAACGGGCTATAAAACAGTTTGGTTTGGTCTAAATTACCATTAACATTTGGTTGTATTATTGCCATTTGGTGTTTTCACAGTGGGATTGAGGCGTAAATACTAAAACAGCGGCTTTAAAACAGTCCTAATATACTCAAATCAATATGTCACTGTTTTTTTTCTTTGCTTTGTAACCATGGTCTCTTTCTGGTCTCTGACTGGTCTCTCTCTCTCTCTCTCTCTCTCTCTGATCTTTCTCTCTCTCTGGTCTCAAATCAAATACCCAATCAACATAATACTGATTTTTTCTTTCCTTTGTAACTGTGGTACCACTTCTAGTTCTCTCTCTCTCTCTCTCTCTCTCTCTCTCTCTCTCTCTCTCTCTGACCTTTCTCTCTCTCTGTCTCTCCCTCTTGTCTCTCTCTTGTCTTTCTCTGCTTTCTCAAATCAAATACTCAACTCATACAATACTGTTTTTTTCTTTGCTTTGTAACCATGGTCTCTCTCTGGTCTCTGACTGGTCTCTCTGGTTTCTTTCTCTGGTCTCTCTGATCTTTCTCTCTCTCAACATTATACTGTTTTTTTCTTTGCTTTGTAACCGTGGTACCACTTCTAGTTCTCTCTCTCTCTCTCTCTCTCTCTGACCTTTCTTTCTCTCTGTCTCTCCCTCTTGGGTCTCTCTTGTCTTTCTCTGCTCTCTCTCTTGTCTCTCTCTGCTCTCTCAAATCAAATACTCAACTCATACAATATTTTTTTTTTTTGCTGTGTAACCATGGTACCACTTCTAGCTTCAGATTAAACCCTTATAATTTGCAATTTCCTTGTTAGAGTTGAGACAAAGCCACCTCAAAGCTTTCTCTTCAGCGGATTTGGCCTCTTTCTCCGGTTATAACCACAACAACTGAACCTCCCACTCACTCCCTCAACTTCCCCCTCGTCCTCCCCCTCGTCCTCCCCCTCGTCCTCCCCTCGTAACAACCGTCTCCCCCGGCGGCTGATTGTGGCTTGTTTTGGAGAGAGCCAGCTGTGTTTTTGGAGCAAAGAGGCTTTCCCCAGTGACAGCAGCAAGACGCCAAGGCTTCAAACCCTTATTCCCAAAGTCGAGTGATGTAAACAAGGAGGACATCTGCAAAGAACCCACTGCCCAAGTCCAAAAGCTAGCGAGAAATAGCATCTTTCTGGGAAGATGTTGACAATGATCCAGGACATTCAACAAAATATTCATTTCAATTCATTCGTGTACAGCCATAAAAATTTTTAAAATTCTGATTTGTTCTTGGTGAATTGACAGCTTCCTCCAAGGTAACTGCTTGTGATTTAGGGATATACACAGATAAATAAAAATCAGAGAGAGAGTGAGAGAGACCAGAGAGAGGCACAATAAACCTACACCAGAGATAGAGAGACCAGAAAGAGACCAAGGAGAGACCAGAGAGAGGTTTCATGGTTACAAACAAACTAACGTTAAATTGCATCAATGTTGCATACTATATTAGTAAATGATTGCAACCATGAACTTAAATCTATGTCAGTTCCCTCTAACAGCAGCTACAGATCTTCCCATGAATCATTCGGATGCACATGTTGTGGCAGGAGCGGGTGTTCTCCGTGTGGCCTGGCCAGTCCAGCAGGATTCTTTCGCAGTAATTGCAGAGAGTAGAATTAAAATGCCTGCTCCACAGATCCTGCTCCTGTTTATAGTGTTTTCACTCGAGCAAGAAGGAAAGACCATGGAATTCTCCTGAGCATTTATTATCACAAGTGCAACTGTTGCAATCCCAACTGTCTGTCGTCCCACACCTTTGTTTAATATTCACTCAAGATTTATGGTCATGATAATAGACAGACAGACAGACGAGTAGAGAGATAGCTAGATAGATGGATAGATAAACAGACAGGTAAATGGGTAGGCAGGTACAAAGATACTGTAGAAAGAGGGAGAGATAGAGATTGATAGAGAAAGGGAGAGAGAGATGGAGAGATAGAGAAAGAGAGATAGACAGACAGACAGGTAGATAGAGAGCGAGAGACAGATAGTTAGTTAGATATATATATCTAACTAACTATCTACCACTCAGCCACCGCGGCACGGTGGCTGAGTGGATAGCACTCTCGCCTCTCAGCAAGAAGGTCCTGGGTTCGAATCCCGGTCGGACCAGGGCCTTTCTGAGTGGAGTTTGCATGTTCTCCCGGTGTCTGCGTAGGTTTCCTCCGGGTACTCCGGTTTCCCCTACCACTAAAAATATGTCCAATAGTTCTGGCATGCGCATCCTGTACAGGCGACCCCGCTCCCATCTCTGTGTGGAGTGAGAGACAAATGCCCAAAAATTAACAATTGTAAACCGCTTTGAGACTCAGATCTGCAGTGAAAAGGCGGTATATAAATAAAAACTTACTTACTTACTTACTTACTATATAGATAGATGATAGAGTCCGAGTTGGTTCATACGGCACCAACATGACACAGATTTATTTTAATACAGCGGCGCCCGTTGTAACTCTCGGCCATATTTCACTTTTGAGAATAACCCTCTAAACTTCTTGATCACACTTGGATTTCTCTCGTGTGTGTTTTCTCCTTAACCTCTGACCTCAGTTATATGAAGCCCCTGCTGACCCACAGTGGGCCCCCCCTCACCTCTACTCTGCCCAGCTACTGTGGACCCCTGGCCAGCTGCCTCACCAGCCCTCAGGCCTACGAGGTGAGTCCCTGTGCTCGCATTCACTCTCACACTGTTTTTTGTGAATGGAACTAAAAACAACTCCGGGTCGGTTTTGATGAGAGGACGATGAAACGTGAAAACCATAAAAGGCGGCTGAGTATATGACTCATTTATTTACAAAGCAACAATTTTTATTTATCTATTTTAAACATGCACAAGATAGATAGAACAATTATTCTCAGAAAAATATAAAAAAATACCTGTACATGGTTTGATAAGAGACTGAATGAGGAAAAGCTTTTAATCAAGCTGTTAATTTAGCTATTTATCCAATCCCCGTCGTGGCAATTCTGACACACTAAATATGCATAGAAGAAGAAGAAGATAGTCCCACAGTGGGGAAATTTCAGTTGGATTGCTACACATACACACTTATAAACATCGAGTCATGCAGCATACTTCTGCGCTCCTTTTCGGCAAAGTGGGATAAAGTGTCTTGCCTAAGGACACAACGACAGCAGACATCAGTGGGAGTCGGTGGAGAATGTCTCGTGGTGGGCATAAGATTATAATTCATTTTTCCTTAGCTTGTATTGCTGAGAAGAAACATGACTCTCTGGCGAGGCAGCGTCTGGGACCTCCTTCCACAGAGAACATGCATGACTGATTTGCAGAATGTACAGTTGTCCACAGCATTTGCTCTTTCTCAGATTTCTGACGACGGAAATAACGTTCATTTTGCTTCTGTGTCGGTTTCTGTCTATATTTAAGATCTGTGACCAATGCAAAGATAGAAGCAACTGTAAACTATATTTAGTTCTTTAATAATATTTTTTTGACTTTAAAACATGATATTTGCATTCAGTTTACTTTGTTGTTGTAAAGCTCTAAATCACAGCAGCAGACGTCTGGGACTTTACAAAGATGATCCTCATGTCCACGTGCGCGCTCTGTTTACAAGTCTCTGTGGGCATCGCTCACACAACCTCACTTTCCAAGAAGATTTGCACTTTTTCCACAATGTCAGACAATGGAAATGGATTTCTCCGAATAGATTCCAACCTTTACCTGTCGAGAAGAAACTTGGCGACTGAAGTATCTTTGAAGTAGTCACATGTCATCAGAATGATTGACAGTTAGGAGGACCAATAGTCTTGATGAGCCACCCGGAAAAGAAAAAATTTTTATCTTGCAAGGTGTTTTGCCTGTGTAATTTTATTAATTTTGGTTCCTAAGCGATCATATCGCTATTTTTTGTGTTGTTTTTTTAAATATAAATGTAGCTGTATTTTTGATTTTTTATCGGTTTGTTTTTTTCTTTTATCGGTCGTTTTCGTGTTTATTTTAATTGTGGGTGTTTGTTATTTCATCCGGTTTTCTTTCTTTTTGTATTTTGCTTTTTTTTTGCCTTTGTCTTTTTTTTTTGTGTATTTGTTTATTAATTATGTTTTGTCAGTTTCTTTGTGATATTCTTGATTTTCTTCTTAGTAATGTATGTATGATGTTTTATAAATGAAAATATTAAATTTTGTATTCTTTATGTATATTTATTATCTTTCTGTTTGTTTTGTGTGATACGTTAATTTTGGTTTTCTTGTTTTTCATTTTTTTTTTTATAAATTCTGTGTTAAAAAAAATTATGGATTTGCTCTTTATTTTTTTTTTTCTTATTTTGTTGTAGTTTTTTTGTATTTTAAAATCGTTTAATTCTAATTTTTTGTTTTCCTTTTGTGTTAAAAATGTGTTTGGCTTTTTATCTTTCTCTTTCTTTGTCTTCTTGGATTGCTATTTTTGTATTTTTACTTTTCTTTCTCCATTTTTTATTATTTTTTTTTTTCCTTTTATTTTTTTCTTTTAATTTATTTTATCTTTTTAACTTATTTTTTTTTTTGCTTTATTAATTTATTTTTTTGTGAGCCGTGGCAATGGTTTTGTTTTTAATTTCGTTTCTGATGGTTTTATTTTTGTTGTTTTGTATTAAAATTTTGGTTTTAAAAAATACATATGATTGTCTTGTTGGTTTTACGTTTTTTCTTACTGTCGTTGTCCCTTGTGTTTCATTTGTGATTGTTTTTAGTGACGTTTTGTTCTTTTTTTTGTTTTTTCCCCCTATTCACCTTTAATGAAAGACAATATTGCTCTATTTTGCTGCTTACAGACTAAATCCACCCCTTTCGTCATGTTCAATTTTTTTTTTTGTATAGCCCTAAATTACAACAGTACAGAAGTTATCTCAGAGGACTTAACAAAGCTTTCGATTCGCCCACACAGATCAGAGAATCAAACCGTTCACACACAGGAAATACAATAATATCAAACACATAGAGCCATTGGTCCATAAAGGGCAGATGACCAATGTCCATAAATGTTGATAGATGTCCATAAATGTGGTTAAATATCAAAGGTCCTGGATCCTTCTGTTTGCATCAGAATGCTTCTTGCTGGAGGCCGCCTGGAGGAGTACGCGTCCTGCATACTGAGGCTCTCTCTGGACGATTGTAATGTTGTCAGTGTGTTTCTAAAGCTGCCAGCGGAGCACAAAGCAGGGGCCTGGAGCGGGAGGGAAGGAACCACACGGTCAAGAAGCCTTTTATATTTCTGTGGCACAAAGACCCTTTTCACAGCCGCCTCAATGATGATACTGCTGAGTGACACTGGGATTTTGAGTCAAATCCAGTCACGGTCCGCCTCACTCTGGGAGAATACAGTCCCTGCGTTATCAGCAAAAGTCACGCTGTACTTTTTATAGACATGAAGAGCAACAATTGTAGTGTTAGAAGTGTATTGCCAGAATAACACATTATGATGGGGAGAGATATGTTGCACGCTGTACTACAGAGTAAATAAGACTAAATTCACCAGTTCTACCAAGAAATTTTCCCCGTAGAACTCAATGTAAACTAAAACAGTTCGACCTCAGCTGACAGAGAAACTACAGCTTTCACAAAGGAGGATTCTGTTGGGTTTTAGTGTCCCTTTTTTCTGGTTAAATCCATTGGTTTTCTTTGAATCCACACTTTCCTCCTGCTCTAGCTCCGCTCTGATCAGCAGTGCCTGATTGGTCAGGACGCATCGTGCTCCTCTTTGCATGTACATGAGAGCCTCACACGCGTGATTGTTTGTAGTTGGCGCAAAGCATCATGGGAACTCGTCGACTGCGCAGAACCGGGAGGACCAGAGGATGTCTAAATGTTTGAGAGTTCCACTAATCTTTCAGTGCCTATAGTCTCTTCATGCGCCACTGAGCACAAGGCTATTGATTTAAGTACGCCACCATCTTGGATCGCAGGGGCTTGGGATGGTGTAGGTGTTCTCTGGGTTCACCGGTTTCTCCTACCACTAAAAACATTTACAATAGGTCTGAAATGCGGCTCTGTATTGGTGACCCTGCTCCTATCTCTGTGTGGATTGAGAGATTGAAAACGATGTAAAACCCTTGTGGCTCTGGTCTGTGAACAGCGCTGTATAAATAAAGATTAATTACTGCTTACATAAAGCGCAGTTCATATATAAGGCAACTCAAAGTGCTTAACAAAACACATCCATCGCCAACAAATTGATAGAGTAATCATTGTGACAGGAAAAGCATGTTGATATATTTCCCTGTATACATGCATCTGCCTCTTGTGAATAGTCCGGCCCTGTGTTCCTCCTCCTGGGAAATCACAGAAGCTCAATGATCTCATGGAAACAATATGAGACGTATGTAGCTTTGTGATAATATAGCCGCATATGTGTGGTTTATGTATCTAGTTCAGCCTTCATTTCCTAAGTCCGAAAACCTTATTCCTCCCATGTTATTTCTTTGGCTTGAATCTCATTATAAACTTGGCTATCACCATGGAAACAAGCCACTGTTTTCTAGCTACAAATTAGCGGTGCTGATGAATACTGTGGATGGAAAATTATCTCGTAGTTTAGTTAGTAGTCAGGGCAACAAGAGCACACAAGGAGCATGCAATATATTCATAGGACAGTAAATATATGTATGTACTGGGAATTAGCGAGGATTTGGCAGAAAATTGTTTATAGATAGATAGATAGATACTTTATATATCCCTGTAGGAGAAATGCAGGTGTCCAGCAGAAGAAACACATCCATCCAAAACAAACAAATACATCATCCTGAAAGTTATTAACAATAGTAACAAAGTTCAGCAGCAGCATGGTGCATGTTCTGGTCTGCAGAGTCTGCTTGGTTCGGACCATTTTCTCTGCTCAGGTTCAGAGCAAACTTCTGAATGCTTTCAACAAAAGTCAGCATTTCTCCAGCGTATCTCCGCTTGCTGAGTTCTGTTTGTGAATCCTCTCTGCTCTGGTCTGGATCTGTGTAAAACCCATGGACTTAATATTTCCGTTGTTGAAACTAATGTGCCTCTACTTTTGCCTTCTGTAGGCTTTTTCAAATGCCCGCAGGGCAGGAAATTGTGAAAAAACGCATTTGCTTATGCATCAGACGACACCAGCCCCATTCATTTAACAAGTGCATTTAAAAGTGTGGAACATTGTGTTGGGCCATTCTGTAAAGCTTTTTTCGAGAGGAAAGAAGATGCCATACAAAAGCATCGGGTATTTTCTGGGTCCACCCCACAGGCTTGGAGTGAGATTGCAAACAGTTGTGCTCATGGACTTTTTTGAGCCGGGACCCGCCCCCACTGGTAAAACCATGAACACTGTACTGCAATAACATTTACTGCCAGAAAAAGGCAAGAAAAGTAACAATTGTAAACTACAAAACAACAACTGTTTCAGAGAAACTTAGGACTCGCTGGCGTTTCCAAGTGAAATAGTGGACAAGTGGACATTTGTAGTACTATAATACAGACTAGACTTGAGCTCATTGTCCTAGACCGCCTCGCCTCAGTTCTCGTTCTACTGCGTGGATCACATACAATTGATAGTGATACTGGTCTTGTCTATGATTACATTTCAAGTCAGTTCAAATTCTTTTTGTGGTGTATTGAGAGTGACCGTGACCCTGACCTGGTGTCGACTCTCCCTCAGGCCTGAATATTGACCTGTAGCCAATTAGATCCACAGATCCATCCTCTGTGGACGTTTTCACACCAACACACTGGAATATATGGGATTTTATACTTCTCCATAAATCTCACTCCGGCTTTGAATCTGGGCTGGTTGATATTCAGAGCATGTGCGAGTGTTAGCGCTTTTGTTTTAGTATGAGGTCCAGAGCTGCCTCCAGACTGGCACCGATCCTGTGTCCTGGTTTGATACTGCTGCTACTGCTACTGCTACTGCTACTGCTACTGCTACTGCTAATGCTGCTGCTGGAACAACTTTCCAGGGTCATGGGAACTGTATTGTGATGTCACTGGTTTGCGTCAGAGAGATTGGAATTCAGAGAACATTCTGGCTACTCTAGCACTAGAACTTCTAGAACAGTCAATTACAAACAGCATTTAGTGGATGTACATTTTTGGTCTTCCTACATTTCTGTCGCTATATGTAGTTTAATTCATTATTTTCATGACAATATCTTTAACTCCCTTTACCTCCCAGAGTAGAGCCAGTACTAGTTACCATAGCATCATAATGTTTAGTTGTTAGCATTTTGTAGCTTTCAAACTTATTTCAAGTTGTACTCACCAGTTTTAGCACTTAGTAAAGGATAAAAAACCTCATAAATGATTGACCTTTAATACATCTGTAGAAAAGCTAAACTTCTTTTGGGCAATTTCTCAGAATTCCATTGGTTTGAATGAGAGCTGTCTAAATGACGTCTCTGGGGTGCTATAGTTTCATGATTGTGGAAGTCCTGGTGTTAAAGGTACATGGGAGGATTTTCTTCTTCGGGTGGATCATCGAGACTATTGGTCCTCCTAATTTTAAAACATTCTGGTGATATGTAAGACAATGTCAGAGGCATTTCCTTTGAGGAGGACAGTTCTTTCCTAAAATTTGGGAAAATTTGAGCAATGTTTTCAATTTATTTTTCATTACTTTTTGCAATGTGTGGTCAAATCCCCTTGTGTTTCCATGTGTTTCCAGGAGGAGGACCAGGCGCGGGACCCAGACAGTGACCTGATCCATAACGACCAGGACCTGACCTTCATGTTCGGAGACACGTCCCTTTCTGCTAACGGGACGTCCGGAGCCAGAGCAGAGTCCAACGACTGGGGAGCGAACGGGAAGAGGAGCAGCAGCACGTCCGAGGAAGCACTGGAGCGAGATCTGGACTCCAGGGACCAAGAGTTATGCCGAGGGACAAGACTGGTTTTTCCCACGCAAGACTGACCGAGAATCTACCCCAGGATCCAGAGACAGACTTGGTTCAAGCCTTGAACCAAGACCGGACTGAAGACAAAGAGGCAAAAGAGGAAAAGAGGTCTGCAGAACTGAACCGAATCAGTGTTTTGATTGAAGCGCCTTTCTGAATGATGTTACATTTGCTGTTATCGAGCAGGCCACTCACTGGTGAAGTGTCTTCTCAAGGACAGTGTGGGGGTGGGCTGTCACTGTCACAGAGGGAAACTTAACAGTGAAGACCCGGCCCGTTATGTGAGATAACGTGAAGTATTATGAGAATCAGGGTACATTCACACTGGTATTTATTTATTTATCTATTAATTTGATCAAAAAATATGAGCTCCATGGTGTGTTATACCTCATTTTAAAGATTAAAGATTCAGTGTTTTTACCACTGAATCTTCACTGTGCTAAAGCTATTTATCCCAAGAAAACAACAATATGATTTATTTTATTCTAAAATAGTTCATTTACATGTATAAATGGCCATTCCTTTAATTTTGACCAGTGTTGGTTCAGTGTAAACAACTGAACTAGTTTTGTTCAGAAAAATCTACCAGAAAATCAAACTCAGGCAAAATTAAAGTATTTTTTTTTCCATCATAGAGTAAAAAATAATAATAATTACAAACATAGGTGCAAAGATGAAGATCAAAAACTTGTATACTTTCTCCCCTGACTAAAGGGAGTTTGACAGGCCCGCCTTATGTAAACTTTCAAGCACAACTGTAATCTTTATGCACCGTATAGAGAATGTATAGTACATACTAAGTTTACATGCCCACTCATGGTTCATGTTGTCTAATAAACATAGTTTCTGTTTTCAAATTATGACTTAAATGAATGTATCTTTTCTGTGGAGAGAGTCAATGTACAGCTCATGCAAGGTGATCCAGGAATTTACAAGAAGATTTTTGCCATGAAGAATGGGCAGCTTTACCATCAGAGGAGAAGGGGCCACAAAAGACTCCACGCTGTCATACGTAGATGTTAAAGGGGAAATACACACCACTGAGAACAGGGTCAGAAGAGGACTTTCTTTTGTTATTATAATTTGAAAATAGAAAAATTTATTTGACTATTAATGGCTTCACACAGCTGCTAACAGTAAGTGAAAAAGATTATTATTATTATTCATATTTTTAAATATAGCCACTAATCATTAACACAAGGGCGACTGTACTTACTCAAATGTTGAGTAGAAAATCCAGCAGTCCTCTTCATAAGGTAAAAGTTTCAACATAGTAAACTCCAAGTGAACCAGCTTGAACCAGTGTGAATGCATCCTAAGGTCTCACACTGTACTAGATTTGTATTGGAACTGAACTGGGACAATCAGAAGGAATGTATTTGAGGCAGAGGAGAAACTGTTTGCACTTAGGGATCAGGGTTTGGGGGGAGGTGGACTTAAAAAAAGATAAAGATACTTGGATTGTTCATTGCATGCAGGCAGTCTATGGAACTAAGGCAAAACCAACACTGGGAAGAATGTGACAACGTTTGATTGCATGGCGAATGTACCGTACTTTCTGGACTATAAGGCGCAGCTGTATATAAGCCGCACCATTAACATTTGAAAAGAAAGTAGATTGTGTCCACATATGGGCCGCACCTGAATAAAAAGCCGCAGACGAGGTGTTTCACAGTTTAGCCGTTAGCTTCCATCACTCATTCACCTTCATCTGTTTTGACAAGTGTCCTATGGTTACTACAACTTGGAGTCAAAGCTATAAGTCCATAAACTCTACCACAATAAATACACACATATTAGCCTCATCGTTATATAAGCCGCAGAGATCAAGGAACTAGAAAAAAGTAGCAGCTTAAAGTCCGGAAAATGCGGTACACATAAATGTTAAAGAAAGGAAAGGAAGGAAATACATTTTGCACATTTGAATTGTATGTGTCCAGTTTACTAATAGCTAAAGACGAAACCATGTATTGTATTGTAGCATTATCTGAAAACCTTTTTTTGTATCGGAACTGAAGCAGATGAATAAATGTTGCGCTCAATGTATAACCGCCTTAAAGGAGAGGTATTATGAAAAATGAACGGTTTTTGGGCTTCTTCATTTTTTTCATCATGTTACCACATTTGTTCTCATCAACTTCTGGGACAATAATATAGCGCCGCCCCTTCTGTCGAAACGCTCCAGTCTCAGTCCTGTAACAGTGCGATGTCATTGTACCACTAGGACATCATCCTCAGAGCAGTTTTTTCTGTTGTCTTTTAAAAGAGAAGTAGAGAGACCAGAGAGAGAGAGAGAAAGACAGTTGAAAGAGAGACAAGAGAGAGAGAGACTAAAGAGAGACTAGAGAGAGAATATAGAGAGGGACCAGAAAGGGACCAGAGAGGGAACTGAGAGGGACCAGAGCGAGACCAGATAGTCAACTAAACTAATCACTGCAGTGCACACAAGTCACAAAAGTTGACTTCTGACTTGCAAAATGTACAGATTTCCACAAAGAAATTTGCAAAACAGCGAGATCGCGAAAGCTGAACCACGCAATAGCAAGTGCTCAATGGTAGGAAATACAGACTCTTAAAAAAATTACTATGACGTCACCTTGATTTATGACCACAAATATTGCAAGATACTTCTCCTTTAAAAGAGTTTACTTGAAGTTACATTGACTTGAGACTTAAAGCTTTACCTCAAATAATAGCATTGATTTCTGTGGTGTTTCTGGACAGACTCACCATCACCACAAGCAAAATAAAAAGGGGGATACTCTAGCATGCAAAGGCCCACAATGCACTGCTTTGTTCCTGCTGCGTCAGATATTTCTCTCTGACGATGCATGTGTCTGTCTCGTCTTTCACTTCGTCCTTGTGGGCGTCTGTTCTGTCCATGGAGCCTCTGTGTGCTGTCTGGAGATGGCAACTTGATTCGTCATTTTCTCATCATGAGACGAAGCCAATAATATTTACAGGCTTTTTGGAATTGTATTTAGATAAAACACAATGCAGCACTCAGCAGATTGTAGAGCTAGAGCAGAAACCAGAGAGAGACCAGAACGACGGACCAGAAAGAGGGCAGAGAGAGAGACAAGAAAGAGAGAAACCAGAGAGACTAGGGGGACGTCAGTGAGAAAGACCAGAGAGAGACTAGAGCTTCGCCAGAGACAGGCCAGGGAGTGACCAGAAAGACAGACCAGAGAGGGACCAGAGAGACTAGAGGGAGAGAGACCAGAGACAGGCCAGAGAGTGACCAGAAAGACAGACCAGAGAGGAACCAGAGAGAGAGAGACCAGAGACAGGCCAGAGAGTGACCAGAAAGACAGACCAGAGAGACTAGAGAGAGACCAGAAAGACAGACCAGGAGGGACCAGAGAGACTAGAGAGAGAGAGACCAGAGACAGGCCAGAGAGTGACCAGAAAGACAGACCAGAGAGACTAGCGAGAGACCAGAAAGACAGACCAGAGAGGGACCAAAGAGACGAGCGAGAGAGACCAGGGTCAGACCAGAAAGAGACCAGAAAGACAGACCAGAGAGACTAGAGAGAGACCAGAAAGACAGACCAGAGAGGGACCAGAGAGACTAGAGAGAGACCAGAGAGACTAGCGAGAGACCAGAAAGACAGACCAGAGAGGGACCAGAGAGACTAGAGAGAGAGACCAGGGTCAGACCAGAGAGAGACCAGATACTGTAGGTAAAACAACGCAGAATTCAGCAGAACTCAAAATATTGATGTTTCTATGCATTGTGGAATTTTCACTCGAAAAGGGAAGTGTTACGTGTTTTTATGTGCTTTTTTTCATTTGATTGCGTGAGAAACGCAGCAGAACTAATAAAAATTGAAATCAATTGAATGATTGTATTGGATTGATTTAAGAGTGACCAGAGAGAGATCAGTGAAAGACCAGTGACAGAGCAGAAGGAGAATTCAGAGAGAGACAAGAGAGATATACTGTACAGTAACATTGCAGCATTCAGCAGATTGTGCGGCTACAAACTCCAAACAATGAATCTAGGACAAAGGAAATTGTTAATTCTTTTTTGTCTGTGTTTTTATTTGATTGTGTGAGAAATGCAGCAAAACTAATAATAATGGAAAAATGTGCATTGATTTTATTGGATTGTTTTTTATTAAACATTTTAAAAGATGGAGGAATCTGCAAAACAAGAAACAAGATCCAAACAGCTTTGCATCTTCACAATTAAAATAAACCTGCAGCTCAGCCTGATGACGTCTCTCAGTCTGGACCCAACGCAAAAAGAAGACCCCCCACCAGAAAACTCACCTGTGTGTGTGTGTGTGTGTGTGTGTGTGTGTGTGTGTGTGTGTGTGTGTGTGTGTGTGTGTGTGTGTGTGTGTGTGTGTGTGTGACTGGCTTGTGTCCTCTCTCATGGTTCTGTGGACAAGGCCACACAGGATGGAGTTAAAGGGCTCTCTCTGTGACTGAATCCTCTGGACTTCTTACATTGATCGGTTCGTGCTCACACATAAAGACCCCATACAAAACTCCTCTGACTTTTATTACAAGAAACACGAGTCTGTTTCCGCAGTCTCTAATATCTCTTTGACCTTTCCTTTAGAGCTGCCTGGAAGTGGAGCAGCAACAGAACACACCTTTACAAATCTCATACAAATGTAGTAAAGTGATAAAGTTAACATTACATCTACAATATTATTTATTCTTTAAACAATAAATGTATTTAAACAGTACAGTAGAATTTTAAATCACAATAAGTTGCCATGGTTACTATGGAAACGTTCTCTGTTCGTAACCTATATAGCTCTCTTGGTTACCATGGCGATGATGTCATAAAGCTAATTACCACAATCTAAAGGTATTCTGTCCTTAACATATCCAAAGATAGGTGGCCAGTGTTGAACCATAGGACCAGAGTGCTTTGCAAAAACACAACACAACACTACAGCTTCAAAATGGAGATCAGAAGAAAAGTGAGAAGGATCATAAAACAGGAGAATGAGGACTCTCGACTTGCTGAGACCATAATACGTGAGCATGTAGAGAGGCAGAGGCTGCGATTGCAGCAGGAGGAACTGGCTCAGAGAGAGGCTGAGGCCAGAGACAAGCGCTGAGGTGAAGCATGAACTCAAGCAGAAGAGAGAGCAGCAACTTCTGCAGATCCATCTGGTGCGAGAACAGATGAAGACACGCCACCAATGTGGGCAGGAGTCAGAGCGCAGGAAGGCCCAGCGAAGGTGGCAGTGTACGGAAAAGTGTTCACAGAACAATAAACGCCTTCTGGAGGAACGGCATAAAAGTCAGGAGCAGGAGGAGAGAGAGACCCAGAAGAAAACAGAACAGGAAGAGTACGAGGAGCAAGTGGAGATGGCCATCCATAGAGCTTCCATGGAAAACCGTATCGCTCTTCCTCTGGGCCAAAGAAACGGTGAAGTCGATAACCGTCTTCACTTCTATAAGGACGGACAAGGCTTCATCGTAAACTCCAAGAGGAAGTTTGAGCCTCGTCATTCTTTAATTTTGACCGATGAGACGCCCAAAAAACAGGTGACAGTACCTCAAGGCAACACCACTCCAAAACCAAAGAGTGTGAAACAAGTAAGAGTACAGGAGCAGAAACAGCCATCCCCCAGTGTTTTCCGAGGGTTAGGACCAGTCGAGAAGTTGGACCAACCCTCACCAAAGTTGTTGGCCTAGAGAGAATCTAGGGGATCAGCTCTTCCTTTGAGGTCCATTTTACAAAACAGTGTGGTCCTGTCAGAAGATTGTTCTAAGCCTGCTCTGGAACATAAGTGTGAGGAATTGAAATTACCTCTAATTAGTAATCCAAAAAAGAAGCTGAGCATAATCCCAGTTCAGGCACCAACAGGTCAAACCAAGTCTGAGAGAGGCAAACATCCTGCAATTCAGCGTCAGGTGAAGTCAATGACATTGCCAGAGGAGGAGGAACCATGCGGAATTGTGGGCACTGTGAAGGTGGTTAGAATCCCAACCCGGGGGGCAAAGCGAAGCCAAGTCCCAGGTTTGGATCCAGACACATTAGCTGTGATGTTCCACCCACGTCCCCCCATGACACCAAGACAGCCTGGAAGAACCGGAACGTACAGAACCAGCCACACGGTTGTCAGTTTCCCCCAAGGCCTAGCAAACAACTCCAAAGTCCCAAACAAAGTCGCTCCAATCCTCACAACTCCCCAACATGTGAGACCCCACATTAGTCACGTCTCATTCTTTTAAGAAGGAGCTAAAACTTGGATATAAACAGGTTCGCAAAACTTTTCAGTTCACTCCCAATTATAAGTGAACTGAAAAGTGTCAAAAAATATCCCCAAAGTGTCAGCAAAGCAACAGAATGTGATTCTATTGTTTTGTCCGTATTTGGCAAACCAACACACACTGACCTCTCAGCCATGAGTTGGAGATCTATAACCTGTGGGTGTGGTTAGACACTACACCCACAGGTTATGAATGGTCTCTCTGTGGTAACCTCTACCCCCATGTCGAGGTGTCTAACCCTCCTCCTCCCATGGCAAACACAAGACCTGTTTGCCATGGGAGGCCCTACCAGGGTGTGGTTAGACCGCTCATATCCACCGTCCAACCACACCCATCCATCCATCCATTTTCTCCCGCTTCATCTGTTGCCGGGTTGTGGGGGCAGTAGTCTAAGTAGAGTTGCCCAGACTTCCCTATCCACACACAATTCCTCCGGCTCATTGTGAGACCCTGCATTAGTCAAGTGTCAGCAAAGCAACAGAATGTCTGATTCTATTGTTTTGTTTGTATTTGCAGAACCATTACAATGACACACAATGACCTCTCAGCTTTGAGTTGGAGATTCATAACCTGTGGGCGTGGTGTCTAACCTTATACAGTAAATGGTCCCTCTGGTAACCCTCACCCCCATATGGAGGTGTCTAACCCCCTCCCATTGCAAACACAAGACCTGTTTGCCCTACCAGGGCCCATCCATCTATCCATTTTCTTCCGCTTCATCCGTTGCCAGGTTGCGAGGGCCGCAGTCTAAGCAGAGACGCCCGTACTTCCCTTTCCACACACAATTCCTCCAGCTCATTCAAGGCGTCAGGCCTGGGGTGTTTTAGTGCCAAGTGCACTGGTGGACCTCTTTGTGCTCGAACATGGTGTTTGTGATGGACAAACTGAACACTGCTCAGGTTCAGATCAAGGTAGACGTTCTTCCCAATCACCCCTCTCCACGTGTCCCACATGGGTGTTGAAGTCCTCTAGAAGAATAACGGAGTCCTCGGTCGGTGCACTGTCCAGTACCCATCCCAAGGACTCCAAGTAGGCAGGGTACTCTGCACTGCTGTTTGGCTCGTAGGCCGTCACGACAGTGAGAGACTTGTCTCCCACCCGGAGGCGGAGGGACGCGATCCTCTCATTCACCGGGAGAACTGCTACACGTGGCGGCCGAGGTGGGGGACAATGAGTACGGCCATCCCCACTTGCCGCTTCTCCCCACGAGAAACTCGACTGGGTTGTCGTTGTCTCCGCCTTCAACTGCTCTCCAGTCCTCTATGCACCTCTCCACCACGGATCCCTCTGTGGTCCACAGGAGGGCCTGCCCACCTCGTTTTCAAGCCCCAATCACGGCACCGCACGGCAAGGTTATTTTGCATTTCCACTAGGGTTGGGCTTGGGATCAGGGTACTTTTTTTGTACCACCTTGACCATGGTTCCAACCGTACCGAAGCTACACCATAACGTGATGTCAGCCAACTGTCTTACACTGATTGGTCAACAACATTCACCTACATTCACCTGGTCTCAAGAGACATACGGACTTTGGACTTTGTAAATTGTTGGTTTTGCACTTTACTTTTGTGTTTAATAAATCTGTGACTGTATCAAGACTTTGTTACAATACAATACAATACAATTTATTCTTGTATAGCCCTAGGTCACAACAGAAGTCAGCTCAGAGGACTTAACAAAACCATTGAAATCACCAACACAGATCAGAGAATCAACAGTTAAAACTAGGGATGTACCGAATCCAGGTTTTTGGGGTTCGGCCGAATACCGAATCCACTGGTTAAGATTCTGCCGAATCCGAACCCGAATACCGAATCCTATTCCAACCTCAGTCCATTTATGTTTCATACGTCAATGTTTTAACAGCGGCGGTGTTGTGCACTATTTAGGGTCCTTACCACCACGAGACAAATCGGCATTGCAAATTGGACATGTAGCTCGACCAGAATCTATTTTTATAACATTTATAATAAGTTCACAGCAGTGTAAAACTTCATTGATAAACTACATTTATTACTGTGCATGTCATGTAGAAATAAGAGCTAAAGCACCATACATGCATAAATAGCTTCCACTGGTTCAGGTCAAAACATTACATATATGGACATTTGAGAAATATGCCAAACTCGTCAGAGACAAGTTGAGAGAAGCTAATGCTAAGAGGCTAGTTGCCTAAACATGGAGTCACCAACTCTGCTTCCACGGTCATACACAGCTCAGATGACAAGTACCTGGCACTGGGAATCGGCTCCCTAAAGTTGGTGAATAGGAAGTTAGTTTATGATCCATCAGAACCGCATTACAGGTGAAACCAAGAATCATAACATCCCCTCGCACCGGCATATGACTAGAGCTAATTGGTCCGCGGGGATCACATGACCAGGAAGAGACCTCAGCGCACCCAAAGAGGAACAGAGAGCAAGAGGATATAAACCTCCGCTAAAGTGCATTTACACTTCCGAACGAATCTGATTTCCATAACGAATCCAACAGCCACAGCGCGCATAGCGTAAGTGCAGGGTTCGGGTTCGGTGGGGAAAAATTATAAGGTTCGGCCAGAAACCGAACCCTGTCAAAAAAGCCAATATTCGGCCGAATCTGAACCCAAATCCTGGATTCGGTACATCCCTAGTTAAAACACATGAAAAATATAAAGCACACACAGCAGAAAATGTCCTGGATCATCACCAATCCTTTCTGTTGGACACTAACAAGACCCTCCTGCATCGACAAGGAAAAACTCTTAAAAAACCCTGTGGGAAAAAGTGAGAAACCTTGGGGAGCACTAGGGAAACCCACAGGGAGGGAGACCCATTTGAGAAAAGGATCCGCTCCTCCGGACGGACAGGCTAATGATCTAGGACCTAAGCTAGCTACAGGACGTGGACCAGTGGCCGCTGAACGTGGACAGGTCCGGTGCAGGACTGAAGCACTCCCAGGCGGGTCGGGCAGGGCAGTCCGCAGGTGTAGATGGAGGAGGCCAGGTCCAGAGGTCCCGTCATCGTACCATGAAGTAAGTAAGTAATCTTTATTTATATACCGCCTTTCACAGACCAGAGTCACAAAGCGGTTTACAATTGTTATTTTCAGACAATTGTCTGAAACAGACAATGGGACAACGAGTGAATAGCAATGAAAAAACTACAGTCAAAATCCTAATGATGCTAAACAGGTAAAGTAGGAAGGAGGAGAGGATAGTGCTCAAGTTACCATACTTCTCCCAGCAAACTGACTCCCTGTGCAGCTTGACTGACAGTCTGAGGAGTTTGGCCAACTTGATTGAAACTTTTTTTCAATCATTTGTCTGTACAGATTCAGAAAAGGGGTTCAAAAGCAAAAGTTATGATTTCCTACCATACACTTTTACTTCTATTTACATTACATACATTATATTTGTCAGTAAATACGTAATACCTTGGTACATTTTGAACAAGGATGGAGAAGCGATCCAAGTGTTGCCATCAGAAGATCAGAACAACAACTACAAGTAGTGGTAGTGTTGTTGTTGATGTTGTAGTTGTGTGCTGTCATAGATGCTGTGATGGACTGCTACTACTGACTGTTCCCTTCAAACAAAATAAATCTTGAGAAAGTGGAGACCAGAAAGAGACCAGAGAGAGAGACCAGGGAGAGACCAGAGAGAGACCAGTTAAATAAACAAAAGTTAAATAAGTAAACCTTGTTGTAACAATCAGAATGTACTCAAATTTAGATAAAAATCCACTGTATTCAAGCATTGCGGCGGCGAGCAACGCATCCCGGTCGTGCAGGAGGCTCTGGAAGTGTGAGCGCAACCCGGTCCTAAGAGCGCGGCTGAAGTGAGGGAAGCTATCCACACGACTGCGTAAAAGTCTGTCCAGCTGCAGGAGGGAGGGGGCGAAAGTGGCTCAATCGGTAGAGCATTGGCCTTTGAGGCTGTAGGTCGTGGGTTCGAGCCCACCATGAGACCCTCTCCACCGACCCCCACTGATGACTGCTGTCGTTGTGTCCTTGGGCACAACACTTAACCCCACTTTGCCTGAAGCACCCGCTGATAGATCAAAGCTCCTGTGGACTCACCACCTGCAGGACGATCAGTGAGGGGCTGGTGCTATGTGTACTGGTTGACATCTCTGGCCACCCCCCTGACCCAGAAATGGATTAAGAGGTAGAAAATGGATGGATGGATATTCAAGCATTATTACCTCATATTCCATCATTTTTTTCAGCTCTTAGCAGATTCTGGTTTCAACAGACTTGGAACCAAAATCAGTCTGTAAAGCTCTTTTACTTTCCCTGGAATATGAAACAACAGAGATATTGAGCGTCTCTGATTCTCCATCTTGTATTTCAGGTCTCTCTCGTCACAGATGGATCCCTTCATGGATCCTGCAGCATGTGATAATTGGTTTAGGTTCAGTTTAAATCGTTTTGACACGACT